CTACCCTTGTCTGGACTAGACTTGGACTGGACCCAACGCTCAGACTCTAGTCTCTCTCCGCCCAGTCCCTCGATCCCAGTCGCGCGGGTTTCCGTCGTCCTGTCCGCTCCCTTTTTAGTAGCCAGACGTCGCCATCCAGAACATCTTGTCTCTCTTTCTTGCTTCACCACCTCCCAGGAGACCACTTCGTTCGACCCCCTCCACCCCCCTTCTCTTCTCCCGCCCAGGCCTCGGTCGCCATCGTGTCTGTTCGACACCGTCCATTCCTTTTAAAACCAATCACATCGCCCCCGGGTCCCGACATCGAATCCCCTCTTTTCCTGCACCCTCAACCTTCCAGGATAGAAGGATAGGCTACCGACATTCCTTACGGTTCTCTACCCAACAAGCATCAGGCTTCTTGTCACTCCTTCGCAACTTTTTCTCACGAGACTTCTTTTTTTTTTTCCGGCTCACCACCCCCAAAAAAGATTTTACGACTTCCATCGTCCGACCGGCCACTCCTTCCCAACTTCAACAACACAACAACCGTTGTTCAACCACACTCTTTCACCCCCACCAGGTCCTTGACGGAACCGTATCAGCAGTGCTCGATCACCACACAGCTGGCTCTGAGAATTACCTCACGTCACAAACTCTTCCCAACACAACTACCACCTTCGGACTAGATCCCCGGTAGCCAGATTCCGCGAATCTTCTCAAGACATCAAAAACTGAAAAAAGGTGAGTGGCACTGATCCAGACTACCTTCCTTCCCACATTCCCCACCACATCTTCATTCCTATCGCGTCAATGGCATTGTTTGGAACACCGTTTTCAAGACAGTCGAATGCCACCGCGATACAACCCGCTCCTGCCGACAATAGACAAAGAGCTTTGTTGCTCTTTGTTCATTGTCTCGCTCGACACGTGTGCTCACTTGACTCACGCTTGGTTGAACAACGAGTTCGCCTGGGCCCGGGTCGATGGCATCGAGTCGTGTCAGCTGGCGTGCCAGCGTGCGACTAAGGCTGAGTCTCTCGTCACCTCATGAGGGACATATATCAGGCTGGTGTTTCCTGATGTTGCTCGAGATGCTTGTCTTACTCTGCTTCATCACACTCTTTTTTTTTCTCAGCAAGCCCGCGCTCATTCGCACTTTCCTTCATTTATTTCACTTCACTCACTTCACTTCGCTTCATCTTCCTTCACTCTGAGATATCACCACTTCGCGGGCGAAGCTAACCATCATTCAGACTCATCCTCGTTGATCTCACAATCCAACCTTCAAAATGAAGTCTTCCATCGTTCTTGCCGCCACTGGCGCCGTCCTGGCCATGGGTGCCGCCATCGATCCCCGTGCCATGGAGACCGTCTTGGACATCACCTACGTGACTGTCACCGTCACCGAGGGCGTCCCCATCGAGACTCCCGCTGCCACTCCTTCCAGCAGCCTTCCCCCCAAGGTCGAGGAGACCCCTGCGCCCGCGCCTGTCTTCTCTACCATCACCACCAAGCGCCGCTCCCGCACTTCCAAGGCTTCCACCACCCCGACTCCCACCCCGACCCCGGCCCCCACTCCTACTCCCACTCCCACCCCTGAGCCGGTTGTCGAGCAGCCCGTCGCTTCAGAGCCCGCTGCCTCCTCTTCTGCCGCTCCCGTCGCTTCCGTCGTCGAGACTACTCAGTCCACTCCCAGCACCGCTGCCACCGTCAGCGACCTTCAGACTGCCGCTATTGATTCTCACAACATCCACCGTTCCAACCACTCTGCTCCCGCTCTGACCTGGGATGCCGACCTTGCCAGCTACGCTCTCATCACTGCCAAGACCTGCGTCTTCGAGCACGACATGTAAGTGCCAAAATGAATCGCGAGGTCATTTCATCTCTAACCTTCATCTAGGACTACTGGTGGTGGCGGTTACGGCCAGAACCTCGCCATGTGGGGTGCCACTGGCTCCGAGAACTTGGGTGAGGCCAAGGCTGCCCAGCGTGCCATTACCGAGCAGTGGTACAACGGCGAGCTCAACCTTTACACCGGCTATGGCCAGGCCAGCCCTGACATGGCCAACTTCCTCCAGTGGGGTCACTTCTCCCAGTTGGTCTGGGTTGACTCTACCAAGGTTGGCTGCGGTGTCTACTACTGCGCCGCCGGTACCCTCAGCTCCATTGGCAGCTGGTACACCGTCTGCAACTACAAGTCCCAGGGTAAGTTGATCATTCCCCTCTCTTACACATGTAAGATACTAATGAGAATCCAGGCAATGTTATCGGCAGCTTCGACAAGAACGTCCTGCCTCCCGGCAGCGCCGCCACCGTCAACGTCGCCTAAGTGTCGTGACACGCAACTGCATTTGCACCCTTCGTGTTGCCCGCTTGAAGCATAACTGGGTTTTGTTTGCGACACGGCCACTGGGTACGACTGCGGATGAGCTCCGTCGTATTAGCGAGGCATTTCTTCTCTTCTACCGCTGTACTTTAACAGGAGATCGCTTGACCTTTTTTTCGATCTCCTTGTCCCTCTCCTGGGACCCTTTGAATCATGCGCTTTGGTGGCCCACGAATGGCATGGGCAACTATTCTCTTCATACGAACACTTCCTCAAGGCACTCGCGTGATGGAAAAAAACGTCTTTTTGGCGCCGGCCGAGACCATGATTCAAGGACAACTGGACATTGATGATGATGCATTTACGGATCTGGCGTGGAACAAAGAAAATCATTTTGGGGAAAGGGAACCAACCCACCATGGAACATTGCATTTTTTTCTCTTCTTTCGATTCTTGGCCTGGTTTTTGTCCCTCGCAGTCATTTACCCGGCCTGTCACTTGACAGGCGTCTGGGTTATGAATCTACCTGGGCGAGCCACGGCACCCTGTTTATGACTCTTTTGGTTCTTTGTACCTATGGTTCTCTTCGACTTGAATTTCGGGTTTAGGGAGGCTAGGCAATGGGATCCATGAATTTTATGGTTTCGCAAAATATGTTCTCGAGGACAAACTGGTCGTGACAAATGGTGAAGTGAAGTCTTAAGTGATGTTCGGTGTTCGTGTGCTTGGTGTCTCTCTTTCTTTCCGTCTTGATACACATGTATCCTTGGTACGGAGTACTCGATAGGATCACCATGCCATACAGCCAGATTTCGCTGGCTCGTCAGCTTGACTGTTTCTTGTGTCGTCGTTATGTGCGCCGTTGTGAAGTGACGTTTCGTTCGTGCACATGCCGGCTACCCCGATGTGCGAGGACTCGAGGATTCGAGGACTCGAGCTATGTGTGGTTACGGTCGAGGGTGCCACACAAAGGGACTGTAGTAGGTCGGCTATTTTCTCCCAAGCATCCTTGGCCTGGTATTCAACTGAGTGAGAACTTGGAAGGTAAACACAGGCTGCTAGAATGCCTTCCAGAAGGGGATGGATTCCTCTTTTCAACTTGTCAACGGCATTGTACTCCTGAAGCGCACCGCCACCTGACGGCGCGTGTGTTCTCTGCGCTGTGGCTGTGTAGCCCGCTCCCCTGAGTCCAACGGCATTGTGAAACATGCTGCTGCGGCTGATGGCTGTGAAGACGGCGTGGGTTCGGATGGGGATTGGAGATGGGACGGTTGGGTGTGGGGTCTGGTGGTCAACCGTCAACGTTGTTTCTTTCAATCTGCGACTTTGCACTATCCGCGTGTATACTAGATGACCGACTTTTGCGCCTCTGTGTCTCTACGAAAGGTGCAAAATACTAGATGGCCGACATGGCTGTGTTCAGAGTAGATGGAAAGCGTCGAAGATAGCGGGGGTTACGGGTTTGTGGGAGGATATTTCGCTATTGATGGGGTTTTGGATGTTGGGGGGAAAGAGTAGGCTTGAGAGGGTTGTGTCATTTATCTCGAGCGCTGTGAGCATTTGAATCTTGGCTATGATTTCTTGGTTGACGGTGTTTCTCTGGATTGGTATATGGGGAGGTGTTGATTGATGCTCATGAGAGGCTTGTGCGTGTAAAGGGTATTTCCCTTGCGAGTTTTCTTTGTTGCTGACTGGTGTTTCGTTTAGATGTCAGCCTTGGAAATGTGGACGTCTATGCTGACGACTATCTCTTCCTTATTCTACACCATACACCACCCAGGGCATGATGATGTTTGATGGTCTTTTGAATGTGGGACGTATCTAGGCATCCTTCGCAGCATCTCGCCGTGGATATCTGTCTGTACTTACCGTGTACACCCAAAGTTTAAAGCCAGCTTGGCACACCAAGTCCGAACAGTACAACCGTCACCCGCCCAACGGAGCTCAAAACCTCACCGCTTCGAAAAGAAATGCGAGCAGGAAGCCGGAATCCTTCTCATCAAAGTCCAAGCCGGCGACCTTCCTCCCGTGGGAGGGCGGGGTAACAAACGCCGACGGGTTTTTGGATCTAAACCCGGAGAACGCGGCGCCGGCCGGGCGGACGAGGGAGCGGAAGCGGGGTGGTTAGTCGCGCCGAGGGGCGACGGAAGGACCACGCCTCTACGGCGGCTTTTTCCCGGTGGTGGAATGTCGTTCCGCGATCGAGTGGCTTTTGGGATGATGGTTGTCGAAGAAAAAGAAATCGGGGAGGAGGAAAGCAACGAGTGAGGGGGTTCTTCTTAATCCATTTCGCATGTCTCTCGGGGATGCTTAGAATACTGATCAAGGCGATACCACCATCCTTGCCATGCTTCATTCACAGCATAGCCGGTTTCTTTCGTCAAGGAAGATGGTCGATGATACGGGAGAAATCCACGAGCAGCCGGCGCCGTGGGGACATGTCTCTGGCTTTTGGAATATGACGTGCGGCGGACTCCCCGCGCCGAACTGGGATACGACGTGGCCCAGCGAGCCGAGTGTCTCGCCGTGCAAGAATACGATTCCTCGAAAGGACCTCGCGAGACAACATGGAGGGTGTGCGGATGACGTCGGGGAGGTTGTGGGCAATGAAGGAGGGAAGAGGTCAGAGTAAGTCTTTCCTCCTCGCAGATCTGCAATGATCTCCTGACGGAAACCACTTTCTAGAACGGCGTCCAGCATCGAGGCTGGTGTGGACGCTTCTTCAACTCACTTTCCTTACCCTACCATTTCTATCCCACCACCGCTCGCCGAGTTCGATTTCCGTGTTGCGGTGAGGTTCGACGCCCAGGAGACGAAGACTACGGCCGAGGGAGTGGAGGAGGCTGAGTTGGCGGAGGGAGTTCGCGGTTCCTGGTCTGGTTCGCTTGGGTCGGGGGCCGTCATCGTGCGTTCCATCGCTGTTGTGTTTGATGTGAGTCCGTTGGGAGTTGGTCACTGACAGATTGACGTCCCAAGGCAGGCGGGCATGACCTCGACATGACGACACTGAAAGATAAGAGCCTGCACGAAATAGTCACGGCCTTCAAACTTCGAACTAGTGATGGGGAACCAGCTGTGTAAGTAGCAGCCCCTTGCCTCAGCAGGCGATCATCATTCATCATTGAGTCGTTCGTCACGCGGTAGACTTGTCCAGAGACTGACTCCCTGTGGTATGATGATGCAGCCTTGAGATGGATACGAGAGGGCTTTTATGTGGCCCGACTGATGTTCTTGACGGCATTGCTCATAGGTCGGAGAGTGAGGCAAGAATCGATCCGAGGAGGTATAGCTACCGAGTGACTGTCAACTTGAGTACGACGGATGAGCGGTATGTTGAGAAGGTAAGGGGTGTGCTGTGGGTTGGGAGTGGGATATGGGATCGGGATGAGCTTGTCATTGAGTACGAAGTCCTTCAAAGGGATGATATTGATTACGTTGCTGACATGTTGATAGTATCTATCGAATTGGCTGAGTATAATTTGTATGAAAGTGGAAGAATCGAAGTAGACCAATGTGTGCGTAGCTTTCTTTTCATCGGACTCTTCTGACGTCAAGTTTAGGTTGATGAGAATGAGATGGACTTGGGCGAAATCTCTGGAATGAAACTTCCAAGGTCCCGTCGGCGCCTGGCCTGCCACCTACTGCTCTAGCAATAATGATACATCTCAAATCGTGCCTGCCGTCGGCGACATCGGTGTTAGGTTCTCTTTCATTAGAGCTCCCGCCACGAGTGAATACGGCAGATGGTGATGGCCGAAGACGGAGAGTCCAAGACATAACTCAGCTGCCATTACTCGCCGTTACTACCACGTCCACCGGATCGGGATAAGGCACATGTAGGCAGATCTGGGGAACTGTCGCGCAGGACTTGGGCCCGGAGGCCTGGCCGCGGGCACATGTTCTCATGCGAGCTCATGCAACCTAGACCTGGCCGGCGGCTTGATCACTGCTAGTCCATGATCGGGGTGAAGGTACTGTCTTGCAGCGGCAGGAGTAGCTTCACACCCGGTCTTCCGGGGGCGGGAGGGGGGGTATTGCTTTGAGGGTCGAGATCAGGCCTTTCAAACCCTGATGTATGTGAGAGTAGGTACTGGACTATATTCACCTTGGAATGTTTATCCACCATCCCGGCAGCTGGTGAGGTAGGCATTCGGAGTTGCGAAGTCGCTGGCCTGCATGCTATCTCCTGCGAAGACGTCCTGTTGCTTGGCATGCAGTGCCTGAGAGACATGCGCGGGATGGCCATGCAATTAAGACATGTTGATGACAAGATGCAAGCTGTAAGTCAACTTCAAGTCTGTGAAGAAAACAACCTCAGTATCGTTTTGATTAAGACTATTCGTGATGAAGTCCCATATCAACTCTGGGGGTTGAGATGTGTAAGTCATCGCAGTCTATTAGGACGGGGCGAGACAGAGAGCCAAGATGTAAGTTATCCACGGCGGTGCCACAATTTCCTTGGTTTCTCTTGGAAAAATGCTTTGCCAAAAGCTTGACCTAACTTTCACTGAGTGTCACTCTTGGCTGTAGTAATACAGGTGTAAGCCATGAGCTCGGAGTTAAGTCAACAACCACCATGAAAATAGCCCGAAGATGACTGTTTAGTAATATGGAATACCTCATGGCAAGTGAATCCATCTCACACCGGATATCATATTACTGTGGTATTATCAATCGTGATGTAGAGATATACCTAGGTGCCATGGGGACCACCCCTCCCACATGCAAAGCTCAAGCTCTTGAAAGTGAGAACTGCAGAGATCTCTTTCGCCAGTGGCCCGTGCATGGACCGGGGGGTAATAACTCCGTGGCTCTCCACGCCATCCACACGCATCGCGTTTTCTTATCTCTCTCCCTGTCAACCTCTCGCTGATACCTGCGCACGATTTGCAACCACGATTCGAACTCTGATGTCAACCACCCGACGAGACGCCTATTACTTATCCGTTCTGCCTTTCTGCCCTCGAGCTAGCGGGCCGATATGAAAGTACGGTGCGGGAGCCGTAGCGTAGCTCCTTATCGTTTCTTGGCCGCCGGCCACTCTCCACCAGGCTGTCTGTCCATCACTGCTGCAGGACAAGCCAGGAGATGCTCTGAGAAATCCTTCCGCAGAGTATCATAGCAGATCATTGTGTCTGAGATCGAGCTTGGCATCCTGTCGTTCTGACGTGCCTCTAGCCGTCAGCAAAATGCATTCAAACCACGCATCGCGAAACCGAGCAGCCCAATTGACGAGCTGGTTCTCACTCCAGCTGAAGTCAGCAAGATGAGCCCAATGGCTACCAAACTTCTTTTTGAGAGTGACTCTACGGCTCTTGGGTATCGCCGCCTTTTCGCAAAGCTGAAATGTTGTTAGGGTCCTTTGTCTTTTGTCACCCCTCCCATCTACGCATTCCCAATCTCAAATTGAGAGATTTCCAAGTCTCCAAGCGATCTTCGGCCGTTGGGTCTTGATGAAATCAGAAACATGGGGTCTCGGCAGAAGCCTGCAGCTATTCACGCGCTTTCTACTCTGTCAATCTGCAAACCACCCATGAACTCCCCCCCCCGGCCGAAAGATATCGCCCTGCCGTATCACGGCCCCGTCCAACGCAGATGCTACCCCAAACAAGCAATCTCCTAGCACCCGACTGGCCGCAGATCTAACCAGAGGCTAACGTCTGTCAGATAATGAAGACATGCCATTGGCCCGGGATATGCACACGGTAGGCAAGACGGCAACACCATTTCTATGACTGATTGAATTTCGGCCTTATCTTTCTGCCCTGCATGGCCAGTACGCCTCTGTGCATATGTGGTGGGCAACCTCTTAGCGACGTGCCTTACGGATACTGCCCACGCTATCTTTCTTACACTCAAACTTCGTCTCAGGTCTCAAGGTTGAGGTACAATCTTGAAGGATTCGGCTGACCCTGACTTTTCTTTCTTCTGGCCCCCCCGCTGCTAGCACCCCCTCCATCCCCAGCCAGCCTACGCCATGATGCGATCCAAAGTGGCCTGGCAGTTGTATCTGTTCATGTCTGAGTGGGGGCAGAACGTCGAACCGTTGTCGCGACTGGCACATGGGACAAGGGTAGGTCCGGTAGTTTAAGCTCCGATAGCCGTAGGACAATGTTCGGGATCGATGCTGCCGCCGGCCAAACTGTGCTTGCTTGTAAGGGAAGCTTGTCCACGGCGCAGATACATATACAGGAGGACCGGTCCCAAGTTGTCGGGATGTAGGTGGTGTCTGTCTCAAGGGTACAGCTGCTTCTCTCTCTGAGCTTTACACCACATTCATAGTCGAGTTCTCTGACGAATTGGCCCAAGATGGTGACAGCAGCTCTCAACCAGGGCGTCGGCTACGGCATCGTCCTCGGCGTGGGCTTCCTCTTCGCCATTGGCATGGTACGGCGACCATGACACATAACCCAATAAGTTCACGTGTGATTGACTGACACGATGTAGATTGCCACGACCTATGTACTCAAGCGCTACAACCGGGAGCTGCAGACTTCCGAAATGTTCACGACCGCCGGCAGAACAGTCAAATCCGGTCTCGTTGGTTCCGCAGTCGTCTCTTCATGGACATGGGCTGCGACGCTGCTCCAGTCTTCTGGCGTGTGCTACCGGTACGGCGTCTCAGGTCCGTTCTGGTACGCCTCGGGCGCGACTGTCCAGATTCTGCTCTTTGCGACTCTCGCCATTGAGCTTAAGCGCAGAGCACCCAACGCCCACACGTTCCTCGAAGTCATCAAGGCCAGATACGGCACGGCTACGCACATCGTCTTCATTGTCTTTGGTCTCATGACGAACATTTTGGTTACGTTGATGTTGATTGTGGGTGGTGCGGCAACCGTCAATGCCTTGACTGGCATGTAAGTCATAAGTCTCTAGCAGCGTTGGGCGAAGCGAAGAGACTGACATAAAGACTGTAGGAACACTGTCGCTGCTATCTACCTGCTACCCGTCGGAGTCGTTGCTTATACCCTCGTCGGAGGTCTCAAGGCCACCTTCCTCACCGATTGGGTTCACACGTTCATCCTGCTCATCATCATCATTCTCTTCTCGTTGACGACTTACGCCAACTCCGATGTTCTCGGCAGCCCTTCCAAGGTCTACGATCTTCTCGTTGAAGCTGCCCTGAGACACCCCGTCTCTGGTAACGCTGAGGGCTCCTACTTGACGATGAGATCGCAGGGTGGTGTCGAGTTCTTTGTTATCAACATTGGTAAGTGATCCTTCCCATCTCACGGAGAACTTCACCGTCTTACGTGAACCAAACAGTCGGCAACTTTGGAACCGTCTTCCTGGACAACGGCTACTACAACAAGGCCATCGCCGCGTCGCCAGTCCACGCTCTCCCGGGCTACATCCTCGGCGGTCTCTCCTGGTTCGCCATCCCCTGGCTGACGGCAACCACCATGGGCCTCTCCGCCCTCGCCCTCGAGTCGAACCCCCGGTTCCCCACCTTCCCGGCCCGCATGACCGAGGCAGAGGTATCCGCCGGCCTCGCCCTCCCCTACGCTGCCGTCGCCCTCCTGGGCAAGGGCGGCGCCGTCGCGACCCTTCTCATGATCTTCATGGCCGTCACCTCCGCCTCCTCGGCCGAGCTCATCGCCGTCTCTTCCATCTTCACCTACGATATCTACCGAACGTACTTCAAGCCCGACGCCAGCGGCAAGAGGCTCATCTACATGTCCCACGTATGCGTCGTCGTGTACGCCATCATCATCAGCTCCATCTCCGTCGGCCTCTTCTACAACGGTATCTCCATGGGCTACCTCTACGTGCTGATGGGCGTCCTCATCTCTGCGGCCGTGCTCCCGGCAACACTGACTCTGGTCTGGAAGGGCCAGAATAAGTGGGCCGCGACGCTCTCCCCCATTGTCGGCACCGCCATGGCCATCATCGGCTGGCTCGTCACAGCCAAGAAGACCTGCGGCGTTCTGGACGTCACTTGCACTGGCTCCAACAGCCCCATGCTGGCGGGCAACGTCATTGCCCTGCTTTCGCCCATCGTCTTGATCCCCATCTGCACCTTGGCCTTTGGCGTGGACAGCTACGACTGGAAGTCGATGATGGCGATCCGCAGAGGCGACGACCACGAGCTGGCCAACGCCGCCGGACTCGATATCGAGGATGTACCCGGCAACACGGATTCGCAGACCGAGTTCGAGAGGGAGCAGGTGATGCTCTCGCGTGCCTTTAAGATTTCCGTCTCCATGACGGCTTTCATGTGAGTATAACCCTGGTTGCAACTCATCTCCTTGATTTTTACACAGTGAACCTAACAAGGAAACCTAGGACCATCGCCATGCTCATCCTCTGGCCGATGCCCATGTACGGCTCCGGCTACATCTTCAGCAAGCCTTTCTTCACCGGCTGGGTCGTCGTCGGCATCCTTTGGATCTTCTGCTCCTTCTTCGCCGTCGGCCTCTTCCCCATCTACGAGGGCCGCGGTACCCTCGTTCACACCTTCAAGTCCATGCTCACGGGCAAGAAGCCGACGCGCCTGCCCATCGTCACTGAGGGCGAGGATGACAGCAACGAGAAGACTAGCCCTGGCACCGCTACGCCGGAGAAGACTGGCGAGACGAAGGAGACGATCCCTTCCTGATTTTGTGAAAACTGAGGGGACTAGAAAAGAATCACGAGGTGTTGTAAAAATGGGGTAAAGATTGTTGGAGTTGTGGTTTGCGTTATACCCTCGTTAATTGTATGTCTTTCGGGAAGCGATATCCAGGAGTGAGAGACCGAGAATTGAACAATATCTTGAGCATGACTGGGTGTAGAATGTTCGTGCTTAGATGGGCGGGGGGGGAGCGTAATCTCCTCACGCAGACGGGATTTCGTAGATTGTGAACTTCCACAACCCTTGGGTATGTCTATGATGAAGCAGTGTTCCATATCACGCAAGGTTCCAAAGAAAGGTTTAGACGCTTTTGAGGTCGAGATGGATAAATAGGCGCGAATTAAGGTACAGCGGGAGAAAAGTGCTTACGTAATAGAAAATACCCCTCATTCGGGGATAAGCGAATGGTGGGACAGCGCATTTTATGTGCCGAATGACCGTTTGGTCGCTGCGCTGCCACCACCAGCAGCCCGCAGCCCGCAGTGACGTCTGGTCCTCGAAAGACACCGACCCTGGGGATCCTCTCGAGTATTTTCGACTTGCCGCTCGCAGACATAAACAACGGGTCGCTTGTTTCCACACCGCAGGATCAAACGTGGCAAGTCTTTTTCTGGAAAACCTCGCATTGTGCTGCATGACTCGCCCTCTTTAACTCTTCTATCCCGATCTGTACGACGAACAGACTCGACTAACTACGGATACCTTACCGCACTTTGCTGCTTTGGATCCCCTCGCCTCGGGCCGACTGACGACCAGCTTCGAAGTCCCCGCCGCTACCACTTGCGGAACTATCTCGTGATCTTTCATTCCAAAGTCGCAAGCACTCGTTCTGCGGAGAGAGCATTCGCAACTCTTGGTGTTGCCAACGCTCGACGTCGCCCATACACATATATAGCCAACAGCCATCAGCGTTATTGGCTTTGAGCATCCCATAACCCCCGGCCATTACTCGCTGCAACATTCCGTCATGGTCGCTTCCGAACTGTCGCAAGCGGCGCGGGCTGAGAAGGCCGATCCCCAGGCGCCGCAGCTTGTAGCTCAGCAGACGAACGACGTACATGAATCCGCCCCGCCATTGGTGAACCGGGTCGGGCAGAGCAAGAGCCCGTACGTGCGAAGCCATGCAGACGGCCGCGTCGCCTGGCAACTGCTTGACGACGAGTCGATCGAGAGAGCCAGGAAGGAGAACAAGTTGATCTTTCTGCACATTGGCTTCAAAGCCTGCCACTGTAAGTGCCCGCATGGCAGAACCCCACGAATGCCCGACAATGTGCGCTGACCTTTTCCCTCGCAGACTCGCGACTTACATCTACCGAGTCTTTCACCCACCGCGAATGCGCCTCGATCCTGAACGAGTCCTTCATCCCCGTCATCATCGACCGCGAGGAGCGCCCAGAGCTGGACACGATATATATGAACTACGTGCAGGCCGTGAGCGGATCAGGCGGCTGGCCTTTGAACCTTTTCCTGACCCCGGATCTCGAGCCGGTCTTTGGAGGCACCTACTACCCGGCTCCCGGCTCGAACAACGGAGGCTCCGACGACGAGGAGCGTCTGGATTTCCTGGCCATCTTGCGCAAGCTGCAGAAGGTGTGGAGAGAGCAGGAGCCGCGATGCAGACAGGAAGCAAAGGAGGTCGTGGTGAAGCTGCACGACTTCGCGGCGGAGGGAACCCTGGGAACCGCCACGGTCCAGCCGGGTGTCGCAGGTTCGCAGACCGCTGCCATTGGAAGATCAGAGACAGGACTGGAGCTTCCGGAATCCGGCAGAGCGGCGGCCGCCGTGTCGAGCGAGCTCGATCTGGACCAGCTGGAGGAGGCTTACACGCACATTGCTGGCACGTTTGACCCCGTCTATGGCGGGTTCGGCTTGGCCCCCAAGTTCCCGACCCCACCGAAGCTGTCCTTCCTGCTGCGCTTGCCCCGGTATCTCCCCCCTGCTCAGGACGTCGTGGGCGAGACGGAGTGTGCGCACGCTACGGAGATGGCCCTCTTTACATTGCGTAAGATGCGGGACAGCAGTTTGCGCGACCATGTTGGAGGCTCTGGCTTTGCGCGATACTCTGTTACTGCGGACTGGAGTGTTCCGCGCTTCGAGAAGCTTGTTGCCCAGAATGCTCTGCTTCTTGGTCTCTACCTGGATGCATGGTTGATTGCAGGTAGCGGCGAGAAGGATGAGGAGTTCTACGATGTCGTGGTGGAATTGGTGGATTATCTAACGAGCTCCCCCATCAGCCTGCCCGAGGGTGGTTTCATTTCTAGCGAAGCTGCAGACTCGTACTACCGACGGGGAGATAGACATATGCGAGAGGGAGCTTACAACCTATGGACACGAAGGGAGTTTGACACAGTCATTGGAGACGACCACGAGGCAGCGCTGGCTGCGTCCTACTGGAACGTGCTTGAGCATGGCAACGTTGAACCAGACCAGGATCCCAACGACGAGTTCATGAATGAGAACATCCTGCGTGTTGTCAAGGACATTTCAGAAATTGGACGACAAGCTGGCATTACCACTGACGAGGTGAAGAGGGTGGTCACTTCGGCGAAACCAAAACTCAAGGCGCACAGGGAGAAGGAGCGTCCAAGACCCGAGACCGACACCAAGATTGTGGTGGGACGTAACGGCCTGGTGATTTCCTCCTTGACAAGGGCTGGACTGGCTTTGTCGACCGTTGATGAGTCCAAGAGCCAAGCTGCGATAGAGGCTGCCAGTAAGGCCGCTGCGTTTATTCGGTCCAACCTCTGGGATGAAGGCACCAAGACTCTTTACAGGATATACCACGAGGGAGTGGGCGAGACAAAGGCCCTGGCCGAGGACTATGCCTATCTCATTGAGGGTCTCATTGGCCTTTACGAGGTGACCGCAGACGAGAAGTGGATTGAATTCGCCGATGAGCTTCAGAGTAAGAATACTTCCCCTTTCTAACCTCCAGCCCCAGGAACAGACTAACACACCACCACAGAGGCCCAAATCCACATCTTCTACGACAGCCCATCCCCGGCCACGGAATCCACAACCTCCCGCTCCTCATGCGGCGCCTTCTACACCACCCCCGATAACGCGCCCCACACGGTCCTCCGCCTCAAGGACGGCATGGACACCGCCCTCCCCTCCACCAACGCCGTCTCCGTCTCCAACCTCTTCCGCCTCGGCACCATGCTCAACAACGAGTCCTACGCCACCACGGCCCGCGAGTCCATCAACGCCTTCGAGGCCGAGATCCTGCAGTACCCCTGGCTCTTCCCCGGTCTTCTCTCGGGCGTCGTCACGGCCCGTCTCGGCGGCGTGACGTGGGTTGTCGTCCGCGGTCCCGACGGCGCGCAGGACGAGCTTACTACACAGCTTCTGCGGAAGTTGAGCGTCGAGGCGAGCGGCGGGCTGAGGAACGTTGTGCTGCTCAAGAGCGAGGGGGATGTGTTGGCGCAGAGGAACCCTGCGTTGAAGGCTTTGGTGCAGGCGCAGCAGCCGGGGTCGTATTTTCTTGAGAATGGGGTTTTCCGTCCCATCACGCCGGCGGATGTGGCATGAGACATTGGAGATGTCGATGACATGGATGGTGAAGTAGAAAAAAAGGGGAGATCTGAATGGTCCTTTTGGAGGTTCCTTGGGGGAGCTAGTGTGATGTGACGAACGTTCTGTCGAATGACGATGGGCGGATGACGGTTGATGGGAGTTTTTCTTCTTCTGGTTGGCGTCAGTACCCCCCCCTCCAATCTTTTAGATAAATGCTCAATTACCAGATGATGTTTATCCAAGCGCCTATTAGCTTTGGCTTCTGAGATGTGATTCCGATTTGAAAGTCGTCAAGTGCGCGATGGCATAACTTGAAGAGATGAAGTCATGACTTGATATACCAAAGAGCTTGGAATTGTTAGCTTCCACGTGCAGTCTCATGTCCGACATACAAACGCGAACGAGGGGGGGACGTTATACTTAGACAAACAGGCGCTCAAAAACACAGGCACAGGAACACGACGAATCATTACTACATCAAATCAAAAGGTAGATAAGTACTATGCATAGGGCAGCCATTATATTCATCAACTCAAAATACTTTTTGATTCATTTCTCGAATAAGTCCAACTCGGTGAAGATCCCAGAGAGGCGAGATATAAACCCCTTTCTCAACCTCTTCGATTTTCCCTTTTTTTTTCTCTTCTTTACGTCGCGAAAAAAGCAAAGCCAAAATGTTCATCTATGCCTGTGTGTGCCCGCCATCCAGGCGTTGCACTATGCTCTAGCAAAGTAGTACGTTAGTATAGGTTGGCAAAAAAAAAGTCATCCCTGACCATGCCAACCATTTCTGGAAAACTCCTCTCTCCTTTGGCGCCCTCCTATACCACCAACTCGTTTGTATACACCAGACTCGCGGTGCCGGGGTCTTTTACATGGCTTCGTAGGCGACACTCAGTCGTCAGATTTAGTCGACCTGCTTTTCGCAGCCGATTCTACCAAGCAGCTCCTTGCGGTCGCTGTGGCCGGGTAGGCTCACGCCTGAAGAACTTGCTTGTCTCTTGATGCCCGTTCTCCGCTCCCAGCTCTTGAGGTCGATATCTTCGACACCAACCTCCTCCTCGAGAGCGACCTCCTCCTCGTAGACGTAATCGCCCTCCTCCTCGCCTTCGAGCTCGTCGTCGCTGCGGACATCCTCAGCGTTTCCGCCGCGGAGGACCTTGTTGACGACGCGAAGGATCATAAAAAACCATCCAATTGTGATGAGTTGGAGAGCGAGGAGTGGGATGAGAAACGACCAGCGGATGGTAGAGTTCCAGCAAACCATGCCATCCGACTTGTAAAAGGGCTCCAGCATCCAGCTCTTACCCTCGGGGACAGGCAGCGGGCCAATCAGATTGGGCTGTTGGCCGGTGTAGCACGAGTCGGGAATTTCTTCGGGGATGTGAGTGTGGATAGACCAGCAGACCATCAGGTAGAAGACATGGCGGGCAATAAGCCATGACAGAACGAAGGCACCGAACATGAAGTCGCAGAGGGTGTTCAGTCCAACGTACTTGAGACACTTGGCGAGCTGCGACTAATTAGCTTATGCAGGATAAAGGGCCGGGAGCCGTGACGTACAGGGAAGAAGAGGTCGACAACATCCATGAGGACGAGAATCAGGTTTCCGACGCGAGTCTGGTGGTAGCTGTAGCAGGCGGAAATCAGAGTGCAAGTGATGATGTGGTGAGTAAACATCTGCCAGTGGTCCCTGCGGCGGTCTTCGATGTTGATGACGAGAATCTGCTGCAGCCAGAAAGCCCACTGCGCCAGGATGTAGAACTTGTTGAGGCCGGAGAGCTCACGCTGCGGCCAGTTCGTCCAGAGCTCTCTGAGGTTCAACCAGTAGGGCGAAGTCTTGTAGATGTACTGGGTGATCGTTAGTGATTGCTGAGCGAAAGAAGCTGGAGTTGCCAGCGAGAACTTACCATGCCCAGGGGCCAGAAGACCGTGTAGTAAACCAACAGCCAGGCCTGCTCGCTGAAGCGTGTGAGATCCTTGCGCTTCTTGATACCCCATCCCTTGGCCAGGGGTGCCAGAACGTATTCCATGGTCGCGGCGCGCAGGCCGGTGAAGAGAATGATGCAGAACGCGAGCAGGCAGGAATCACCGAGACCAGCGCCATACTGGCCGGTCTCTTGGTTGTAGTACGAGAGGGTGAAGAACTTGATCGTGTGAGGTTGCGCCTTCGGGATGAAGAAGTGAGCGAGGAAAAGGAGGGCCAGAAGGTTGAAAGAGAGACCTAGATCAGGCACATGTTAGCTGTGTCCAAGCCATTATTTGCGAATAGGAGGTATGGCCTCGTGGTCATGTATCCCGTGTAACATTGAGCATTTCAAAGTTGTGGCTTGACAGAGGTGGGTGTGGGGTAAAAATCGAGTTAAGAAGAGAGAGAGCACAAGAAAGACGACGTACCGACTTGGTTCTCAACCATCCACCGGCTCAGCATCTTCCAAGCGCTGTCGTCTGTCCTCCTGACCCGTCGGATGAGCACGACGTTGACGTTGTTGTGTCCTTGCTGGTAAAGGGGGCCGTTCATAAGCTTGAGTTGCTTCGTGCTGGCATTCCGCTGGATTTGAGGGCCGGCAGAGCTGGTCCTGACGGGCTTCTCAAAGGTTGGCGATGAGGCCTCGTTGTTGCTGGTGGTGTCGCTCATGATGCGCGACTAGAGCTCCAATTGGAACTCAATTGAAGTGTCGAAGAGAGCGGCGACCCGGAGTCGGAGTCGTGGGAGAGGCTGCAATGCTCAGCGACGGCTGCTTCGTGGTTTAGCGTTGGTGTTTTCTCGGATAGCCGTCGTGCCCAAGGATCCTTTGTGGTGGTTGTGGTTGGTGCTGAGCCGCGATAACGAAGAGAGATCGTTATCGACACGCGGTTGAAGCGGGTTGGGTTGCGCAAAGGAGCACTTGTCGGGATTCTTGGTACCGCAAAGCGCGACGAGGTCGTCACGGGCGCTTCTGGTAGTGTCGTGGTCGAGGAAAGGGAGGGGAGGGGGGGAAACGAACGTCCTTGGTTGGTTTTAGGGAGGTTGAAGATCGAGAGGATGGGAAAGTGAGCGAAAGGGCAACGTCGCACACTATGGAGACAGAAGACGGGACGGTGGACTGGACAGCGGTCAGGTCAAGCCCAAGGTAAGGTACCTACTCTGTAGACAACGGGACCAGAGCAGGATAGGCTAGACGGTACGAATACACGACGCCAAGGCCTAGGTCAGGATCTGCTCGGTTGCTCCAGAAAGTTGCTGGGATCAGGAGTGCAAGATGGTGCCCCCCCCCCCGTTTGGTGTATGAAGTGGTGGGTGTGGTGCTTTGGGGTGCGTGGTTGCGGGCTGCGGGCTGCGGGCTGCAGCGGTCCTTCTTTCTGTCTGCTGCTTCACCTGCAGTGATCGGAGATGGGTGCTCCTACGGTAAAGTTGTCTGTACTTTTGGTAGAGAGGGGAGAAGTAGGTAGAAGCCCAGCTTCGTCTCGAGAAAAAAGGAGGCTCCACTGAGGTACTCATGTACCTACACGTTGCTCTTGCCTTCCACCTTGCCCTTGTTCATAGCCCCGGGGAAGAAAGGGTTAAGACAACCGGCAGCCAGGCCCAGTTCACTTTGGACAGAAATGGCATAGACTGAAGACATCAACCTCCAGCAAAACCTTTTCTCTCTCAGGCCTTGGTTTCTGCACCTCTCTCTCTCTCTCTCTCTCTCTCTCTCTCTCGCACAACTCGTCTACAGTACATGCTGTATCCGTAACCGTCATGTACTTATTTAGAGATCGCCGGCCAATTCTTAGTGAGCCAAACAGGTTCATCAAAGGCGGTGAAGACGGCTTGCCATTGGAAAATGGAACAGAACCTGGAGGGAGAAAGAGAGAGAAAGTTGACGGTGGCAGGCGTGACATGGGAAAGGGATGTGGGCAAGAGGCGTCGGCCAATAAAAGCACCAGGGTTCTCTTGGTCCCTGGTTCTCTCTTTCCCAGAATGAGTGCGGCACATTAGTACGTACCTGCCGACTTTTCGGGGGAGAATTGGGGGAAGGAAGGGCCCAAGGGGTGGGGGACCCCTTATCCCATTCGAGTCTGGCTGCAGCTTGATCATTGATTGATGCTGCGCTGGGCCGCTGGGACGTGGGACGTGGGACATGGAATTGGACGGTGCGGTGGACAGTGGTGATGGCCTTCAAATTGTCAGAAATGATTAGAAGCTTGATTGTTGTCGCCCATGGGCCGCCGTCGGGAGTGAACCGACCCCTCTCTCTTTTGTCCACTTTCTCTACCTTTCACCAAGACCACCATGGCACCAATAGGTCAAGTCTATTTAAACGAATAATTGGACTCGAGTATCCGTACGAGCGGCAGATGCTGGTCAGCTGGACTCAATTCCAAGGCAGAGCTGTCCGAAACAGAGTGGAGGGAGGGGAACCAACACCGCAACGCCGCACGCGAACGCAGACGTGGAGACGGGAGTTGAAGATGGAGAGAGAGAAAGGACGGGCGGGTCTACTCGTCCTCAACAAGTTTCAACACTGGCCCATTGATCCAATTAGATTGCTCTGGTTTCCTGCTTCTTTCCTCGTTTTCCCTGGCCATTGTGTTTACTGCTGATCTCGCCATCTTAGCAGAGGGCACGTTGGAACAATGGCACGGGCATTGACAATCTTCATCTTGGAGACCTGCACCGCGTTTAAAATGAGGTGATTTTCACCCCCTAGAGCCTTATCAATGTTTACCATACATGCCCCTGTCAATCATGTCAACTTTTTCTAATTGCTTCTATTCTTCTTTTGCTCTCAGCCTTTTGCTTTTTCCAGGTTCCTGATAGGTCTCTAGGCGCTGTGTATCCTGTTGTACGCAGTAATAGTTTGGCTTTCCCCTCTGATCACCCAACCAGGTCTCACAGACAATTTGTGAGATACCCCTATTTTCATCTGTGCAACGTTCAACAACAACAAATGACTTTTCCTAGACTTGGGTCATGCATTCAATAACAAACAATGTCTGTTCACAATCCTTGACACCGCCTAGACTCCCGCGAAGCCCTGACCCAATAAATCTGACTGCCACTGGACCCCTTTGTAAAGCAAGATGCTGTTCAAACTTCAGAGCAAATGCTCTCTCTCTCCGTATAGGCACTGAGTACGGCAAGGTAGGTACTCTGTACTGTACCTCGCCATGAGGTGCTGTAGAGGTACGGATACATACCTTGAAAGCTCGACAATACCTTGGCCCATCCTCCCGTCCCTTTCCACCCCTCCCCGTGCGATGGCGACATGCAGCAGCCAATTGCCAGCTCCGTCACCTCGCATCCAGGACGAGACCGTCGCTTTTCTATTTAGCTGCCGTCAGAACGCTAGTGATCCTCAATTATGACCTTTCGTGAGAGCCGCAAACCGCAAACCGCAAACCGCACTCCGCGCGTGGCCGTGACGCCTCATCTCGATGGAGTGCCTCCACTCTTCAAGGTGCTTAGGTTGATGTGATGTCTAGGGAAACGGTACAGAGTACGGCCACAGAACTGACAACCCCATCCTCCCGTATCATAAACGCAAATTCACGTATTCCATTCCTACCCGTATGTATCCGCACCTGTATGCGACATCACCAAATCGCAAAAGAAAAGAACAGACGAATACGGTCGGACCTCGCATCACAGACAAAACCAGCTCAGGTGGTCCCAAACTTCCGCCTCGTCCTCGTCTTTACCCGTCTTCCCGTCCTCCAAGACTCCAGCTCTGTCCTCTACTTGTTCCGTGCATGCGTCCAGAAGGACTTGTCAAGATCTCTTCCCCCTCTACCTATCTAAATCTCTCGGCCTCCGCGTTTCATCCCGTCTTTTTCGACGAGTATCGGCTGGTCGGATCTTTTTCGAGACCGCCACTTTGGGATGTGATGGTGATGTGATGTCGATGTACGGATACGGGGCGTCTATAATGACTACGCAAGTGCTCCGTATACCATTTGCCTTTCCACAAATCTATAGAGGTTCGAACCTTTTCTGCCTTAGCTGCAGCTTACAGAAAGCTGCGAACATCAGACCACGCGGTTGTCAAGAGGCTGCTACAGCCACTCTGCCACTCAAGGTCCAACATGCTAGATGAAAGATCCATCAAATCAATATTGTAATTACCCTGCTGTCTGCACCGTTTAGCGTTCGCGCTTGCTGCCGTGTCTTCAGGCACAGTTCGAGGTGCAGGGAATATGCCGAGCAAGACAGGAATTGCATGAGAAGGCCCTTTGGATACATGCGACCGCTTACTTGTAAATATGAGTCGGTAAGCAGATTAATGCAATAAAAAGAACAGAATCCTGAAGATCTCGCCCGAGGATTCTGCGACGCCACATTCCCATCACATGACCCCGCCAACGCCACACTCTACCCCAGACCCATCAGCCACACACAGCTGTGTAAGCAGTGACCGTTCGCATCACGCCCTCCCCACATGATCCCTTCCTGACGACAACGACTCTCCCCGCCCGGCCCTTCCTTCAACCTTTCCGCAGGCAACCAACAACCAAAAAAAAAAAGTTCAAAAGTGCTCGTCATACACCTATCACCTACGCGACATCCTCCTCGCAAACGTTTTTCTCGACGACAAGTTCAAACACTTTCCACCAACGAACCGGCCAAATCCAAGCGTAAACGATGGCCTCAAAGACAAAGTACGCCCCGGCGCCGACCCAGGACCCGGACGAAGCATCAAGCTACGCCCAGGCGCCCCCCGCCTACCAGGCCGAACCCACCGCCGCCTCCGATACCGACCGCCTCTTCGGCGGCGGCGCGCCTCGTAGCAGCCAGGACGATGACCTCCCCGATGACTTCAAGGTAAGCACAGCATAGCGCAGCTCTCCCTCCAAGCAAGACTCTCCAGCTCCGGCTATCCCATGGCCTCTGTACCCATCGTGAACCAGCTTCCAACTAACCCATCAAACCCACAGTTCGGCGGCTCAGTAGCAGAGGCCACGACCGATATCAGAAACCAGTTCATCCGCAAGGTCTACGCCATTCTCACCGTCCAACTCATCGCCACCGGCGCCGTCTCCGCCCTCAGCTTCTTCAGCGATGGCTACAAGACCTGGATCCAGGCCCACCCAGGCCTCGTCTTCGCATCCGTACGCTTCCCTCTCCGTCCTCCCCCTTTCCACGTCTCCTGTGAAAGGTGGACAAAGACTAACCACGTGAAACACAGCTCTTCGGCTCCATCATCATGATGCTCCTCACCTTCTGGAAACGCAAATCCTACCCGACAAACCTCCTCTTCCTCTCAGGCTTCACCCTAATGGAAGCCTACACAATCTCCGTCATCGTCTCCTTCTACAAGGCCGGCATCGTCCTCAACGCAGTCTTCCTCACAGCAGGCATCTTCATCTTCCTCACCGCCTTCGCCTGCCAGACAAAATACGACTTCACCTCCTGGATGCCCTACCTCGGCGGCGCCCTCTGGGGTCTCGTCCTCTTCGGCTTCATGTACATGTTCTTCCCCTACAGCTCCACCGGCGAGCTCGTCTACGGCGGCATCGCAGCCCTCATCTTTAGCGCCTACATCCTCGTCGATACGCAGCTCATTATGCGCCACCACCACGTCGAGGAGGAGATTGCCGCCGCCATCAGCTTGTACCTCGACATTATCAACCTGTTCTTGGCGATTCTGCGCATCTTGAACAGCCAGCAGAACAACTAAAAGCTGGTTGTAACACACACACAATACCCCGATGTTCTATTAGTAGCGTAATCTGAAATTCTTAGCCACGCAGTTTTGACTTCAGACAGGTGGCTTATGAGGAGAAAATAGGCTGTTTTATTGTTTTATTGGCCTTCGTTATGCATTACGGACGCCATAAGATTTTGGTGCGCAGGCGGAAGACCGAATAGGAGTGTGCTTCTTGCACGTGCTCTTGACATGCCTCCTTCGTAGTGAATTGATATAATACAAATTGGATCACAAAATAGACAGTGCATCAGTAAGATATCACGCCGGGAACAAAATTTGAATTTGGTGAAGCGGTAAAGTAATGTGATAACTGCATTAGAAGTCGACTAATAGAAAAGGGAAATGAGAGCGTTAGTAAAAGGGCTACAAAGGCACAGCCGGAAAGATGCGGGCTGGCGGCGTGATAGGGATGATGGAAACAGATTGACGAGTAGCTTGTGGCCGACAGGTCCCCCGTGTCCTCCATGATCCCCCCGGCCTCGACCCAGAAGCCTTTGAACCTCCGCCCCGAGAACGTACACCGCTTCTTCCCACACATCTACCGAGCCGGTAGCCTCTTCCCAGTCGTCGCATTCGTAGTAGACCTTTTTGGGGTTTTTATCTTCGTGTCAAGAGAAACGAACTCGCATAGGGGAATATTGTTCTTTCTCTTTCAACACAGCACGGAAACCAACGCCAGTATAGAAAAAGACCAACGTCGCAGTTTGGGGTAACCATAAGCAGGGGCCAGAATTGTTGAATTAGTTGGCTTCGTGGTCGCCGTTGGCCTCGGCGGGGCCGCCGGCTGCTGCAGACTGTTCCCTCTGCATACGGGCCTCGATCTCGCGAAGTTGGGACTCGCGGGCCAAGAGCTCTTGTCGCTTCTCGTTGATCTCGCGCTGGACCTTGATCTCGATCTCGCGGAGCTTCTCCTCCTCTCGCCGCAGCTGTTCCTCCTTGAGGCGCACAGATTGCGAGGCGAGGTCCTCGGGGTTCATGGACGAGTCGCTAAAACATGGTCAGCATGGCGACATCATGGGTAAATAGGGGTTTGCAAGACATACACTCCAGCACCACCCTCAACAGACTTGCTGAGCTTCTCGGTACGGTAGTTCTCGTACAGGAAGTCGTGGGTGATCTCCTTCAGGTCAGCCAAGTGGCTGTGAAGAAGCGCAGAACGGATGGCGAGGAAGTCGGAGTGGCGCGGGTTGTCAACCTCGACAACACCCCAAGGGTACTGGCGGGCGCGGACGGTGCGACCGCCAATCTCGACAATCTCCTCGGATCCGACGATCGCGAACGGCATCAGACCTCTCAGCTCGGCGTTCTCCTCGACAGTGTCCTCGTCGTCTTCCTCGATGTCGTAAGGGAAGTTGTAGACGGGGATGCGGTAGTGCTCAATGTCTTCCATCACAAGCTTCTTCGACTCGGCGAGCTCAGCAGGGGTCAGGGAGTCGGCACGGCCAATAACGGGAATGACGTTGACACGGGGAGCAAGGCGCTTCATGAGCTCGATATCCAACTCGCGAAGACTGTTGACTGAGTTAGTGGCGGTCAATAAGGCCAAGAGACGATGGGCTTACCCGTGTCCGGTAGGTGTGATGAAGTAAAGCATGGCGTGCACACGGTTGTCTCTGAAACGAGGGTTACGCTTGATACGAGACTCCTCGGCAAGAATGTCATCGTATTGTCTCTCGAGGTAGCCGACAATCTCGGAGAAGCTGCGTACACGTTAGCAACCGCAATACTATCGAAACGTTGGCGTGGCGCCTTACCTGGCCTCATTGTCAATCTGGTCACCGAAGCCGGGAGTATCGACAATGGTCAGGGAGATACGTGTGCCCTCCTCGTCCAACTCCAACTCTATGGGGCGGTCAGTTTGCTGATGCGATGCTCAAAGGCTTGGAACGGTAGTCACGCACCGACAGTGATAGGCTTAATCTTGACACCATCCTCGACAGAGGCGCCGTTGGGGTCGTCCGACTCCTTGTGGCCGAGCACGCTCTTTCCGCAGAGGGTGTTGACGAAGGTGGTTCTTCCTGTAAGGTCGAAGGTTAGTCGACAGAACTCGGTGGTGTTTGAGTCAACACGAGGTTGGCCATGTAGGGGGAAAACGTACCAGTGCCTGATGCTCCGCAGACCATCAAACAGAACTGGATTCCCTTCTTCACGTTCTTCTTTCTGCGCATCATCTTCTGTAGTATAGGGTGTGGTCAGCAACGCGGTATCTCGAGGGAAGCAGATGCATTGGGGCCATGATGGCTTCGTGGAGTCGGGGGAGGAATTGTTGAATGGGGGCCGGATTGGTGTAGTAGGGGGTAGACTGAGAGAGGCGGGCAAACATACGACGGTTGTTGAAAGTAACGCTTAATCTAGATGAGGGTCGGTCAAGGAGTCGTTGAGGGATTCAACGACTTGACGAGAAAAGAATGGCGACGATATCGTTTCAAGGGACAGCGAGCGTCGTGTCGTGTCGTAGATGAACGGAGCAAAAGGACTGCTGGATCCCAAATGTCGTTGTTCTGGATTGGGACCTGGGGGTCGGACGGGAGGTGCAGGTGCTAAAGGGGACGGGAGGGTCTTGACCGACGGGTGTTGGAAAATGCAATTTCACACAAAATGTTGCGGCAGGACGACCCCAAGTGCCCCCCCCAGCCAATTGATTGCTTCCTCCTGCATGCCCAATTCAGGGGGCAGCAACTCCCCGGCCCACGCTCCTTTCCTCCAAAATTAGCGCTAAGCCCATAAAGGAAAAGCACCAATAGCGGGGTATCCTCGGGCAATTTTGGAAGAGAGTGAGGATGACAGGTCACGAGACTGGCACATGGTCAGTGCTGAAGCTTTCCCGCCTGGCTGCAGCAATTGCGGCACGCACGTTGGATGTTGGCGCGTTTGCACCGTGTGTCCAAGGGACCAAACATGTTTCGCGTTCCTGGGGGAGCGCCTTACCTCAGGCCAGGTGGCCACCAGCTGGACAGACGTGGCAGGTGCCTCGATCACACTGGCCCTCATTTCATCTCAAGTTCCCATCGTCTCACCACGGTGCCTGCCTTAAGGTACCAAGTGGGTGACAACCTGGAAGATAGTATGCCAGCCAACATATAAGTAATCCCTTTCCTATCGCATCTACCTTTTTGACTATCCCCTCCCTAAACTTCCTAGAAGATATCATTGAAGGGATACAGAGAGTATAAAGATTTTGAAGTATGATATTGGTACTATCGATAATCGCAGCAACAGGAACAGAAACTCAGGTGCATGAGCAGCAATTCATTTCGTTACCTGCTTGCTTATTTAATACCGCTAGGTACCTTTGTACCCGGGCACGCACCCAACTTCCACCCATGGACAGGCAGGTTGGTTGATGCGCCGCATGAGACGGGACGATACGATACGTACCTTTCCCTACTTCGAGGACGTCTCCAGGCTGACTTCAATTCCCATCTGCTGAGACACTGTCCACGAGGTCCTGTTTGTGAGCATCGTCCCTTTTGATATCCGCAAACCGGTCGCCTTTCATTCTCTTGAATCATCGCTGGGGGCTGTTTGTCAACTGCATACACTTGCCAATCTCCCCTGCCAACTTACTTACCTTGCCCCAGCTTCCTGACTCGGCAATTTAGCTGACTTCGACCCGCTCAACTCACTGCCGTTGTTAATAGACGCTTCAACCCGTTGTCGCCCGTCAACATCATCGTCAATATCGCCAGCGGAACACCTCTCTTTTCGAGAGATGCGCTTGTCAAGGATGATATCATAACGAAGAATTCCAAGAACAACAGAATATTGGCCTGGCCTGCCGGCCTTGCATCCACAGCGCTCATCCCTTATTACCGAGCCCCTCACCGTCACACAGGCCAAGCCGTCACCTATCCGCGACAGCGACTTACAGGCACAATATCAAACAATGAATACTCGTCCACCTATAGAGACGGCGCCCTCGACAGTGGTGCTTTCTGTATCGTTCAATAGTGATGCTAGTTGCTTCTCGGTTGGTCTCAACTCAGGGATATGCAGTAAGTTATTGTGGCAGCTGAGATGTGAACACTTAAGCTATTCATGATCCCTGACATCCGGTAGTCTTCCACACCAAGTCTTGCCTTCTCAAGGCATCCAGAGGTTTGCGCTTCCCCCCTTGTAACCTTTCATAAAGAAATGTGGCTAACCACAGTATAGACTTCAATGCCGGCATCGGTCTGGTCGAGATGATGGGGACGACAAACTATCTGGCGCTCGTCGGTGGCGGTAGACAACCCAAGTTCAGTAGCACCAAGGTATGTGGTGAATATTCAGCCCTCTTCAGGATCGCAGACTCATCCACCCCGCAGACCATTATCTGGGACGACATGAAGGGTAGAGTGGCCATAGAGATCGCCTCTCTTACACCAGTGCGGAGCGTCCGGATCGGTCGAAACCGTATCGTCGTAGCGCTCCAGAACAGCGTTCGTGTATACTCGTTTGCGAAGCCTCCCGACCTGCTGTCAGTGTACGAAACCACGAACAACCCCCTTGGACTCGTTGCCATGTCAGACAAGACTATTGCATTCCCGGGTAGAACCGTCGGGCAGATCCAGCTCGTCGACATCGGAACCGGCAACGTTAGCATCATCCCCGCTCACTCATCTGCCCTCCGGGCCATTCAAGTGAGTCCAGACGGCGAGCTTTTGGCGACGGCAAGCGAGATGGGCACTTTGATCAGAGTCTTCGCCACAAGTAATTGTGCCCGGCTTGCCGAGTTGCGGCGGGGCGTTGATCCTGCCACGATCTTCTCTCTCGGCTTCAGTCCCGAGGGCACCAAACTAGCCTGCACATCAGACAAGTCGACACTGCACATATTCGACGTCCCGCACCCCAAGAAGCCCATGACAGCACCGACCAGCCCGTCGGCGTCGCAGATGGCGGGATCCGGCATCCTTGCAGGCAGACCGGCCGACGATGGCAAGGGCCGCTGGGGATTCCTGGGCAAAATTCCCTTGATGCCGCGGATGTTCTCGGACGTATACTCTTTCGCATCTGCACCATTCGAAGCAGGCGACGATCCCCTCATCGGCGGCCTGCCCATGTCAGAACAGACGACACTGGGGACAACGAGACCGCAGAAAGGCGTGATCGGATGGATCACGGAAGACAGTCTGGTCGTGATTGGCGCCGGACACGACGCTAGATGGGAGAAGTTTGTGATATCCAAGGGAGAGGATGGACGCCGCTATGTCGTGCGGGAAGGCTGGAAGCGATACTTGGGTAGTGCTTCATGACGAGATGTTTCTCAGGCTGGCTCGTAGGAGCCATGCTGGCTATTTGGTTCACGGCACCGTGTATATTACATTCGGCGTTGGCATCGGACAAGCAAGGCATTCAGGGGTATCGGCGATAGCATCGCTTAGTTTGGTATTAAGTATTCAGGTCATTTTCGAGACTACGGCGACTTGCTCCTGGTTCTACTCCGCCGTGTGTGCCGTCGCTCATCATCACGATCTCTAAGCCTTTTATGCTGGCGCTCTTCCGAACCATCGCGGTCACGATGCCGGCGCTCTTTCCTCCTCTCGCCGTCCTCGCCTCGATCACGGCCCCGGTCTCGATCTCGTCTGTCTCTTGATCGGTCCCTCTCTCTCCGGCCTCCATCATCCCTTTTCGACCCCCTATCCCGGTCCTCGCTTCGATGTCCGTGGCGGCGTGAACTCCTCTCGTCGTCTCTGCGATCTCTGTCGTCGGGCGTGTCATCGCGACGAGACCTCCGGCTGCGATGCCTATCCTCGTCGCGGTCCGCGTCCCTCATCTCCTCATCGCTGTCGTGCCTGCGCGACCTGTGTGACCGATGACGATGCTTGTGCTTCTTCCGCCTCTCAGACTTATCATCCCGCCGCCGCAGCGCCTCCTTGATCTCCTCCTTCTTCTCCTCAATCAAGAAAGCCTTCATGGGGTCATCCTCGTCATGGTCCCGAATTAGCAGCGCAAGCTCCCTCTCCTCAGGCAACATCGGTCGCTGCTCCTCCTCGTCTTCATCCGACCCCTCGTCTGTCTTGTCGCCCCCTTCCTGCTTCATAACAGTCGCCCAGTCCACTTTACCCTCGTCCGGGTCCTCGTCGTCGCGGAACTTGTAGCGCGCGTGGTCTACGCTAATCATGCGGCTGCCAACGATCGTCGCGCCGCCGAGATTGTCGACAGCCAGGTCGGTACTGCGCTGGTCCTCGTACTTGAGCCAGCCGAAGCCCTTTGATTTGCCCGTCTCCTTGTCGCGGGCGAGCTTGAGCCAGACGGGTTCGCCGAACTGGGAGAAGATGGTGATTACGTCTCCTTCGGACATTTCGTAGGGGAGACCGCCAAAGTAGATGTACGCCGTGTCGCGGTAGTCGACGTGCCAGGAGCCTTCGGGGGAGCTGTTGCGTGTCAGCGCATGGTCCTCACTATGCATGGAAGATATGATGGTGTAACTTACATTCCATGTTCAATCTCCTTCTTGTTGAGCTCCTGGATGGCGCGTATTTTGTTCATGGTTGCGACGAGAAATCCAAGGTCCTCTGAAGCTTTCGACAATCGTCAATTCCGTGGTAGACGACTGGTGTACTCAAGCTTCAATTCTTCCAGGCTGAAAGAAACGGCGACCTAAGCTTAGGTAGGTTTCTTGGAGCTTGTCGGCTCCAAAAGAAAAAAAACGCCGATGCTTCGGGTAGCCGTGTAGCACTGTCAGTGCGTCATCTCCCCCAATATGCGCCCCAGCCCCCAAGACAATCCCTAAAATGACACTTCGCTAGCGCAGCTCACTGTGCTGCAATGTCACTGCACCGCTGCAATTTAGCTCCCGTCGGGAAAACAGCCGGTCCGGAGCTCAAATCCCCCGACAATTTGAGGAAGGGGCAATGAGAAAGCGCTGGTGAGGTGCCAATAGCTTTGTGGGAATTGCGGCCGGCCATTCAAGTCAGGACTCCCAGCTCCTAGAAACGCCATCTTTGCTTCGATCCGAGGAGTCTACTTTCCTGTATTTTCTAGACTTACCGCCGACCAAAACTCCCATAATCCAGCGTACTTGTCGACCTAACCTACACCGCGACTCGACGCGTCTATTTGCATACGCATAAAGCTGTCCACTGTCAACCCACCGACTCAAGTTCCTGGGCCAAAACACCACGTCCCGAGAGACCCACGATTTCCCACCACCCCCCCTCATGCGTCCTCCTCAGCGACAAACACAATCATGACGGCAAGCGCAAATCGGGTGTCGACGTACACATCGGCTTCCGCGGGGTCAGACGGCCGCAATGGAGAGAAGAAGGACCTCTGGAGCTCCATGCTCGACAACGTAGCCAGCAGCAAACGGCTACCGGAGAAGAACATGATCGTTCTGGGAGGTTCGCCAGATTCGCAAAAGGAGTTTGTCGAGTCCCTGTCGCACAGCAGCGAGAAGCGAAGCCTCGATCGCAACACCTCAAAGACGCCTCCCATTGCAAACAGCTTCGCTCTTGGGTATACCTACTACGACGTCCTGGATGCCGACCAAGAAGGTTCGTTGACAGCTCGGCTTGGCTTCTTTTCCTTATGCTAACTCGGTCTCCAGACATACTTGCGCGGATCTCCCTCTACATGCTTTCGAACCCCTCAGAATCATTCCCGAAACTTATTCAACCCCTAATTAAACCCGAGACGATACCGAATACCCTAATGGTCGTGCTCCTTGACTGGTCTACACCACACTTGTGGATGCGCCAACTTAGAGAATGGATCTTGTTCACGCGCAGCATCCTCGAGAGCTCGGGCAACGAGTGCCAGGCGACGATGGAGGAGGTGATGGTCGGTTGGCGGGATAGGGGCAGGGGAGGTGGCACGACGAACCTCGACGGCACGGGAGCGACCGCCAGCGAAGGCGATGTCGCATTGCCTCTTGGACCCGGTGAATGGGAAGAGGGCATAGGTCTGCCGCTCTGCGTGGTCTGCCAGAACGTGAGATAAAGTGCCATGCCGAAAGGTTGATCGTGTGGATGCTAACGAACTCGCAGGCGGAGAAGATGGAGGGTCTGGAGAAGACGCAAGGGTGGAAGGAGGGTGACTTTGACCAGGTTCTGCAGTATCTCAGGACAGTGCTGCTGAGACGTACGTTTACGCTTTTCCCCGGGGCCGAAGGCTATGTTAACACTATTGTCCCAGACGGCGCATCGCTCATTTATACCACACCAAACGTCCCTTCATCATTACCGAGTCTAGTGCACTCGAGTCTAGGCATCACCTCCCTACTAAAACGACAACCTTTGAAGCACAACACGATTGACAGGGATAAGATCCTGGTCCCGCCAAACTGGGACTCTTGGGGCAAGATCCGCGTGCTGAGGGATGGATTCAATGTCGAAGATACCAGTCAAGGCTGGTCGCATGATCTGCAGTCCACTTTCCCTTCACCCGCGATGACGACGGACGGGCTGACCATTTTAGCTAAGGCCAAGGCGGACGGAGACTACAACGGTGAAGTTTCGTCCTCAGCAGTGGCGCCGTTTGAAGACTGGATCCGCGATCTCAGCCAGGCCGGCAGCGCCATCTCATTCGCAGGTCGGGATGGTGACCCATCGCAGCTGGAGATGTCATCAACCGATACGCAAGAGTTCCTCGGTTCCAGTCTACAGACTCTGGACACGCACCGCAGCCGGAACAACGATGACAAGAAGGCAGACGCCTCAAAGTCGAGAACGGGACAGCGGACCGACGAGTTGGATTCCAGTGCGCTGCGGCAGGGCGCTGACGACGGCAAGGTCAGCCAGCACATTGGGCCTGTGCAGTTTAACATGGGAGGCATCCAGGTGGATGCGGACGACATGGTGCAGCGGCTTAAGGTGAGTGATCCATGAGTGTTGTTTTGGGAACGACAAAAGGGGCTAACCCGAAATGCAGGACCGTCAGGCATACAGTGCTACACAGGATCCCACCACGCCACCGGCTGACACCGCCGAGGAGAATCCTGATGAGATGGACAACGACAAGCTCCAGGCTTTCTTCAGCGGTTTGATGAACCGCAAACAACCTGCCAATGGCAGCCCCCGCGGAGGCTCGTGAGTGTGTTGATGTCGAGCGACAGTGGGGGACTACGGGCATACCCGCCCTATGCTCGTTACGGGACCGAAGTTGATTTCGAACCTGGCCAAGCGGTTAAATTATACCCAATTGGTCTTTTCAGGGGAGGATTGTTGAATTTGAAAAGAGAGAGTTGACCATGTCTGACGGACATTGGCCACGAAGGAAAGCGACGAAAGAGAGTGTGTATCTTGCCCTCGGTCGGTGTATGTTGGAGGGAGAAGGCAAGATTGCGCAGACGAGACGAGACAGTGGCGGCGGTTGGGCGAGATTCAGTCAGATCAGCAATCAGTCAGTCAGTCGCTGTAGAATAGATACCCCGATTATGACAATGCTTTGCGTTTGGTGTTACCTTGGGTTCAAGAAGGGGATGTTGAATGTGGTGACGGTGGAGTCGGGTGCTTCCACAGCTGAATACACTCAGGCGAGACTTTTCCCATGTGCCAATCCATAAGCACTGCGCAAACGAGCGTTTCTTACCTATCTTGTGATTTGTGCTTGAGATGCCGGGGTTGAACCATCACTTGGGTACTCTGTCAAATCAGAGAAGGGACTCCGAGTTAAATTGAGCTTGATTCTGTTTGAGTCTTGCATGTTGAGTCCGATATGAAGCTCTTGCAAGTTGATTACATTTAATACACGCACACCATCTAGGTGTAGAACAGCAAGACGTTGATCGTTTGCATGAGCCAGCAAGATCAGCAAATTCCAACCACCACTCTCTCCCCTTTCCCTCCTTCTTCATCCCGCTTATTTCTCGCACCATCCAGTAGGCTGACCAAGTGCCTTGCACTTGGCAACGAACAAAGGCTCGTTGATATCAATCATGATCTGGCACTTGGTAGGGTACGGTCCGCCTACACGAGGAACACAGTCCCACGATTAGTGTCTTCAACTTTGATAGCTTGAGGGACGAATATGTCTTGTCTGTACGTACCGACGGTGCCGTAATCGGGGCAAGCGTTCTTGGTGGAGGCCGGGCCGCTGACGAGCGCGGACCCGGTGTCCCTGCCGCAGTAACAGTTCTTGATATCGTCTAGGCGCTTGGTGACGGTGTTGTCGGTGGGTGCGCCGTTGACGAGTGCGGCGAGGCCCCTAGGTTGGTTTTTGTTAGTGATAGCGTGGCGAGATATAGGGGAGGAAGACGAACATGAGGGCGATGATGGCGTTGAAGGAGAACATTTTGGGTAGGTTGGTCTGCGTGGAAGAGCTGAAGATGTGGTTTGAGGGTTGTTGTGATAGTGATAGGACAGCTTTTGAAGTTTGGTAGGGACTACGTGATGTCTTTATACTGCTGGGAAGAGGAGTGAGGCGTGATCTTCCCCGTCTGTTGAAAGTTTACAGAATATCTTCCTCAATAACCGATATCAAACCCCATAAGGATGCCCTTGTTTCCATTCTCATAGCCATATTGCTTCAATCCAAACGGGCGCTCTCACGATCCATCATCGGCTTGCCTGACGCGTAGGTTGGGCATGCATCTCGGTTGGGAATACATGTCACCGCTGTATTGCCAAATGGTATACCTTCGCAGTCGCGAGTCACGAACACGAACATTTCCCGCATCCTATAACGGTTCCCCGCTTGCACCGAACCTCCTGAGCCTAGTCCAAATGAAGGACGTTATTACTGTTGTCGATCCTACAGCTCGCTTTTTGTCACGAAATAGGAATAGCATCAGCACTCTGTAATCAGCCCATCACGTGCGTTATCACGTGGTTCTCTCATTTGTTCCTATATAGCACCTTCCCTTGCTCGATTCTATTTGGGTTAATACAAGCCACTTTTACCACACTTCATATGCCCATTGCTGCGTGCCATAACTCGTGACACTTTTTGACATGTCACAAGGATGATCTACAAAGTTGAGGAGCGAAAAGAGTCATATCAGCCAAGCGAATTCGGCTCGATCCGATCGCCTACCGTTACTTCGCAAGTTCGACGTCCAATTAGTTCAGATTACAGAGATCTCGAGAAGAACGAAACTCGCAGCTGATTGTATGCCTACTACGTTGTTCTGAGAGTAAAATTATCCCATCTTGAATGACGAGTAGGCTGATGGTTTCTATCAACTTCAAGTTCATATGACAGTATGTTTTTCGCTGTCTAATACTCCCATGGGACCGAGCGCCATATTGAGTTTTCATGGCATAGCATAGATACTCAACGTATCCGTTCGTCAAAGCTCATTCTAACCTTCGGTTGACGACTTGACAACTGATCGCTTGTTCAGAAGCGAGAAACCATGCTGAAGCGGTGAATGGTATAAGACATAAGCTTTGGGAAGACCGAATGATAATGGCAACGTTCAACAGCCGACGTGTCATTTCGGGACGTCTCCAGGACCGGGCAGGTAAAGCATAAGGAGATTTAATATGTGACTACAAGCATGTAATTTCTACCAAGATTATATAAGTAGAAGATGGTAGCCGCTGCGGATACTTGATACCTTGATCAGAATCTTGTAGTCTGGACCAAAGTCAACATTGGTTAACACCTGACTACCTTACATGCAAGTGAAGATGCTGCGTTTTCCCTGGAGACGACATTCCAAATTCAAGCAAAGAGAACACAGCGCAGCAGCATGGTGAAAATCTTATCAGCGGAACTATTCAGCCTCCGGACGTCGTGTGCTCAGTGATATGGAGAATTTCTCTTGGCATTCTTCGATGATTTTGGAATACCTGTGACCTGACCGGATGTCGTTGAGCAATCCCACCGGCTCGGCTCAACGTATGCTTAACTTGCGGCCCCATTCTATATGCACCGAGCCTCATCGGATTATGACCGCATATCGAATAGTAGACTCAGCAGACTCACTAAAAGATGGATCATGTGAAGCTCAGTCACAATGTCCTGTTCTTCAGTTTGATCTTAAGTCGCTAAGATAATCACTTGCGTACAGAGTCGAGCACGTTATGCGATTGACAACACCGAAAAAGACATCAAGTGAGTCAAATAATTTGATGTAATTAGAGATCAGTAGAGGATTCCCTCGAATATTTGCAGTTTCCTGGTCTTCGCGATGCAAGGAATGAAAATATTAGACGAAGTCGACACCCAGTCTTCGACTTAGACGATGGGAGCAGTATTAATTCAGCCAAGGACATATTCTACTTGGTGAGGAGCTCGCCTCCGAACTCAACCCGACATACGTATCAACTTACTCCCTCCCCTCCGTGTGCGCCCCAGCCTCCTCAGCAGACACATCCGGCCCAGGCCCCTGAAGATGCGTGAGGGCAGCGTTTTGCACCGTCTGTTCCCCGTTCACTCCGCTTCCCTCATTCACCCCATTCGTCTCCTGCCCATCGCAACAAGGAACAATGACACTAGTCTTATTCTTGTTGGTGGGCATATCGAGTGCCGGGTTCGAGGTGAAGAAGTCTGCTGGCCGGATGGTGAGGTGATGGATTTCGACGGGCCTGGTAGTGAACGTATAAGTTAGCCGGTAGTCTTATAATCGTAGGTAAAAGAGAGTGATGAAGGTCGAACCAGGGGAAGAAGGACGGGATCAACGCGGAAAACAACTCACATCACAGGCCAATCCTCCACCCTAGGATTATGCGTCAACCCAAACACACTCCAAACAACAGGACTACTCTTCCTACCCTCACCACCCCTCCCGCCATCACCATTCGCCTCCCGCTCATCACCAAACCAATCCCCCCGCTGAACCATATCCCACACCCCACCAACCTCCTCCCGGCTCTGATTCGTATACTCCCCAGCCGCCCACAGCTCGTCATCACGATGTCCCGTAACCCAGACATGATGCCTCGCATACTTGGCCCTCTTCGACACCTGGCTCGTCTCGTCCGCCAGCAACAACTGCGACGCAGACGGCGTGAGCTTGAACCCGACGTTCCGGCCCGACATGGCATTCTTCTTGGTTCGATTCTCAAACTTGATGACCCTGTTGAGTTTCGGCTCCGCGTCAAGCCAACTCGCCCTCTCGATGATCCTTTTCTGAATCTCATAATAGTTCCCATACGGATTCGTTTCTTTGTTCAGCGGCATAGGCACGCTCTCCTCCACAACGACACACGTATCCCCTTCAGCATACGAGTCCACGGCGGGATCAATCCTTACAGCAAAAATATGCTGATGATTCTGCGCCAGCACGCCCGGTGCAACAACAGCGCCGTACGCAGACTCCTTTTTCCCCTCGTCCACCGCCACGACGCTCATAATACCCGTAGCCCGCGTCTCAAGCGTGATCCCGCCCGCCGTGTCGAGCTTATACGCAAACACGTACTCGTAATTAGCCAGCGTGACGACGCATTGCACAACGAGCTCCCGCAGCCTCGTCACCACGGCCCGGTTCGTGCGGAAGTTGGTGTGTTTCCATCCAATCCCGTTGTCCTGCTCGTGGAGACAGACCACGGCTTTCGCAACCGTCGGGTTCCCCTCCGTGTCGGCCATGAGAGCGTCAAAGTAGTGGATCGCGCCGAGACAGTCGCAGCCGAGCTCGAGGTTATTCGCCACGCGGCCGAAGCCTCCGTCGCCGAGATCAAAGGCCTGCTTGCGCTGATAGGGCGGACGAGGGTCGCCGTAAGGCACCGTCAGCTCGCTGTAGCTTAGACGATACAACACAGGGCGGTTATCGTAGCAGAGATCATGCAGCACGGCACCCTCACGGGGGGTGAAGCCGAGGCGGAACCGCCACTTTTGCCACTCGACGAGGTTATCCGGCTGTATGGCAAAGGACGCGCCCTCGGGCTGGGTGATGTTGATAGGCTTCAGGTCCTCGCGCTGCGGGACCTCGAGGAGCTCGGGGACGTACTCGGAGGAGACGTTGCTGGCGAAGAGGGATTTTGGTTCCGCGGCGCGCGGGTGCGGAGCGAGGCCGTCGCCTGCACCGCCGGTGGCGAGGCGGTCGATGCGGAGGATCTTGCGGGTGGCTACGTCCATGACGGGGATGATGGGGATCGGGTAGCCGTAGTGGTTCGAGTCGATGTTGTTCTTGGAGGCGTCGCGCGCGAAGACGAGGCCCTGCATTAGACGGGCAATGTCCCCTTCGTCGGCGTCCGGACCGCCGTAGGGCCAGGGGTCGATTGCGACGGTGAAGTTCTCTGGGAGAGAGAACTCGGACATTGCGTCTCTGAACATTTGAGATGCCACGCAGGCGTCTTGGAAGATTGCAAACTCATCGCTGTGAGATGTTTTAGCCGCGTGATTCTGACTGAGATTGATACCATAGTAGATGAGACTCACGGGGTATAGCTGGTCTGGAAATGCGGTGCAGCCACGGTTCTATCAAGCTCGCGGCCGGTCTTGAGGTCTACCACGGATTGGGTATACTCGGGCGTCTTACCGCTTCTGATTACATCGTATTGAACCTTTGCCCGGCGCGGCGGGCGAGGTGTCTCATCTGTGAGTTTTCCCGCATGCTCCGCCTGAAGATACGGCACGAGTTCCTCTCTTTTTGGCTCTTGAAGGAAGATACATCTGAAGAAGAGCGAAACGTCTTGGTCAAAGAGCTTGGCGACGATGTCTCTTGCCGCCTTGAACTCGTCTCCAGACAATGCGGTCAAGGGATGAGTAGCCATTCTGCGTGGAATCAAGCTGTCTACTCGAGATAGCGAGGTGGATAGCTATAGTAAGATGGGGACCTTTGGAAACAGCACTCTCCAGGTATCAGTGGCTGACGTCGGGCTTATCTAGACTTTCAACGGGCGGCTAAGACGCGGTGCGGGGATCTTGCAGTAGTCTGATGATAGGAACCATTCATCCAACAGTGCAGATGGTCCATTGACTAATAGCTCGATAGATGACCACAAATGCGCAGCTCGGTCGCTTGGTCACAAACTCGGAGACGATTATAGGTTTCCCGATGACCGTCTACTTGACGTGGTCAGAGATTCATCCAGTGACAGATACGTGGTGACGATGGCGGGGTAGAGGCCGTCTTGTTGGACTGGCTGGGTGGTGGGATGGCGGGGTACCAAGCATCCGACTATCCAATCGACTGCTCATCACCCGTCGCTTTCTCCCACGATTTGGAGATCTCGTCTTCTCTTCGGGTGGCCGAAAGCCACATGCGGCAAGTCCATGCGGTGCAGAGTCTCCATTGGTCGCGACCATTATCGACGTCTTGCTCTTTGCGGGAGGATGAGCTGACTGGCTAGACATCCACCAGGTGTTTACTGGATGGAAGCTTAAACCGAACCCATTATTGCTGTGTAACATGGTGGTTTACCAAACGATGGTACGGATACGTTGTCCTGTGTCATGGAACTTGGGAGCGAAGGTGATAATCACTGTGCTAGGCTGAGACTCTGGTAAGTCTGAGCCGTGCCTTGACCTTGAAGACAACATTGGGGTTTAATCCTCAGGAAAGTGCTGGGTAGGGTGAAAATTAAACTACTTCCTGCAGCATCCGATACATCTGACCTCAGACGGTCAATAAGCATGATGATAATGCCCACTGACTCCTAAGAAGCAGAAGAAATGCAGCCTTCCTGCAGTCGGACCTACGGTAGATACGTACCAGTCGAGTATCACAGACTACACTCGCCCTGTGGAGGCTGGCACAACGCAATACGGATATCGGTGACTCTGTAACACTTTAGACATAGCCGTTTGGTCAAGTGAGAGGAGCCGTGTTAGTGCCACCTCGGTACTCGAGACCCACGAAATTCGCACAACGGTTTAGCGACGATATGACGATCAAAGACAGGTCCACTTACCCTATAGAGTAAGTAGACAGACGGAAGTTAATAGCCGGGCAAGGATGGGGACCCGCAAACACTATCCGCAGACAAGAAGCTGGGCCGGCTGGGATATCTGGAGAGACAAGGCCGGCCTGGGGTGCAAAGGTAATATGGATGACAACAGGTTGTCCTCTCACGAGTTTCGTCTCCAGTATGTTTGTTTGAGGGGAAATGCCATGCAATCCGGTGTAGCTCTGTGAATGGCTCTCCCACTCAATAAAGGCGGCCGAGGCATTGACCGCCGTGCTGGTGGGCTGCTGACCAGTGACGAAATGACAATCGACAACGGAACCGTGCATCATCGTCCGGAGTGCGGCAAACAAAATTGGGATCGCGGCAGGTCATCATAGGCACAGGCCAGCACCCCCTGGGTGAGCTCTCATTCTGATCAACCGTCGTTCGCCTCGGTATGACTCGATCCACAAAGGTAACCGCACGGCCGGGAACACCGGGGGTTGTTGCAAATGCTGAGGCTATGAGGAGTAAGGTAGTGGGGTTTCTGGACTCCTGGTCAAAGAACAAGGAACCAAACAGTTTGATGGCTGAGCTGGATGTGACGGTACAGCAGGTTTTGCTCGCATGGGAAGACTCGGATTGGTGGTTTATCTATCGTGTGGAGAGCTTCAGAAGTTGAAGGCGACGACGGAGATGCGGCCGAGACCAAGCCGTGCGTGCTCTGGAGAAGTCATGGAGATCGGGTCATGGCTATCCGCAGGAAGCCGAGGCCGAATGATGGACCGTCCGTTGGAATTCCGGAGACGCGCCATGAGGAGTCTTGCGTGGCCAGCATGACACCAAGCTGCTGTCGAGACTCTTGGGAGCTATGGAGCTTTCTTGAGGGCGCCCTAAAGGTTGTCTGGAACTTTCAACTTTGAGACTTCAGATGAGGTGGAGGGAAGCTCAGCCCCAAACGTGGGCAAACAGGGCTGATGCTTCCCTAGAGGCTAGCAGTTGGCTACTGGACTGCAGGCCCTACTGCAGGCATTTGCTGTGGTCTGCGGGAGCACTCATGTCCTTGTGCGGCACTCTGTAAGGGAGCGTCTCATGTCTGTAGACTTGGCGAAACGGAGGTGGAAGTTCGGACAGAGATTGACGTGGACGCTTGTGCTTGTTTCTTGATACGTTTGTGATGGGGCGTGTTGGTTGCAACGTTTGCTTGAAGCCTGATGTGATGTGGTTGCATCTTGATAAGGTAGACCAATTTGACCAAGTCCCGTCAACGTTCGTCAACGGAGGCCGATGAAGACTCGGATTGGTTGATATGTGACCAGGAAAGTGTATCATTTGTGCGGCTCAGTGAGACGGGCGTGGACGGCAGTTGGGAGGAATGAAGCTGGTGGAGGACCCTGGGCGAAGAAGGGCCAACGTCCCATGTCACTGGTCAATGGCTCCTGCATATTTCTAGTTATCCGTAGGTACTTTCTTCTCAGGGCCGATCTTTGGTAAGAGAAGGTACGATGCGGTGGCCGACAACAGCGAGACTTCCATCGATGGTGATGATCCGACAACGCACCTTCCTAGAGATTCAATCCGTGCCTCTATGGTCAGGCAGGTGGTGCGTGGCAGGTATGTGGCAGCACGGCAGGTATGTGGTTGACATTCCTGAGGTTCCGAATGTTGGGTTGGGAAGGGGACGCTCCCTGGCGTTCCTGCCTTCCCGTCGTCCTATCAGAAAACTGCGACTGACCTGCAGATGTATTCCTATTTTGGGAAAGGGCCCATCCAGGGTGCTCCCTTCTGAAACGCGCCAATTTATCTGATGTCGTGATGGCCCGGGGATCTCCACGATGCTCGCTCTGCCCACTCCTCCGTACCAACTTTTTTCGATTTTCATCTTCTAGACCGTTGATGGGCATTCTTAATTTTTCTCTCTATGATCTGCGCCCGCTTCTTCTCCATGTTGGTGGATGTCGTTAATATGGATTCGCCGATGAAGATGGACATAAATCCACCATGCCAATTACCCAAAGCTTGCTGCGTCCCTGGTCTGCACCTCGAAGCGATAAGACATATGCCTGCTCAGGTACGTACTACTTGACTGAGGGTGACAACACGTGGAAGATGCCAGCGGTACCTGGAAATCTGGGATACATTCCTCAGACGCAACTTAGTCATGCAGACTCTCTCCCTTTTTCCAGACTTGGCATTTGCATTGCGTGGGCCAGAGAAAGAGAGAAGACGAACACCGCAGAGGCCAACAGGTTCCGCGCGTCGACTTTTGACGGGCAGATGTATAGACTTTGGGGGTCAAAAACTGTCCGATCTTTCCACTGTTTCCAGAGAGTTATTAACTCAGAAACCACTCCAGATTCCAGCCAGGACACGCAATGCCTCGTCGCCCTTACATCATTGACGATGGAGTTGAGGTATGGCTGAAAAGGCCGAATACGGGACACCTCTCGGGGGACGCTGGCTTATCTGAGTAAGACCCGGGCTGTCTAGACGTGCATTTGACGATGCGAGACTCCAACGAGACTCCACACATACACTGCGAAGTATTCGTACTCTGTACGTGCGGCTAGATGGACTCGACTCAACGTCGAGTCTTACTCTTCCGTCCTTCCGTTGCTCCACCCGGCAGCTCTTGCCGGGCACAGATCCCACTCTGCTCATTCGCCATCCCATATCATCGTCTCGCAAACATTTTTTTTGTTCGGATTTCTGCGTTGCGCGTCCCTCTGTCGCATTGTCTTGATCCAAGTTCTAGAGTCTCGAGAACGTGCACATCGTCTAGACTCGTCTGTCGATGGGCACATGCGCACAGAAGACCCTTGCTGGTTTTTTTTGCTGAAAATGCTTGATGTTCGTCTGTGCCAATGGTCTCTTCCTAATCTATCTGACTGTCAAGCCTCTTGGCTGATCCAGTGGCATGTCTCCTGCATGAGGTGGTGCGTGGCCATTGGTGTCGGTGTTAATCCGATATCAACGGAAGCGTCCCAGTCAGCGCCGAGTTCCTTCACCAGATCATTGACATCGAATACCTCACCTATCTGCCAGGTTGCATCGTCCCGTCGCCTCGCTACTGGGTAGCATCCGCACCAAGGCGATCGTGTCGCCGGCCGGAAACACATTGCGCAGTAGCGCTGCAGCGCATGCGGGATCCACGCAACACACCTCACAGACTCACACCTGAGGCTTCAGTTCATTCGTACAGGGTGAGGTACGTACTCAATCACGACTGTTCAAACTTCCAGGAAGGAAGGAGGAGAGAGAGGAAGAGGAGGACTTGCCGTGCAGGGAACCTCGACTTGGAAATCACACAGGGAAGGCAGGAGAAGGGGGGACCACGCGAACAAAGCCACATCGACTTTTCTTCGGATTGCGAATCGTCCCAAAAGCTCCCTATCCACGCCATCGTAGATTTTCTCTCTATTTCTTTCTCTCATTACTTACATGTCCCTATCCTACAGCCGTGCCCTAGTTTCCAAGGTTTGCTAGTTTATCTTTGCCATTCTCCCTTGCGGCATCCAATGTGTTAAAACCCACGGTAACCAGCTCATGCCAAGTCTCCATTCCCCTTCCGCCCCGTCACAGAGCTTCTTTCGAGTGTTGCTACATTTATTTTGCTGCATACAACCACAATCACAAGCAAGAGATCCGCCGGTCCATTCTTTCAGACTGATTGCATCTTTGCAAAGCCTTGGCCGCTTACCTTCGACACTTTGACTTCGAGGACACATTAATTGACGTTTTCAGCACGGCACTGTATCCGTACTGCACAGCCGCCTGCCGCCCTCCCGAGTCCCATCTTTTCGGACCTGGACACGCAAGTCAGCATCCCGGCGTCATCCAAGTCGTGGCCTGCGGATACCACCGCAGCCACAGCCGCATTCGCATCTTTTTCTCCATCTCACCCGCCCTCACCCTCGCCCTCGCCCCCCCTAGGTACGGAGTACGGAGTACGGGACTACGGGTACCTCTATCTCGCCAGGGTCAGGGACAGAAAAAGGTGCAATCGCCCAATTGAGACCCCTGGAAAGGAGAGAGGGAAAAATCAGAACAAAAAAGGGAAAAAGGTCACCTTGCTCTTCCACACCCAATTACTTCCAGTTCCTGTCCTTTCAAGTCTCGAACAGACAAAGTCAACCACAACAACCAACGCCTGCCTACTCCTACTATCCACCTAGTATTAGAGCTTCGACATTGACGTATCCGTCCGCTTGTTCTCGCAATCCCTTGGCAACCCTCAGATCGATCGCCGGAACTCTATCCAGCTCCTCCCCGACTATCGACGGCCCCATCTTCGAGGTATGTTCCTCGTCTGCCATTACGTCCCCGGTCTCCACGCCTCTCTATCCGCTACCCAGCTCATCCCTTCACCACCAAAACCTTGACAGGCTTCCTCCCCTTTTTCACCCAGCCCAGACTTTCCAGACTTCATTTACCTGCCAGCCCTACCCGCTTGCTGTCACTTATTCTCAGCATTGCGCCTCAACCTGCTGCCTCTTACCCCATTCTCCTAATCAGTCCCAAACTGACATGATCTTTCTTGGTTTCGCAGGAATCACTCCGCCATAGTCCGAACCTCGAAGCTTCCTACGACTCTTTTCCTCTTTAAACCCCTAATCCGGCGCCTCTCCATCTTTTCCAGGAACCACGTCGCATCCCACTCTATCTACAACCACCGCTCTTTTCTACCCCCACGGTCCGACTGTACGAATTGGCAAAGCGAAACTTTGCCTTCCGATGACTTCATAGTCACCCAATTGAAATCGTTTCAACCCGCCACTCTTTTTACACATACATCACAATGCTCACTCCTCGGAGAGCCGTCGCGGTCGCCGCGTTCCTCTTAATCGTCTTTTACCTAATTTCCTCCTCCCACGACACAACACCTGCCGTAACGGCACCAGTCGCTGCCTCCAACCATGACACGACAGACTCCAAAAAGTCCTCATATACCCCTGCCTCCTCCGACGGCGAGATCAAGCCCTCTGCTCCCAAGGTTGCGACGCAAAAGCCCATGATGGACATGTCCAAGATGTCCTTGTACGACAAGCTGGCATACCAATACCCCTACGATCCCGAAACGCGCTTCCCGGCCTACATTTGGCAAACGTGGAAGTGGACACCTGCCGAGCAACAATTCAACTTCCGCGAGCAGGAAGCCAGCTGGTCGGAACAGCACCCTGGCTTCGTGCACGAGGTCATCACCGACAAGGTCGCAGTCAACCTGCTGCGCCTCCTTTACGCGTCCGTCCCCGAGGTCCTCAAGGCTTACGACGCTCTTCCTCTGCCCGTCCTGAAGGCCGACTTCTTCCGATACCTGATCTTGCTTGCGCGCGGCGGCATCTACTCCGACATTGATACCTACGCTATCAAATCTGCCCTCGAGTGGATTCCCGAGCGCATCCCCCGGGAGAGCGTCGGTCTCGTCATTGGCATTGAGGCGGACCCCGATCGCCCTGACTGGAAGGACTGGTACAGCCGTCGTATTCAGTTCTGCCAATGGACAATCCAGTCCAAGCCTGGCCACCCTGTCATGCGCGAAATTGTCGTTCGCATCACCGAGGAAGCTCTGAAGCGCAAGAAGGCAGGCAAGCTGGACAACATTGCTGACAAGAACGTTGTCGAGTTCACCGGACCTGCTATCTGGACCGACGCGATCTTCGATTACTTCAACGACCCGCGATACTTCAACCTGAAAGACTCCAAGGGACCTATCGACTGGCAGAATTTTACGGGTATGGAGACGTCCAAGAAGGTGGGCGATGTTGTGGTGCTTCCCATTACGAGCTTCAGCCCTGGCGTGCAACAGATGGGCGCCAAGGATTATGACGATCCCATGGCCTTTGTGAAGCACGACTTTGAGGGTGAGTTGACGCACATTCCGTTTCTACAGACCAAAACTAATCCGTGAATGCAGGCACCTGGAAACCTGAAGAGCTCCGCCACATTGGCGAGCAAAACGAGGATGGTTCTTCCAAATCAAACTAAGACAACAAACCATCCAGCCGTACGAAAGTGACGACACACACCTTTTCTTCCCGTACATGTCTCTTTTAATATTTGCATCTCCAGCGGCGTCGTCACCCACGGTCACGGGTTGGGCATGTTTCAGAAGTCGCGTTTCGTCTTTTTGTTGACTTTTTCTTTTTTGTGGCATCGGCGAGGAAATACAAACGAACTGCATACCCCAGGAAAACGGGAAAAGCGTAGAGCTAGCTTTGTTTTTGGCATAGAGTCTAGTTACAACATCCCTCGATCTGATAAACAGGTGGAGGAGTAGCAGAGAAGGGACCTCACGGAATTCGATGGGAGAAGGGCAGAAATTGGTCTCCAAAGGCGAGCGTCCGGCGAGGCGAAAGGCCGCAGAAGGTTGAGAACAGCTGCAAACCTCATTAGCATTGTGGTACATATACCCAAAAGCAGTCTCCGAGCAAATGGAACAAATTTGAAATGCCAAACTCACGATGAGAAGGAAGTGCAACACCAATTGCCTCTGAATCTGGTCTGGTTCAGTCTCCACTGATGACCAAGTAATGGGTTCACAACCATCTAGGTCCCTAACACGCCGACAGTTCCGACTCTTGACTTAGAGTTCTAGAAACCAAAGGAGGCATGTCGTGGCCTCGAAACCCGAGGCTGTCATCGCGCGTCATCCTCACTTGACACCCGGCCAATCCCACATCGTGCACCCGCGGCTACCTTTTTTATTTTAGGGAGATATTCCCTGTTCGCAGCGGGTACAACCCCGCACGGGTTCTCCGCATTAGCTGTGAGGTAAGGGCGGGGGAGCTTCCTCTGCCAAGGCTAGTTTACCCCCAATTGGCAATTGGCAGCTGGACTCGGCTCGGTGTGACGGGGGGAAAAGCGGCCAGACGCGGGAGGGAAGGGAGAACTGGACGGACCGGACGAAGAGGAGGGCCGAGAGTGTCCAACCTTCTTGCTCCCCCCGCCTTGCTTCGAAGGATACCTTGTACCTTACACAGACGCATACGAAGAATTAGTGAGAATTCGACGAATTATTGGAGAGAGACGAGAGCCATGGTATCGTCATAGCGAGACATCTTTTGAGAAATACCTTTTTGCTATTTGTATTCTTCTTAAGCACCTTTTGGGGTTTAACCTTTGGGTTACAGAGCCGAGGTTGAGCGCGGGTAACAGTTTCGACGACGACGACGACGACGAAAGATGATGCTTTTGACTGCTGGGTACGTTCGTCTGGCGACGGGTTCCGTGGCGCGGACTACGGCGCGGAGGATATCTACGGGATCTCGATCCGGCGCTGTCGTTGCCGGTGTTGGGCAGCGGAGGAAGTTGTCTTCAGGGCACGAAGGGCTGAGTTTCAGTCTTGGTCCCGAGGAAGTGAGTTGTCTTTTCTCTTTGCTGTTGGACCTTTGGGGAGGATGGAGTCCTGCTCGCTCTAATTTAACTTTGCTCGAGTGAGTGAGTTGGCGGGTGTCGATGGAGATCAATAGTTGGTGTGAAGCAGCGAAGCTCATGAGAGATCATGACTTCCTGGAGCTCGTATACCAACCTCACTTACTCACCAGCAGCAAGACATGCAAAAAAGACAAGGCTAACATATCCGACAGCCCCCCCTCCTAACTCAAACCATCCCCCAGCACTTTTCCCAAATCGTCTCCCAACACGGCGACCTCCCCGCCGTCACAGCCCGCAGCCCAACCCCAAACTCCTCCTCCTCATCATTTGCCTCCCCGGCCGCGACAACAGCAACACTAACCTACGCCGCTCTTGACGCCCTCTCAAACACCCTAGCCCACGGCCTCCGCTCCCTCGGCGTCCGCAAAGGCGACCGCCTCGCCGTCTCCCTTGGCAACGGCGCAGAGTTCGCCGCGCTCACCTACGCCGCCTTCAAGCTCGGCGCCGTGCTGGTGCCCCTGAACCCGGGGTTCAACGCGAAGCAGGTCGGCGCCGCGCTGCGCCATTTGGGGGTGGAGTGTTTGATTATTGGCAAAGTTACGGATTTGCCGTATAAGCCGTGTCGGGGGCGGAGTAACCTCGAGTTGCTGAGGACGCTGGTGCCGGATCTGGATAAGGGGGGAGGCGTGGTGGAGAGTGAAGTCGTGCCGAGTTTGCGGAGGGTCGTGGTGTTGGATAATGCTGGATTTCACCCCGAGGTGGAGTTCGCGGGTGGATTCAGGGCGTTGACGCCGTATGAGGTTCTTCTTGAGTCCGGGTCGACGGGGGCGGTTGTGCCCGATGCGCCGCTGAAGCCGGAGGACAGGATCAACATCCAGTTCACGTCCGGGACGACGTCCCAGCCGAAAGCGGCGATGCTGACGCACACTTCGATTCTCAACAACGGACACCTCATTGCGCAGAGGATGGGTCTGGTGCCGGGGGATAGGATCGTGTTGCCGCCGCCGCTGTTTCACTGTTTCGGGTGCGTGTTGGGGTACATGGCGACCGCGACGACGGGGGCGGAGATTTTGTTTCCGAGTCCGGCTTTTGACCCGTCTGCTACGTTGAAGATGGTAGCTGATTACGATGCGACGGGGTTATATGGTGTGTCGACCATGTTCGTCGCCGTGCTGGAGGCGTTGGCGGGCGGCGGGGTGGTGAAGAGAGAGGATATGCCGAGGGGACTGAGGAAGGGGATCGCGGCGGGGAGTTCGGTGCCGGAGAGTTTGATGAGGCGGTTGTATGAGGTTCTCGGGCTGCGGGATTTGGTGATTTGTTACGGGATGACGGAGACGAGTCCCGTGAGCTGTATGACGGCCCCCGACGACGGATTCGACAAGAGGACGGGGAGCGTGGGGAGGGCGATGCCGCATACTGCCGTCAAGATTGTTGATCCGGCGGACCGGGGACGGGTTGTGAAGAAGGGCGAGAGGGGGGAGCTCGCGGCGGCTGGGTACCTTGTTATGAAGGGGTATTGGGGCGACGAGGAGCGAACGGCGGAGGTGAGGAGGGAGGAAGGGGATGGGCGGGTGTGGATGTACAGCGGGGACGAGGCGCGGATGGACGAGGAGGGGTATGTTGAGATTACGGGGCGGATCAAGGATTTGATTATTCGGGGTGGGGAGAATATTCACCCCCTCGAGGTTGAGAATTGCTTGTTCCAGATGGAGGGGGTGAATGAGGTTTCTGTGGTGGGCGTGCCGGATGAGAAGTTGGGGGAGAGTGTTGCTGCGTTTGTGGTTTTGAAGAAGGGGTGGAGGGGGGATGATGGGGATGGTGCTGCGGGAGGGGATAAGGTGATTAGGAAGGATGAGGCGAGGGCTTGGGTTAGGGAGCATTTGTCGAGTCATCTTGTGCCCAAGCATGTATTCTGGGTGGACGATTATCCCAAGACGCCGAGTGGGAAGATTCAAAAGTTCAAGCTGAGGGACATGGCCAAGGATTTGCTCGAGGGGAAGAAGTAGATGGATCATAGGGTATGGATTTACAGTAGATATAGCATCACATAGTACGGAACCAGCGAGTGTGAGCTGAGGTATCATGGTGTTTTTGATTTAGTTCAACGTCAAACGGATTACAGCTAGTGCTCGATCTTGAGTGAGAAATCCACGTGTGGTACGCCTTGGTGAATGGCACTCGTCGAAACAACATCAACATCTGTAAACAGGTCAGTGTGCCGTCCATCGAGAAACACCAAGCCACCAGGAATAACTCACCATTACACACGTAATTCTCGACGTTCTCCAACGTCAACCCACCAGAGACCTCAACCAAAAAGTGCTTCTTCCCCGCCCACTTCTCCTTCAAACTCTTAGCCGCGATCTTGACACCCTCGCCCGTAAAGTTATCCAGCATGACCACATCCGCTCCCGCGGCAATCGCCTCATCCGCCTCCTCCTCACTCTGCACCTCAACCTCAACCTTCAAACTGAAACCACCCACGCTCTTAGCCGCTTTCACCGCATTCGTAATGCTCCCCTTGCTCCAGACATGATTATCCTTTAACATAATCATCGAACTCAAATCATGCCTATGCGCGTCCGCACCACCCACAAGCATCCCATACTTCTCCACCAGCCGGAACCCAGGCGTCGTCTTGCGCGTACCCGCCAGCACACCATCATACCCCGCCGCCCTCAAATTCACCAACATACCCCTCGTCATGCTCGCCACACCCGAACATCTCGCCAGCGTATTCAGCGCCACCCGCTCGCCCAGCAGGATCCCGCGCGTGGGTCCCGAGACGGTCGCGACGCGCATCTTGCCCTTGGGGTTATGGTCTCCGTGGCCGCGGAGCTCGACGTGGGAGCCCTCTTTGACGTGCCACTCGACGGTGCAGCCGCACTGCGCAAAGACCTCGTCGACAAAGGGCCGGCCGGCGACGATGCCGCCTGATTTACCCCAGAGGGTTGCGGTGCGCGGGGCGGCGCCGACGACGAAGCCGCCGTAGTCGAAGGAGGGGGTGTCTTCGGCGAGCCAGGCTGTTACCATTGTCTTCCAGCTGGGCGGGAGGAGGTGCTCTGGGGAGCCGTGCTCGAGGGGGACGTCTTCCATTGTGAGGGTGTGGTTTGGGTGTGGTTTGCGGGGGAGGGGTTTTGGTCGGATCGATTGCTTAGACGGTGATGTCGTGTGAAGAGCGGGAAGACGACGAGATGGAGTCGTTTTGGGGTTCGGGAAGAGGAGGATGTCGTCGATTGAAAGAAGGAGGGAATTTGTATGACTGAAAGACTCAAAGGTTAATCGCCACGGTTCGGATTCGTTGACGTTGTTGCCGTGGCCGGCTTCTGTCGGTGCCGTCTTCTGCCGATGGTGGGGTTAGCGTCGGCAGCTGGGCGGGGTATCAGTGCAGCTGGTGCCGACTGGTGCTCAAAGGTGTTTCCTTTTGACTTACACGGCTCACGCCTTCACACGTTTCTGGAGTTCCGAAGCATTGAAACCATGGTAAGTGGCAAAAGTAAGTCGCATTGTTTCTACTCGAGTATAAATAATCGATCTGAGTGCTCAAAAATACCATCTAAATCAACTACGATCCGCCCCAGATCTCTGAAAAAACGTTCCCCGATCCTCTGTCTCACTGACCGAAAACTCATCAGATGCGTACACAAACCCGCTAGACTGGATAGACCCAGACCTCGAAGACTCAGTCAAAACCCCAAGATCAGAGCTATCGTGAGAATGGTGCCGCTCTCTCGAGTCGTCTGGCTGTTCGTGGCCTGCCTGATCACCGGCCGTGGCCCCAGGTGACAGCGGCGTGGAGTCGTAGAAGTCGTCGATGGTTAGTTGACGGATGGGGCGGAAGTTCCGGTACAGCTCCGTTTGGGCGCCCCGTAGGATGTGGACTGTGGCCCTGTCCCCGCTCTCCCCCGGCCGGTTCCGCGTTGTCGGATCCGCTATCGGAGTTTCCGATTCCGAATTTGTTGGGTTTTCGACGAAGCGTCGGTCGAGGACGTGGGGGAGTTGGAGGCGGAAGTGCTGTTGCTGCGCATTGTTTATTTCCTCTTTTTCTTTATCGTTGTCGGTTTTCAACGGGACGGGTTCAAAGTCTAAAGATATAATGAGTCTTACACGGACAGGTAAGGTGTTTGGCCGGACAAAGCACTTACACGGAGATGGCACAGCTTCGCTAGGATCATGAAAGAGGACATTATAGATGGCTCGCCACTGCCGCTCTTCAGTTCCGTGCATCCGTTTTCGCATATCCTTTCTTTGCTGTTTGGTGCATCCCACAGGCAACACAGTTGAGATCAGTTCACATCTTGTCGGTTCTAGCAAGTGATCATGAAGGCTTTTCTCAGATGGGAAGACTGCGGCGCATCGGGAGCAGTAGAATGGTATTACATGGTGATCATAAATATGTTTTCTGTTCCCTGTGATGTAAGCCCATGCATTATCTGGGAATGGATCATGCTGACCTGACTTCGTTCACGTTGGAGAAACCAGAGTTTCCACAGAATTTCTTCCAGAAGCGCCCATTGGGATCGCGTTGGTAGAAGGGACAAGAAAACTTCCTGGGCGGTACATTCGAGTGATCGCCATTAAGGTCTCGCTTCGGCGATGGCTCATCTACGTCTTGATTAACCTTGGAGGGTTCAGATGTCGATTCCTCGTCCTCAGAGCTGCTGCATCCACAAGGTGGCGGGAGAGGTGTTGCACGTTCCTGCTTTTGCGGCGGAGATGGAGAGGTTGAAGGTGGAGGCGCCTCGTCCACGCTAGGTATGCTTGACTTGAGACTTTGGTTCAACAAGGTGGCGAGCCCGTTGATTAGTGTTTCGGCTGCTTCCAGTTCTGATTTGGTGCTTGGGTAACCCTGAGAATGGGTGATTCTCGTGGCACCAATCGTGATGTTAAAGGACATGGAATCCGAAGGGCAGCGGGCTTGATTCCCGTCTGGATCTTCTCGACGAGGAGAGTATGCCGTATTCTTTAGTACAAGATTGTTGTTCCTCGATACATTACATCTACACCCTGTTGCTCTACTATTGCCACAGATATTCGTTGGCTGTGTTTGGCATGAGCGTTGTGAATCTAGCGAGCAGGCATGACCGACCACTCTATGGAGTTCGGGCCCCCATCGGCATGTCTCTGCAAAGTCCCAAAGTTAGCAAGTATGATATTCTTGGACACTTGCACTTGCACTTGCCTTCAAGCCCGCTAGAGCACGGCTCCGTCATTTGACACTTAGTCTTACGACCGCGCTGCTCACGCTTTTCCATGTAATACATCGGGACAAGGAACATGGCTGCTAGAAACAACGCAGCGGAAACCCCGGCCACGAGGCCCAAGATGTCGGGAGACATGCCCAGATAGTCATCTTTGCGCTGCTGCTGGCAAGGAGGGGGTTGGCGGTACTGAGGTTTCCAAGACGTGGACATTTTACCATTACGCGCTGAGGCCAGACTCTGGGATGAGGAAGCGGTATGCCTAGACTCTGGTGAGAGGTGGGCATGTCACGTTCAAATATGAGATTTAAGTCTCACGCTTGCTGCGGAGGAAAAAGGTCTCAGATCTCGATACCGTTTGCAGGTGTCTTGAACGTTGAGTCCCGATGATGCGGATTGGGTTAGGCCCGCGATCATCTCTACGACTAACGGACAAGCCACACAATTTCGAAAGTTGCGCTCGGTACCTTAACATTGAAGATCAGATGGCCAGTAAATTGGCAGAGGAGGGGAGAAACATGGCTGAAGGCAAAGGCAAGTGTATGTAATGTCATCAAAGAGAGTGCCTTATTCAAGCTCAGCCTCGGGCTATCAAGTCCAAGTTCAACATAAGCGTACAATGAAGACTAATTGATTATTGTTGACTACCGCTTGATTCGGACGAATTTACTCCATGTGAATTGTTACGCTCTTCTAGACTTCCGTCCGACTGGTTGCTGATATTACTTATCAAGGGAGTGTGGGTGTTGGCCACCCACAGCATTTTCAACCTCGTGGCACCGGCGAATATAGGCCCTCGTATCCAGAACATGGAGTCCATCTCTCGAAAAGAAGTAATAGTGCTCGAGATCGTGCGCCCTGGAGTACCACTTGCACTCGGACGCCGTTCCGGGGTCTGCAAGAGCCGCAAGGTCCCGATCGCCAGACGCCTCGAACCAGCCCGTATGGCCGTCGTTTGCGATGCCGAAAATATAGCCGTTGCAGACGGCTACGTACTTCGACTGGTGCTGAATTCGGAGGCGAGGTTGACCCCAGACCTCGTTGAAGAAGGCGTGAGCTTCTCTGAGGCCTTTGGCGCCCTTTCCGCCGATGGCGGCGGCGCAGTTTGTCCAGGCGCGGGCTGGGTACCATTGGGCGTTGACGCTAGTGGCAGCGAGACCGATGACGGCTCCGATGATAGTTGACAGTTTCTGGAGGTTGGTTAGGATACTAGACAAGTAATTTGTGGGTTGGTTGTTCTAGAAGAAGACAGGGAGTTGGCACGTACCATAATTCTTGATTGGCTTCTTGATGTCTTTGAGAAAGGGTGGTGAGGTTGGTCATGAAAGGGCGGATGGCGAAGAAGGAGAATCAATGTTTGATCAAAATCTTTTTGTGGTTTAGGTTAGGTAGACGTAGATAAGCTGCCGTGAGACAACCTTAGCAGAGTCGTAAAATAAATTAGGCAAATGGAGATTAAGAATCTCTTGATCCAAAACGACGTTGAACTTTAACACTGCCTCGAATAATCATTCAATGTGTGGTGGGTCTATCAAACTTCGTCGAGGGTAGTTGGCTGTAGCCTCTTTCGGATCGTCTTTCGGACGTCAGGGTTACTTGAAGAACCTAGTTTATGGCTCCATGTCAAGATGACCACATACAAGAGCCTGATGGCACCAGAAGAACGAACCTCTGCCGCCCTCTAGTCGACGATATCTGCTCCGTTTTGCCACGTAGTATCGAAGTACTGGCTGTACCATGCCTCAATGTTTTTCTTATCGTCGATCCAGACACCATGTTGCTCATTGTAAGATGGATAAATGTTGTCGCTTCCCACATACAGAAGCTCCCTATCCACACAGACAATCTTGCTGTGTTGGCCATAACGATTATCGTTGTGCATAATTCTCTTGCAGTGGACCCGGTCTTGAATAATTCCCGCAGCAGTTGTACCAGACGGCAATTCTTGTGCGCCGAGGAGGCCGGTCAGAATCTCCCGGAAAATTTCCCATGAGTACGGATCCCCATAGCCTCCCCCAGCATCCTTCGTGGTGAGCAAGATGTGCATACCGAAGCTCTTGTCTTGCGGATGATTCTTAACAATGTTGAGCAGACCCTTACACATGGCCTGCATGACATCGTAGGGAACCACGTACTCGTCCCAGTCGAGGCCAAGCTTGGAGCTGAGCCACTGCTTGATGGTACCGGCGCCTGGATTGCCTTGCAAGAATGGTTCCACAAATATTTCCTGGGCGAGTGTGATATTGCTCGTCGCACTCTCAATGGCGTGGAAACGGGCGGCTTTGTTTGCCCATTCAGCTGGGCTGAGGTTGAACCGCTGCATGTACGGGAGGATGGGTTGATCGTTCAACACATCGATGACGGTGTTCATCACCTTCAAGTCAGGTGCTGCGCCATTCGAGGGGTTGAAGGCCTTTGTGGTCTGCATGTACACCAATTGCAGAAGAATGTCTCTGTAGCATGGCTCTGATTAGCGTTGATCTGTTCATGTTCTTGCCCGAGATAGAATATTACTGACTTGACTATGTTCAAGACCAGGATAGGGTATCGATGTTTACCAGATCCGGGAAGCCGACCGCCCACGTTACTGGTAGTCAAAACTGTTTGCGACCCATTGTTCTCCACCGACTGCTTGGTGTTGCCAAAAAGAGGAACCGTATCTGCCTGAAAGCTATCCGCCCCTGTCGGAGTCGGCCCTGAGAGCTTGATAAAATGTCGGAACGATGCGTTGTCGTCGGAAGGAATATTGTATAAGTAGCTACTATCATGTCAGTGCCTGTTCGTAATGCCTAGCTTAGGATCGACTTGCCTCCACAGAGCATCGGCATATTTGTGGGCTTCAATAGCTGCATCACCTCTGATCTTGACCATGGAGTCGAATGTTCCGACCTGGGTATCGCCAGAGCTGTCCCACAGGTTCGCACCTCCCGTGGTCATCGCAGTACCATTGACCGCCGTGACTTTTGCGTGGTTCCAGCTGAGAGCCGGAAGCCCTTTACTCTCGGCGACCTTGGCGAGAGGTAGCAGGCCCTTGCTGACTAGAGCCGTAGCCAGGTCGATGACCCATGGATAGCCGGATAAAGCCGAGTTGCTCAGATAATCTTTGAGCTCGGCTTGGAGCTTCTTCACCCATGCCTCACTGCCTCCTGGCTGGAACTTGAAGTCCGGGTTGTAAAAACCAATGTAAAGCTCGGCCTTTGGGTGCGTGATGGAGGGCTGATTATCAGACCAAAATATCTGCTTGTAGTTGTTCCACCCGGATTCGTTACCAGCGTCCCCGAATTGATCTGCAGTCGTGGCGTTGTCGCCGCATAGCAGACGGATGACTGGCGTCACATCGCTTGGGAGACCGTTGACGAGCTTTTTCAGAGTCGGACTGATGCCCTTGGTGAAGAAAGTGGAGTGGAATGATGCAAGGGTGAGCAAGTCGATGAACATGCACTTAGATCCATCTTGGCCGATCGATATGTTCTTTGAGATCATGCCATTTGTTAAAGCCTCCGAAACAGCAGCTGCAACGACATTAGGCAGTGGAGGTAATTTGTTAGACCATTTGCCGAATGGAATGGCGACGAAGAAGTCGAATGGGTCGCCGGGGTTGAAACCGAGCTCATTGGCTGTATCGTAGTGGAACGAAACCCCTTCCAAGGAGTTCTTCGGGTCCAGACTCGATAGGTGGTCCCGGAGCTGTTCTAGCCTTGAGGTAGATGCCATCTTGCTCGGATAGTCTGATTGTTATAATGTTGGACTTAGTGGGAGCCTGTCTCAACTTCTCAACAGAACATACTTCTCTTCACACTATGAGGCAACCACCTATCGACGTGGAAATGTGTTCAATTTATAAACCTTCTCTCAATCATAGATATATCAGCTCGCCATCTAAGCAGAGGGGAAGCAAGGGAGACACTACAACGGCAGAAGACAAGCACCAAGTCATTAAACCCGGGCACAACACCCTGGAGCATCACGGTCTTGCATCTAAGCAAAAGTTCGGCTTGGCTGACCAGGATGCATGTCCTTCTCAACCAATACGAGCGGTCCAGGATCAGCGTAGAACATCCGTAAGACCTTTGAAACATCAAAATTGTGATAGCTAAACAGCACTAGTATTCGGTGAATTGAGCTCGCAAGACCGCGTTGACGAATGTCATGGCCAAGGCAGCCTTCTCAGATGTCGCCGACGTGAAACCAGCTAGCCACAATCACAGTCATTCTTAGCCTCATGTGGTGCGGCTGAGCCCAGCTGCGGAAGCCTCAGGACTTGTCTCGGAGAGAACTGCACGAGAGACAGGTTACGATTGGCCGCTATAAGTAGAGAAGCGCCATTGGATATCAATCCTCGGTGTCCAGAGGTTTCCATGATATCAAGCGACATCTAGGCTAGAACCACATGTAAGATGCGTGAGACACAGCCTACAAACATACGAGATTGACTGGAAGGAGTGCCAAATCATACACACAATGCTCTTTCCCCTCGAAGGACAACTGTCTAGGACTTGTGCGAACTTTTATTGGACTAGATCCAACTATGCCCCTCCATGTCCGGGAGGCCCCGAGTTCATGTCAACTGGGAAGAAGTTGAACAGATCTGTCGTGAGCACGTCGAAATTCAAGTCAGGGAATGGATTTCCCACCGAACCGGCCCCGGACATTGGCATGCTGTAATCCGTGATAGGTTCAGGCTGTGGCCGGTAAGCTCTGTTGCTGAAGAAGATCAAATCATCCGACGTTGTCGCCCTATTCTCTTCCAGCGACGGGAATTGTATGTTCGTCGGGAAGCGATCATCAGTCCACGCCGGCGACGAGTCGGCAGAAGCAACATCCAAGAATGCGCCTGTGGACTTGGCTGCGTTGATGGATTGCTCTACAGCCCATACGATTCTCTTGATGGAGTGTATAGCATTTGTCACAGGATCGTCCCCCACTAGAGAGCGCAGGCAGGAGATCGCCATCTGGATAAATTCGAGGTTGTGGGGGTGCTTCGCTGGGTGGCGCAAGCTGTCGTATAGTAGAACGGCGCAGGAAGACTCGATGAAGAATGCATGGTATCGGCGTGTCTAAGAGTGGCACACATTAGCTTGTGTTCTTGCGGCAATTGTCCACCAGATACTTACGTTGCATTCCTCAGGACTGCGCAGCATGTTCCAGGTGAAAGCCAGTGCATCTTGTGCAGCATCTGTCGCGTGTCTGCAGGCTTGTCGAAGCCATATGTCGCCTATCCCGCCAGACCCTTCCCCTGATTGCAGAGCCGCTTCGGCAATTAGGAACGGGCGGAAGATGAGGAGAACTACGTGAAAGTAAACTTGATGCCTAAAAGTTAGCAGCTAATTCTAGTAACATCTTGGGTACAAGGTTAGTCTTACCGTTGTGTAGAAGAAGACTAGTTTCGGCATTCCACGCGTCTACCCGTTGTATAGAAGCTGCTGTGCCCAGCCCCCACTTCTCGCCATATTGCCGGACATGGCTATAGAGCTTCTCGGCTTTCCCGTATAGTTGACGTAGGGAGTCGGTGCGTTTGTTGTAGATTGACTCGATAGCTTCTTCAAGTATGTTGGCGAATTGGCAGAGTGCCATCAACGTTGGTTGTCCGTCTGGATAGGGGCAAGACTCAAAGTCCGATTTCTGCATCGAACTGCGCCGTCCAACCACCAAGCTAAGCCATCTATGCGCAACGATGTTAGGATATTGCACAAAAAGAAGGCGGCCCATCGGTAATCAAAACAAACTCACATTTCCAGAAAGTAAAGAGACCATAACGTCACCAATCTTCCCTGAACTTCTTCTTTTCGCGAAATCGCACCTGTGGTCCCTGCATGCAGGCCCATGGACAAGGCTTTCCGCGTTGCGATGCCGCTGTGTAAGTAAGCGGAGTTAGGTCGACCCATGTTCAGCTGATAGTGAGCCAAGAGAATCGAAAACTGTATTATCGGCAAAGTTACCGAATCCTCGTATATTGCCGCTTCTTTCTTCGCGTGGATGAACAGTGATTCTGCGGCGTCAGTTTGTGAGGTGCTCAATGCCCCTAACCCAAGAGCCGCGAGGAACACTGTCTTCCTTTGAGGCTGAACAGTTGTGTCGAGGGTTAAGTTGAATAAAGTGGGAACCATGTCATCAAGCTCGGAAGGGGTGAAGAACGGTAAAGATGACAAGTGAGTTGTCTTGAAGTGTAGAACGAACTCTTCTGCCTGTAACAGAGATACTGGGCAGCTTGCTGGCTGAGCAGGCTCAACGTTAATCTTCAGCGGCATGCCAAAGAAGACATTCCTCTGCATAAACATGTCCAATCCCGGCCCTCCCTCCTGGACATCTCTGGTATGGCTCTGGCCATACTGACCGGAAAGCAGACCGCGATGGATCTGCTGCAAGAAAGCAGAGTTTGAAGAAGGTCCGTAGAAGAGTTGTGAGCTGTCGGTAGACTTTGGCGCATGATGAGCTGCGGCAACGCTCTGGTAGACTTCAGTTTGTGCTACGTGTTGCTGATGTTCTTCTGCTGAACGTTGAGAAGCAGCTTCGTCCCGGCGAACGCGATCAGAGCCCGGGGTGGATACGCCGTGGCCAGTCTCGGCATTTGTTACCGTTGCCGCGGCCCGCTTCGATGACAATCTCACGCGCGGTTTGAGCCGATATACGCAATCGGATGGCTTGTTCTCACATTGCCGACAGGGTTTGTGACCTGAGCACTTGATCTTGCGCCTGCGACATGGTTCGCACGCCTTGGGAATCTTCCCTCCGAATTTGCTGTTAGACTGCATGTCGCTAACTCCGAGATACGCGACCCTTGGCTTCCCAATCGGAACGTCAGGCCTAGAGGGAAAAGACTCAAAGAGAGGTATGAAGTGTCAAACACGGAAGTGATCTTAATTCCCCAAGTCCGAAAAATGCTTTGAATAATATCTATGTTGCCGCGTTGCGGAAGATGAATGGGTCAAAAAGGATGAGTCTGGTAAAAGCGGATGAGATGATGTCCTGACGTAATTCCGTAAATCCGAAACACCGTAAACCCGCGGCCGACACTAAAAGGGGGTCCACTGATCCTGAGAATCAGAGTCAGTGACTACAACATCCGGAATCAATATACTGATATTCTCAATGAGGCGTGGAGGCTGCTTAGGAATTAATTTTTAAGCTAGGAGACTTAAGAGAACTTAATAGACTACAACCTAAACTGAAGATGCGCAGTGCAACCCTGCTCAACTGTGTTTACTACTAACTATCCAAAGAAGACTTTCGAATCGTTTCGTTCGCGATGACCTCAACACCAGTCTACGACAGCGATCGAACCGTCCAGGTCGAGGAAAAGTCTGCAAGAATTGAGTCAGCCTCGGCAAGGGTTGATGGTTTCCTTCCGGGATGTAAGCATTGAGGTTCACGGGCTTGGAGAAGACTTTGGATCAACGTGTCTGTCCGTCCTGGCCGATTTGTTTCCATTCACCAAAAGCCAAACATCTCAAAGGGTAAGAACTGAAGTCTTTGACTACTTTGAATACTTTGACTGATTTGAGTAGCACATACTTCATAATGTGACCGGCCAAGTATGGCTTGGGGAGATGGTGAGTCAATTGGCGTAACTGCAGTGCCACTTCCCACTAACACGTTCTCCAGTTGCTGGTTCTCGGGCGTCCAGGATCAGGCTGCACTTCTCTCTTGAAAGTCACCTCCAATCAACGAAACGAGTTCCATCATGTTAGCGGCGACGTGAGATATGGCAATCTTGGCCACAAAGGAGCGCAACAATTTCGAAATCAAGTGGTTATGAACACAGAAGGTAAGGGGTCAAATCCGCTCTGACGTCGCCGAGTTCAGGAGTCTAACGACGAGACTCACCAGATGACCTTCACTTCCCGACTTTGGAAGTGAAATAAAACGATCGACTTTGCAACGTCTAACAAGCTACCTGGCTCAAGGTCAGAGTCGTCGGCCAACGCCAAAGAATACATATCACAGAAGACCGACGCCATCTTAGACTCTTTGTCAATTGGCCACACAAAGAATACGATGGTTGGCGACGAATACATCCGAGGTGAGTAGCTCAAACTTTTGGCAACTTTGAGGAACCTCAACTAAATCTTGACAGGTGTGTCCGGCGGCGAGAGAAAGCGAGTCTCCATTGCCGAGGTCATGGCTACCCAGGTAAGAACTTGGCAGCAGCAATACCCCTGGTGAACGCCCGCTGATGGCATATGCAGGCCCCCGTTCAATGTTGGGACAATTCGACTCGTGGTCTAGACGCCAGCAACGCGCTAGACTTTGCGCGTGTCTTGCGTAAGATGGCCGATGAAGAGCGCAAGTCCATCGTCACAACTCTCTACCAAGCTGGCAACGGGATTTACGACCTCTTCGATCAAGTGCTTGTGCTTGCTGAGGAGAGGGAGATCTACTACGGTCCCACAACCCAAGCCAAGCAGTACTTCGAGGACATGGGCTTTGAATGTACGCCAGGAGCCAACATCTCTGATTTTCTCACCTCAGTTTCGGTTCCCACAGAACGACAGATACGCCCCGGATACGAAGACAAGATCCCGACAAGCCCAGCAGATTTCGAAGATCTATACAATACAAGCCCCCTTTTCGAGAGAATGGCACAAGAGATGAACACCGTGTCAGAAAAGGCTCTGTCGGATGAAGTAGAGGGCCTTCTGAGAATCCGAGAGGAGGAGAAGAACCGTTCACTACCGTTTCTGTCTCGCCAAGTTAGCCCCTACCAGGTGTCTTTCACGAGCCAGATTGGAAATTGCATTAGAAGGTATTGTTAACCCCTTTCCATATTCTTTCCATATTCTGAATGCAAGGTCTAAGTGGAATCAAAGGCAGTTCCAAATCATCTGGGGCGACCGATGGTCGAACGCACTCCAGATCGCTTCAGCCCTTATCATGGCGCTGGTCACCGGGAGTTTTTTCTACGATCTCCCATCCGACAGCACGTCCATCTTCACCCGGCCAGGCGCTCTTTTCTTCCCGATTCAACTTTTCGCCATGAACAAGATGTCTGAGACCACTGCATCCTTCATGGGACGACGAATCATCTCAAGACATAAGCGGCTTGCGTTCAATCTGCCAGCAGCGTACGCCCTAGCTAGCGCGGCAACTGATGTCCCGCTTGTCATCTTGACGTACTCCTTGTTCCAGTTGATTTACTACTTCATCGTTGACTTCCAGCGTGAGGCGGGCCACTTCTTCACCAACTGGTTTATGCTCATTCTTTGTACGCTTTGTTTCGCTTCTTTGTTCCGCATGATAGGAGCTTGGTGCAGACATTTCGGGCTGGCCTCCCAAATCACTGGGTGGATGACAATGGTTTTCATGGTCTGTGCAGGTAAGCTCAAATTGTTTCAACCACAGCCGAGAGAAATGTTCTGACCACCTGTAGGATATCTCATACCTGTACCGAGCATGCCTGTCTGGTTCCGTTGGATTTCGTGGCTGAACCCGGCAACAAACACCTTCGAAGCGATCATGGCCAAGGAGATGGGAGATCTCACTCTAGATTGCATCCAGCCTCAGCTTATTCCATTCGGATCTGCGTACGGCAGTAGTCAGTATCGCAGCTGCACAGTCAGGGGATCTACGCCAGGATGGATAGCTATCGATGGGGAAACCTACATGAACGCCCAGTATTCGGTCTACAAAGCACACATCTGGCGTAACGCGGGGATTCTCATCGGACTCTGGATTTTTCTGGCATTAATGACTGCAGTCGGCTTCGAGATCAACCTACATTCCGACTCCGGCTCGAAAGTGTTATTTGACCGACGGAGCAAACAGAAGGAGCTAGCCACGAAAGTAGACACGGAAAAGGCGGAAGATTCAGCTGCTTCACACGACGTGTCTTCCATGTCTCTAAGCAAGACTGTCTTCACCTTCAAGGACATCAGCTACTTTGTTCGTCACGAAGGAAAGGACCTGCAACTCCTTCGCGGAGTCTCTGGATACGTCAAACCCGGTCAACTGGTCGCGCTCATGGGTAGCTCCGGTGCTGGCAAGAAAACTTTGATGGACGTTTTGGCGCAGAGGAAAGACAGTGGCACGATCGAATGCAGCATCATGGTTAACGGCAAGCCTCAAGGCATCAGCTTCCAGCGGACAACAGGCTACTGCGAGCAAAACGACGTCCACGAGCCCACTGCTACGGTCTGGGAGAGTCTTTTGTTTTCGGCGAGACTGCGACAGAGCCACAAGATTCCAGATGAGGAGAAGCAGGACTATGTTCGGGGCATCATGCAGTTGCTTGAGCTGACGCCTTTGCAACACGCAATTGTTGGAAGTGAGTTTACCACCAATTATCTCAAGTTGTTGGTATACACGTCAGCAGGGCAACCGTACGGTTGGAACGAAGTGTCAATAGTGGTCTATTATTGCTGCGTCTTGAGGTGGAAGGAGGAGGTTGTGGGCAGAGCCCACGGCCTCTCAGAAGTGGTATGTAAGGGGTCGTTTGTAAGTGCCCATGCCGCCTTCCAGATCCACCTTTTCTGCCGACTGCTCAGAGATCCAACACAAGTCCTTCACAGTTCTTTTACAGAACCACGCGCTAATCATCAACGATTTCCCCAGCACCTGGCGAGGGTCTCTCTATCGAGCAGCGTAAGCGCCTTACACTCGCGACAGAACTCGTCGCGAAACCCTCGCTCCTTTTCCTCGACGAACCGACTTCCGGCTTGGACGGTCAGTCTGCCTACGAGATCTGTCGCTTCATGCGAAGGCTCGCAGCATCTGGACAGACCATTATCTGCACCATTCACCAGCCATCTGCTACTCTGTTCGATGCTTTTGATGTCCTTCTCCTCTTAGTCCGTGGAGGACGGACGACCTACTTCGGACCGACTGGCAAGAACTCGACCACGTTGATCGATTACTTTGCCCGAAATGGTGCCGCTTGCCCGCCGCACGCGAATCCTGCAGAACACATAGTTGATGTGGTGCAAGGTCGTTTCGGTACTGAGATCGATTGGCCGCAGACGTGGTTGGATTCCTCGGAAAGACAAGCGGCCATTACAGAACTCGATGCACTCAACTCCCACGGTGACGAGGAGAAGGACACTCAGCAGTCTACTACGACTGAGGCGGTTGACGAGAACCAGCTTGCTGGATTCGCGACCCCAGTCGCTTACCAATTCTATCTCGTCACAAGCCGACAACTGGTCGCTCTGTGGCGCAACCCCGATTATGTCTGGAATAAGCTTGGACTGCACATCACTAACGGACTATTTGGTGGCTTCACGTATTGGATGTTGGGCGATGGTACCTTCGATCTACAACTACGTCTCATGGCTGTCTTCAATTTTGTGTTTGTCGCCCCTGGGTGTATCAACCAGCTGCAGCCGCTCTTCATTCGGAATCGCGACGTCTTCGAGACTCGCGAGAAGAAGTCTAAAACCTATCATTGGTTTGCCTTTGTGGCGGGTCAGCTGCTTTCAGAGACACCTGTACTGATGGTCTGCGGAACACTGGCGTTTGTCACTTGGTATTTCACGGTCGGCTTCCCCACAGAAGCAAGGATATCTGGACAGGTCTACCTTCAGATGATCCGTAAGCTTCAGTCCAGTCGCGACATGTACTTTTAAATGTTTTGCTGACCTTTGCTCATCTAGTCTATGAGTTCCTATACACTTCACTGGGACAGGCTGTTGCCGCTTATAGCCCCAATGCCTACTTTGCAGCGCTGGCCAACCCAATCATCGGCGCAGGTCTCATCAACTTCTGCGGCGTCGTCGTTCCGTACTCGCAGGTTACGGCTTTTTGGAGATACTGGCTTTACTGGCCTGATCCTTTCACGTACCTCATCCAAGGAATGCTGGAGCCCGTAGTCTGGGATGTTGAGGTTCACTGCAAGTCAAACGAGCTGACTTACATTCCACTCCCGGGTAACAGCACCTGTGGGGAATACCTTGCCGACTTTCTCTCTTCTGAGCCGGGCTATGTTGTCGACCCGGGAAACAGCACCATGTGTGCATACTGCCCCTACAGCACTGGCGCGGACTATGAGAACGATGAACATCAATGACTCCAGCTATGGATGGAGAGGAGTAAGTCAAGTTCTGCATCCAGACATATTGTGATTCCGAGCTAACTATGAAAAACTATAGGTTGGCATCACGGCGCTCTTCTGCGTTTCGTCGTACGCTCTTGTCTTTTTGATGATGAAACTGCGGACCAAGACTACGAAGACCGCGAGCTGAAGGGAAGCTGACCAACAAATCACAATGGTGGAATCAAGGTATATGTAGGGAAGGTGGCCTGTAATTTAGATTAGAGGATAGCGTCTGGCTAAACATTGAGGCGCAATTAGGGGCTTTAAACATTATAGCATAATATAGCATAACTGCAATACTTGACCTTTCGGAGATTCCATGTTCTTCATTGAAGCGATTCAATGGTTCTGGTAAGATGCCCCGTTGGCATGGAGCAGACCTAGGTCGTTGGGCTCGACCTCGGCCTCACTGCACCGGATACACCGGCGATATTGAACTTGCATTTTCATGACAATGACCACCGTAGTAACCGTGCTTGAACGTAAATCTGATAGGGTTACGTGAAAACTGTCGTCAAGATATTCTTAACATGTTTACTTAATCAGTAAGAAAGTTATCCGAAGAGGCGATGCTAACTGGAAGGACTTCAACATAGTTGCGTTTACAAACAGGGTTGTACCTACTCCTACATAACCATGTTTTGGCCATTGCACCGAATGACCGCAGAGCAAAGTTGACAGCTGAAACTGAGTGTCTGCGAGGACCATACCCTGAGAATCACATGCAGCGGTCAATGTCAGTGCGCCAGCAATGCAGGCCTTACTATGAGTTCCTTTTCTACACCAATACTGCAGATCAGTGACACGCATAATGTTTAGCAGCCCTCGTTCATCTAAATCTTCTCTCTCATTGTTCCACCTTATTCCGATCCCATTAACTACCTCTCTTATGTTGACTCCTTCCATGCATGCGCCTAGCTACGTCTAAGACTAAAATCGTTGCCCTAACTCTCACTGCGATTCGTTCGGTCACGTATTTGGGGAAGAAATCACCTCCGGATGCCCGCGGGCATCCGTATACGTGAATTATGTGTGAGAGCTTCTCGAATCCGAGATTGGCCGCTGCTATCCCATCGGGTGCTGAATAGCTCCATTTTTGCCAATACCCAAAATATCCACTTGTACCCATTATTACCCCGCATCTAAAGGGGTACTTGACGATACGTCATTTCACCCTATGCTCCTTTACCTATCATCACCGACTGTAATGTAGCTTTATGTATTGAAGGGGACTGCTGGTACTTATGGCATACCCAAAATCTATAGGTAATAGCGGTACTTTTACCTTACTGGTTAACTTGATTAATCTAGAAGCCCTTATTGGCTCTACCCCGCCCTTGGCAAAAATGGAGCTATTCAGCACCGGATGGGATACTCATGACTTGCATGTGAAGCATGGGATGATCCTGGACCGGGAGCCCCACGCGGGGTTCAGCCGGTGGAAACGTCCGGTAGCAGCCGGGATGGCCATGACTTCAACTTCGACTACGGCTGCCAAGGCCATGAACAGGGAACTTCGGCTGCGATAATGACTAGTCATATCGTTTTCTAAAGTTACATCGTCTTCAGTTGATGGCAATGAAGTTTCCCAATCAAAGTTTTGGTCATTTGGAAAGAGAGTTACGAGCGACAGACGACGCCGGTGGCATATGTAATTCGTAATCGATATTGAATGCACTTTCTCAGCGCTAGACATGAGGGTGATAGTAGGTAACTATTTAGTCTTTGTCATGGCTTAATCGGTCTTGCCATTGACCCTTGTGCGGCAACTAGAGTATCTTAGGAAAGAAAACGGGTAGGAGAGCTGCTCGCCATCCATGCCCAGACTTGACTGTGCGACGAGTCAATGATATCAGGTGTTTGATGGAATGAATCGCAATGTTCAGCGTATGATTCGGTTGCTTCGGAAAGCTATGCCTGGAATCGATAAGATTACCTTAAACCGAGAGAGAGTACCATTCCATTTATCCGGAGACAATATCTCCTTGTTCAAAGTATCGGCACTTGGAGTTGTCATACAAAGAGCCCCGTATCATTACGTCGGTTTTACGATCGCTATACAGTTGCACGAAATATAATTGATAATACGGCGAGAGAACTGGATCTGCCGCGGATGTCCAAAACTGTTGGTATCACAGGCGTGATACATTTCCTCATGAGGGTGTATCTTCGGCAACAATCACGTCGATGTCCGTGATAATTGCTGTTGTTGTTCTTCCTATTTACATTGTGGGCAGGGGCCGATCGAAGTAGGTGGGGACGGCCTGGGTGGTTGTCCCACCTTAACCGGCCGTGATGACTAAGCCGGTTGTCCCACTTCGCCCAGGGCAGGCGCCAGCCAGCCCACGATACCTGCCCATTGCTCCTTATCAGCCTTGCCGTTCCGACAAAAACAATTATCCACGTTGATATCGAGAAACAGCTACCATGGACAGAAGTTCCCTGATTTTCCGGGTACCAAATCGGTGATAATGCAGAAACAGCTAAAGTGTCGCTCGGCGTTAGAGGTCAGGAGAATGAGGGGTTGAAGGGATGGAGGCTCACAAAGAATACATCATAGAACCCCGGTATCCGAAAAGCTTTTCTTTTTGTTGAAAGACCCCTCACAGATCACGCGGAGTCGTTTCCGAGAAGCGCCAGAGCAGTCGATCCGCAAGCCTTCTAGAACGCTTTCGGATCTGAACTAAGAAAGCTTTGTGCGATTAACGGGCGCTCTCATCGCAGCCTCTTGCGTCGTGGCGGTGTCTAATAAGCTTGGCCTGCACATAACAAAGGCCAGATTTTGATTTGCCCACCCGAGCCCATCTGTTCCTTGGTATCAGGTTTTAGAAGGGGTTCGTCGCGATCTAGAAGCGAACCTTGGACTAGAACGCTCAGACATGCGAGACCCCGTTCGGATTCGGCAAAAGGCGGCAGTCTTGTTCGTATCGCGCTGTGCCCATAGCTCCTCAGATGAGTAGCAAAATGGCCATTCTCCGTGGAGAGTGAAGTGGCGATTTCTCCAAGTCCCTTGATTCTGGTCTCTTTCGACGTCTCATAACTGGCCACAGGGGACACCGTGCAGCATGATGTTTGTTAGAGTTTCGCCCTCTGTTGATCACTCCATGGCGCTCGCTAACAATGGTATTGCGCCCCGACCCTGGCAACGTCCGACCACTCGACGAACTCTAAACGGAACTAGAGCGGCCGGGCGAGTCAGGGCCGGTGCGGGACGCCCCTTGTTGCAGGTCACCAAGTTGTCGTTTATCAGCAGCTTAGAACCCTTTCATCTCGAGGCGGTCGACGAGAAAGGAATATTTCTGCAGCTGCGAACATACGATCGGCCACAGAAACATTTCGGTGACATTTGGGAAGCGATGAGCCTCGCCATGTGGCTCACAGCTCACGTCGAGCGATTGAAGATACGATGAGTAACGCAACAGCCCTGGTAGGGGCGTTTCCGCCCCCGCCTGGCGTCACACCGAATTTCGAGAACCCAAGGGATGCCGGGTGGATGTGGAATGTCGTGGGAATGAGTGTTCTGGCAGCAATCACGACGCTGTTCTTTGGGATCAGGACGTATGTGAAGTTTTCCATGGCAAGACCGTTTCTTCCAGATGACTGTATGTTATCCCTCAATCTCGCGTGAACGAACCGGGGATAGAAACACTTGACTGATTTGCGACGCAGGGACTTGCGCTGTGTCATACGTAAGAGTCAATCGCGTGGAAATGTGAAATGGCTGTACTAATTCCTCCCAGGCATTGATCATGATCTACGTTTCGACTGTGTTTGTGATGGCACACTATGGCGAGGGCTATCATGCATGGGAGCTGACGAAAGAATCGTATCAAGAAGTGATGAGAGTATGTTTGACGAGCTAGTGAAATCTTGAAGCGAGACATGAGCTAATGCAATGATTTTCAGTGGCTGTACGCCAGTTCCATCATCTACTGCCCAGCAGCATACTTTACGAAGGTCACTTTACTCCTACTCGAAGCACGAGTCTTTGCCGTGCATGAACGAGTCTCACGGGGGATCAAAGTCTTCATCATCACCTTGCTCATCTGTTACATCCCAATTCAGATTCTCAAGACTGTCATCTGCCTGCCAGTATCAGCCTTCTGGAACCCCAAAACCCCGAACCCGAGATGTCTAAATCAACGCAAAATTTTCATTGCGGATCTGAGCCTGGCAATCATCACCGACTTCTTCATCCTCGTTCTCCCCGTACCACTGTTGTGGGGTTTGCGCATGCCTTTGCACAAGAAGCTGAAAGTCGCTGCGCTACTTGGAGCTGGGGGTATTGCGACAGCTGTGACAGTCTATCGCATGTATCTCGTCGTCCAGTTCCTCACCTCGACGGATGTTACAGCGGACTTCGTCGTCTTGGACCTTATCACGTAAGCTTACCACTTCTTCCAATTAGCCCGTGCGAGAGCTCAACAGTAAGAACTAGGGCACTGGAACTTGTCATCGGCGTCGTTTGCGCTTGTTTACCTTCAACCAACCTTCTCTACCAACGGATACGACGAGGAGAGGGAAAGCCAATGGGCAACCTTCCCCGAACTACAGGTGATCTGAAGAAAGGAAGCAGTTCAAGCTCTTCTTACTGGCGCAGCATGTTGCCAAACAAACAACTGAGGACTACGCGCACGGCCATCACTGTGGCAGAACGCACTGCGATAAGTCCAACAGGTCCCGCAAACTTCGATACCGAACTCGCTGTCCTCACTGGTCAGCCGATGGGTATGAGACCATTGACGGAAGAGTCGGTTAGAAAGTTGGAGCAGACTCCTGACGACTGGACTTACAACCCCAGAGCAAATTCAATGGACGGGAGGAGAGAAGGATGGCTGGCACAGGGTGCCGAGGGCTCAGTGCAAGGATGTTCGAGAGACAAAGCACCCAATTGGCAAAATCACGAGATGGAGGCCAGAAAATCTTGGGAGGCTGTATGGGAGAAGGCTATACCTTCGGAGGCGTTGGCCTCCATACCCGAGGATGACGGCCCTCCTCGGCTGCAGCTGGCGACACATCCACCACCAGACTGGGAGCACCTGACAAATTAGTTGGGCAAATGAGATGTAATGTATTACCGCAAAAGATACCCAATCATAACGAGGAAGAACAACGCATCACCATCGAGTTGATGGGATGCAAAGGAGAGCCGCGGATGTGGAAAACGACTCGGAGGCCAGTCGTATAATTGGTAGAGTGTATAAAGTCTAGAGGCAGTAGCCAGATCCCACGATGAATATTGAAAGGAGAGAGATTTACTATGTACGATGCCGGCATGCTGCTGAAGCCGTGACGAAGATTACCAAGGGCCGACTTGTAAGAGACGAAACGAAATCAAGTACTCTTTGTATGCAACGCGCCAGAGAACATTTTGTCCGATTCAACATTGATGCTACCACTTCCAGAGTTGTGAACAACATGAGATTTGAGGATTGAGAAATTAGATTTTTACAACCAGTGGTAGACAAAGTTGAATCATTGATGGTGACATCATGAACTCTCTCAAACGGCAATGTATCGTCTTCTTTCAAGGATGAGAGCCCTTTCAACACCAATTTTCTGTGAGAGCAAGCATGGCTTTTCGTAGCAACATCAGTTCTTCTAAGAATAAGCCCAAGCTTTGCCTCCTATGTGTCGTTGCAAATCCAAAATGAAGTCGTCTTAAAGTTGAGCAAGTTTTCTGTTTCAGGAACTCGATCATCCCCATAAGCTCCGGATGGCTGCACCTTATCTAGCGGGGACTTTACCAAAGTGGGGCCATTTCAGGGGCCGATGGGATTAGCCAAGTGAGGTGCCACGAGAGTATAGATGAAAGAGTCAGATTATCTCAAGTGTGATTGAATTACAAGTTAGCATTGGGTATTGAAGTATGAATTTCCGGAGTTAGGTTGTGATCGAGTGTATGAGACGTCGGGTCACACAGAAGCTCCTGAATACCTTGCACAGTTCTTCACCGCGAGTTGGATCTTACTAGGTAGACCGGGCTGAGAGCATATCTCAGTCGAAAACAATCAACAATACATGATGGTATTACTTCACATTAGAGGAAAAACTGGCCCAACCGATATGGAGAAGCAGAACATAAGAACCAAGTCACTTGAGCATGTCGATTTTGAGTGTTGAAGGATGTGATGTAGCAAGCTAACACGGTTAATACACGCATTGACTGCACGTGGGCAGCTGCCATCACACTCAAAGTTCGGAAACAGCCGGCGACGAACACTTGGGCCATCAAGTTAGTAATGTTAGGGAAGCGATTGGTGCGGAATTGAATGATCTATGAGCAGATATAGTAAAGATTTCGCTGATCTGGGTACGTTTGCGGGAGCTAGATAGACGATTCGACAACGGACCGTATCTCGCACAAACGTAATCTCTTGACACCATTAATCAGATGGTACATAATTAGTCCTTTCGAGAAAGTGGAGAGGCACAAAAAGACCAGAATGACGCCGTGACTTGGCGCTGCATGGTGGTGATGCCGGTACAATCTGCGGGAGTGTTACAACGGCGCGCTTGGCAAGACTGCGGAAGCCGCCAGATACGATGCGCCAAGAGGCTTACAACGCCTCTTTTAAGTATGTTTGTCCGTATGGCAGTGCTTGTTGCCAAGTCCGGGCGGGTATGTAAGTAAATTTGCGGCGAAGGATGGTGGACTGCCGGGCCGGGGCCACGGAGCCGCTGATTCGTGCGTCCAAGTACCGTGCGGGCCTTGTCCGATAGACACCTGCTTCTTTGGGCAGTAGTGCTCCGCATCGCGACATTGAAGCTCGTTGCTCCCACCTTCCAACCGCTGTTTCTTGACCTTCTGTTTCTAGCAGGACTTTTGAACAATAATCATGTTTTTGACTCGTAAAGCGGTGGAGAGATACCGCGAGGCCCGAGGAAAGAACTGAGGGGAAAGGAAACGCCAAGTTGTAAAGGGAAGAAGATAAAAGAATGTGGTTTTCGCCCGCTTGATCAACAGAAGATCTTGCTCTGCACCTCTCCGCTCTTTAGGTTGTGAAGTGATCATCGTGGTTCAACCGTCAATTACCCCTGCCTTAGACAACTCCCAGGACCCCTCCTGAACCACTCAAGATGAAGGCAATTACCTTGGCAACCTTGGCCGTTTCGGCGCTCCTCTCTGGAGCTTCGGCCAAGGAGATCGCACCCAGTGAACTCGTCTCTGAGATTTACGACAGTGGTGTTATTCACAAGGACCTCATGGCCCGTAAGAAGGTATGTAATACTAACGTATCTGCTTACAAGACTTGTTCTAATCATTGCGATTCACAGGCATCATGGGACCGCCAAAGAGACGCTGGAGAGATGGAGTCGACTAAGTACACGAGCCGCCTCGCTGAGGAGGGCCCCGTTTCTTGCGTCAACGGTGTTGCCGAGGTCATCCCTGGCGATGCCAACAACACCTTCAAGTGCAACAAGGTCGACTTCTACGACTTCAAGAGTCACTCTGACCTTGGTTCCACCTCCGGCGAGGGATCCTCTTCCTGGGGATGGACCAGCCCTGACGGTCGCGAATTTGCCATTATTGCCCAGGCTGATGGTGCTGCCTTTGCTGAGATCACCTCCGCCGGCAAGCTCGTCTACCTCGGTCGCCTTCCGCAGTACTCTACCACGTCTATCTGGCGCGAGCTCCGTGGATACAAGAACTACGTCGTTATCGGCAGTGAGGCCTCCCGCCACGGTGTCCAGATCTTCGACCTGACCAAGGTAAGCTCAATATCACCTAACCTACAGACTCTAGCAATACTAACTGTCTGTGACAGCTGTTGGACATTGATCCCGCTAGCCCGGTCACCTTCAGCAACTCCCGTGACCTTACCGGTTACTGGAATGGCCTTCCCGCCGGCTCTACCCACAACATCGTCATCAACGAGGAGAAGCAGTACGCCGTTGCTGTCGGCGCCCAGCCTCGTTCCAGCGCCTGCCGCTCCGGTCTGATCTTCATCGACCTGAGCGACCCCGCCAACCCCACTTCCCCGGGTTGTGCTGCCGGTGACGGCTACGTCCACGATGCCCAGTGCCTCGTCTACCGTGGCCCTGATGAGAAGTACTTCGGCCGTGATATCTGCTACGGTTACAACGAGGACACCTTGACCATCTACGATGTCACCAACAAGAACGAGACCAACATCATCTCCCGTACCTCCTACGAGGGTGCTAGCTGTAAGTTCATTCGGTTCGTTCCTTTGATAGCCTGTGAGCAGTGACTGACTGAATGTTTAGACACCCACCAGGGTTGGGTCACCAACACGGAGTGGCAGGAGTACCTCGTCCTCGATGACGAGTACGATGAGGTTGACGCTACCGGCCCTGCTGCCAGCGGCTACCCCATCACCTACTTCTGGGACATCAGATCGCTCGAGGCTCCCAAGCAGACTGGATACTACCGCAGCGAGGCTTACGGCATTGACCACAACCAGTTCGTCATTGACGGCCTTGCCTTCCAGAGCCACTACGGTGCTGGTCTCCGCATTCTCGACGTCTCTTCTCTGCCCGATGACCCCACCGGAGGCGGTGTTTCCGAGGTCGGATTCTTCGACATCTACCCTGAAAACGATGGCGAGCCCCTTGGAGGATCAATTGACTTCGTCGGCACCTGGTCTCACTACCCTTACTTCAAGAGTGGCCACATTTTGATCAACACGATTGAGCGTGGTGCCTTCGTTGTGAAGCGTTCTGCTTAAATAATTTGAGACGAGGTTGGGTAACACGCCCATGTCTATCTTGTCTTGTTAGTAGACGAACTTGTACATTCAACTTCGTCAACAGGAGACCAATGTGAAGGAGTACACTTCATACTTAATGATAATGAGGAAGTTACCTTAAGAGAATATCAGAATACTCATTCTCGTGCACTCCTCGCTCAACTTGACTGACTCAATTAATCAACGTTGAACTTCTCAATGTCTTGGCTCTTGTTTAGCCATAAAGTGCCTAGAAAGGAGATCTTTAGTTTCGATCAGGCGGTATCTAGCAACATGGCTGTATGAATGCTTCAAAATGCTCTTGCTAGAAGGAGGATCTGCCTTCTAGAACCCGTCGTATCATTAAGCATTTGGCGCAATAAAGCCTATGATCTCCCCGAAACCTTGTTTCCCGAGCCAAGAACGGCGGGCACCTGGCTAGATGGTGCTTTGAATTCTCAATAGAAAGGACAGTCTCATACCTGTGTCGACTCAATTGCCCATATCGGTGCACCTAACAAGTGACAGAGCGACTTCCTTATCGTACAGAAGCGCTCATGATTGGGTGTGACTGACTTCAGTTTTTCTTCGGGCAGCCAAAATGCCCGAGCGCCGCTATTGTGTCTTGGCCTGATGTGACCGTAGCAACGTTGTCTTTTAGAGTTGCGACTACGAAACGCCACGAGTCATCAATCAGCGCCAGATCAACGTCTGCGGCGACCAGAGCGTTCCCAACAACACCCTTTTTTGGGTCTAGTTGGCAATTGCGGACAAGCGTTTCCTTGGCCCCGACGCGCTCTTGATTTCAGCATTTCGAAGGCTAATCTGGGAATGCTAACCTCACGTCTTCCCTAAACCTACTTCCGTCGGAAAACGTGCCTGCATGTGGCTACTAAATGAGACGACAGCTGAAAAACCCGCCGACTTCATAAACCCTATGCCCGCCGACGACATTGCCGCATCGCCCATTGTCACACGTCAAATAGAAGCCCTCTAATCTCGATAGATGATTGTAGCTTGATGAATGCGTCGGCGGACGCGCGTCCCCAAGCATGGCGACCGGTCAACTGGACAGCATCTTAAGACGCGATGACAGGTTTCTGAAGGAGATGTGGACTTGGTTCGGCGTAGGGGCCCTTGTCATCCTGTTGCGGTTCTTCGTCAGAATTCGTATGGTTGGTCCCAGAGGCCTCAAGGGAGATGACTACACAATCCTTGTTGTAAGGCGAAACTCAGTCGAAAACGCGGCACTATTCTGACAGTCCATCTTGGTAGACTTTGTTCTTATACACGGTCTGTTTTGTCATGGTGGACTTAGTTTGTGAGTATGATCACTGATCGGGGCTCCCAAGTGAAAATTCAGGTAATTGGTAGAACTGATGTGTGTGTACCTACTAGATCGATATGGCACGAATGTTGACCTCACAGCTGCTCAAATCAGCACTCTATCCGACGACGAAGTAGCACGACTTGTGCAAGGTTCTAAGTTCCAGCAAGTCGCTTGGTACTCATATACCGCATATTTGTGGTCTATGAAGGCAACCCTGCTGTTCTTCTAGTATTTCACCTTCCCAATCTTCTGAAGAGAAAGAAGCTGATGATATTGAAGTAAGCGAATGACTTTCGACCTGTGGCAAAACGCGAGAGTGCTGAAACATCTGACGTGGTTCACGATTTTGTCATACTTGGTTGTGGTTGGAACAATCACCTTTAGCTGCATGCCGTGAGTGCTGGACTTTCAATTCCTGCTGGAATGTTATACTAATGGCATTGATCCTACAGATTTTCGGATAATTGGGGAATGAGGCCCTTACCTAGCGAAAAGTGTGTCTTCAAGGCCCAAAATCTGCTAGTATCAACGTTTCTTAGTAAGTCCGACGAAAAGTCTGGCTGAGCACTTCGAAACTGACTAGAGACAAGACGTTGTGACCGATGCAGCCATTCTTTGCCTGCCCCTGCCCGTTCTGAAGGAAATCAGGGTACCCTTTCACAAAAAAGTATTCATAGCAGTGCTGATATGCTCCGGTTTGTTTGTCATCGCGGCCGCGATCATGCGAGTCGCGGTAACTCTGGGCTCAGAGCCTTCAACGATTACAGTGAATCGGTGGGGAGTCCGAGAATGCGAAGTTGGTCTAATTGCTGTCAGCGCACCCATTTTACGTCCTCTGTTCTCCCGCAGGTTTTGACAGTGGCACTACCGACCGCCGGCTCGTACGCTAAACCCCATGGAAAGTGCAAGAAGAAGCCGAACGACGGTTGGCGGACATCGACGTAGAGCAATCAAAGAGGACTCACTTCTTGGCTGGGTGGGCTCCGCTACCTCAAGAGTAGGAACTACCGTGGGAGGGACTCGAGACCGCGGTAATACAATGGACGTGGAACTAGGAGACGCGGCCAGTGAACAGGAGCTGGAGCCTCTTGACAAGGTTGAGGACGTTGAAGGACAGAGTTCTCATAACCCCGCCGATGACGAGATAGCGAAAAATGATTAAATCAGTGGTCGGACAATTATAGGGGTCAACCATACTTGAGTAATCACATAGAGGGAACAGGGGCGCATTTACAAGTTGTTTTGTATCAAAGAAAAGCGAATATTGGAAGAATACCCAGCCATGTAGTACCTTAGCATAATAGAGTTGATGGCCTGCACTCGTGTACATAAGGCTCCTTCGGGTTTCCGAATCAACTAAGGCTTAACAGAATCAAAATCAGAATCAAAACACCGCCTTGCCAAACCACACATCCAACCTTCAACCCAGTACAAGATCACAGCATTTTCGCAAAATGCGGCAAGACAGAAACAAAACTGAGCAGCCAAACCTCCAAATCCATCCGAGTCTTACTCATCCAATTACTGCAGCAAACATCATACTCCTTGTCCCCATATCTCAGCTCTCTTATCAATGGTCCAGGTGGAAAGGTCATCATTTACTCCAGCGTCCATCAACTTTGTCTCTAGACTTTTACTCAAGCAGTCTAGCCAGTATACTCGGCGTTCGGTATGTCGTCTCTGAATCTCATAGCGGTAAGAATGCAACCAGAATCACTCTTTACAATGGTGGCATATTTGGTGGTCATCGTTATAGTGCTCTTCCTCGCCGATTCCATTCTCTCAAGATAAATCTCATCAGCTCGGAGGGCTACCAGTAGCCAGCGAAGTTTCACATAAAGTACTTGGGGCTCTCGGGTCGCTCTTCAGTGGTGGGTGATCTGGAAGTCGATTGACTACGCTCGCCGTCCGGAGAGGCATTTTCGGGATCACTTTCTGTGGTGGGATGATGGAGAGGCCATAGAAGAATCCTGCTGGGGTAGACTGGACCTAGAAGCCGAAGCTGTTCATCTAGGTCAGTTGCGTGGGTCTCACTTACAGCAGTCATGACATCATGAAGGAAATCATCTTCATAATACGCGGAATGGCTCTCAGGCTGCACAATCGGGTAGACCAGAGCATCGATACTGGCATTGACACGAGCATCGACGTCTTGAGAAAGAAGCGGACAAGGGGTATCAGCTTCGTCATTGCTGCTAACATCAACGTCGCGAACACGACGAGGACGAGGGGCATCGATTGCGCTATGGTTGGCAGCAGCTTCAGGACCGCCGGCAGTCTCTGAGTCGCTCAGCCAGTTGTGCACAGCGCCGCGGTTCAACACGGGGTTCTGCGGCCGGGGAAGCTCCCTGTGAGGCGGCACGGGAGGCGGCGCGTGTTCCATGGGGCCGAGCAAGAAGTCAATGGAATCGTCCTCGTCCCACTCAGAAACGCCAGCAGCGCCAGCAGGGGCCTCAATCACCGTAGAAACATCATCAGCGTCGAGGCCGGCTCTGTGTAAAGGCTCATGCTCGAGGTAGGCTATCGAAGTTGGCGATGGAAACAAGAGCTGACGATGTGGGCCGTTGGGTAGAAAGGGAACCACAGGAGTGCCAAATGAGCTCTCATCGAAGAGAGGGCCGAGAATTGGCGGCGAATTCGGCCGTAGCCTGGTTTGTTGTCTTCTGGAATGCTCAATGTCTCTAGGCCCAGCCGGCTTTTTATTGTCACGGGCGTGCAGGGTGCCTTGATCCTTCAATCTACGGTTAGTGTCGACCTTGGATCGCTTGTCGATGCGTAGAGGTGCGGGAACTATAGAGGTGTCAACAAAGCTGTTGTACTTTGTGAGATGAAGGGTCGAACACAAAGTCGGCTGATGGAAGGGTCCCTCAACTTGGTTGTTGTTTTCCTCGTTGATAGTGAACAAGGGCTTGACCTCGGCGTCAGGGTAGATAGGTTGGGTTGTGTGAATGTTTTGCTTCTGTTTCGCCGTGATTTGTAAGGGCATAGGCTCTTCCGATGCAACGAAGGTATCCGTCGCGCGATAGTCTTCAGCAAGCATTTCTTCAGATTCGTGATATCCAAAGTCACCCAGGAAGTTATCAATTTCTCCAATCATCTCCGTGACGAGCTCAGGCTTCTGCTGCTCTTGTAGAGCTTCAACACAGATGGACGAGGAACTGAAGAATCTGGCATGGCTATAATGAGGCTCTTCGGAGGCACGGAGTGGCCCGAATGGAATGGGCTGGTGAGCGTTGTCAACGTCCCTGACAGCTGTGATGATCGAGTCGCTGTCATCGTGTGTGTGGGACAAGTTCCAGTTACGTTGTGTGACACTGAAATCGTATTGTGGTTGAGAGTCGACAGAGAGCTGGAACCGACGTGTGGGCTTGAGCAGGGCGCCCTCGGTTCCGGTTGCGCTTCTCTGGCCGAAAAGGGGGCGAGAGGGTCGAGGGGGAAGTTCGTCAAGAGGACTCAAGAGATTCTCACAATCCCAAGCTGCTTTGGAGTCCATAAGTATAAAGCATTGTCACACAGAAGAATGAAAGAGAACGTACCTGGGATTGGGGAGCTCCGTCGCGATTCCTCAATGCTTGACGTATCCGAGAAACCAGTCTCAGAGGGCTCAGGCGATCTCTAATTGCCTTCGTCGTCAAGAAACCGATTGAAAGAGGTGTATTCCGGGAACACGTTGCTAGTATCCACCGAATGATGAGTTGAGCGCATGCTTTCATTAGAGTCGGCAACCGAATGAGCGTCCGCAGTGTTGACATTCATCATCTTGGCCGTGTGCAAGAAGCTATCCATCGTGAAGCAGGCGTAAATCGAAGGTCGACGCAAAGGCCCGATTGTAGTTACTTGACGCGTACAAGTGATGGGCCGTGACGCGTTGAAGAAGAAGTAACTTCTGTTGACCGCAAAATGGCCACGGCTCCAGTGACCTGAGTTTGGGTTGTCGTACGCGTTTGGCGTTTCGCGAGGGCTCTTGAACAGTAGCGCGAGGCCTTGCTGAACAACGCCACTAAAAGGCATCTTCAATGACTTTGTTCACTAAAATTTGTTAACGTCAGTTAGGGGAAAATTAGCGCGGGATTTTTCTTTTGCTTGGTCTCTGGTGATTGCGAAGCCAGTCTACTGGAGGATGTCGAGATGCGAAAGGGCACTTGCCTGACTGTGTCTTGCCTTCAATGTTGGATGGATTGGTAAGACCTCCGAAGGCTTTCCGTCCGACTTTGCCGAGGCAAGGATCCAGAGCAATCGAAAGAGTACGGTGGATTAGTTGTACAAGTCTATGAAAGAAACACCAATCAATGGTGAAAGGGGAATTGCTCGGACACTGAGTGTGGTCAAGCTAGTCTTGGTTCCCTCTGACGATGGGAAAGCTAGCGAAGGGTAGAAGGATCCGCGGAAATCGCGGAAAGTCGCGAAAAGTATTGCGAGAGGAAGAAGAAAGGAAAGGAAGACGGTGAGGATTGAGTGGGCGTTGAAGTAGTCGAAGGGTCGTCCGAAGGGCGGTAGGGCGGTAGGGCGGTAGGGTCGTTGGGTCGTCCCATGTTGGCGAGGTATCTCGAGGCATCAGCCACCAGACGAGTCACGAGGACATGTTAGCTTCACCTGAACGCCGATAATCACCTGAAGCGGGCCTGTTCATGAGACTTCACCATCTCAGACTTCACCTTCCAAAGGTGAAGTCTTCAAAAGGCTGGCCTCCGGACTTCGGTATGGTCCCGGCAATAGATTTGTTGGTATTCCTCTCACAGGGAATTTGGTTCGAACCGTAGGGTCCTGGGGGTGACGAAGTATCAATATCTCTGTATTGATTGATTCTGCGTGAGGAGTAGAAGGGAGATTCCAACCGGAGGTTGGGTGGGTAGTCGAGGTCTAAGTGTACCCCCTCGAGGTGGCCCATGCTCTTCCCCTACTCGCGGCCGAATTGGACTTCCAATCCGACAAGATTCAACACTCCATGTCAGTACCGCCTCGGAGATAATACCTTCAGTCTGCTCCATGGACCAAGGTTTCAATCATGCAGCCCGGTATCCATGCCGGACTATCCTCGATCCAGGAGATAAGCTTGAGTCTCTTCTCACCTGAGTGACAAACTTAGCTAAGCTAAGATAAAAGTGGCAGAGATCTGGTGCTGCTTGTAGTAAAATTCGAAGCAACCAGCACGGGCAAGCACAAAACGGCACTTTTAGATGCGTTGTGACGTCGGCGATTTTGGGAAGCTTACAATTTGGAAGCAGTGGTATCCAATACACGGAACAACTTACATGTGACAAGTATCTTTGGCCCAAGTCTCTTTGGCTCTTTATCCCTTTCTTATTCTGTCGAAGGCCTAGATATGATCATAGACGTTGTCGTGATTCGCAGAGGATGCTTTTCAACCCGAATTTGTAACACTTATCGTCTCTAGACAGGCTGGAAAATGTCTGAATACTTATTGATTGTATGATTCCGTCCACGGGCTCGTAGTCGGTGACAGCTGGCCCAGAGCCATGAGGAAACGGAGCCATGATTTGATTCATCTACACACAGCATGTTTACCCAACGCCAGAGTATCGACTTCTAGCCTACAACAGTTTACAACCTCTGGATTGGGAAGACTCAAACCGTAGACAATTTTCATGTTCATACCCCTGTCTTTCGTGCCATTCGCTAGTACCATTCTGTCGTATCTGGGGTCGAACTGTAAGCTTACGCCCACTTATTGGGCCCATATGACACTGGTGTGCGTCAATAGCGTGAGAGCCTGGGAGGACACACAGGGCAAGGTGAACGTTTCCTCGCAGCTCGTTGGTCCCGAATAAGAACTCCTCTCCCTGGCCATGTACGGAGCAGTGAGCCCATCAGCTGCCGAGCCCCCGAGAACATGCAGCCAGTCTTCATTGCATTCATGCAGGTTTCTGGTAGGGCATCAGCATGCCCTGACGTGAAGGACCCATGTAGCTTTAAGTTGCTGCCTGCCGAATCCCAGATCCAGGGAAGAAAATCCTTCTTCTCTGCAGTCAGCATCCATATGGGAGCAACGGTCAACAGTCATTGGATGTGAGCCCCCATCAATACATATAATTGATCGTCGGTCGCTCACACATTCAAAGTAAAGTAATTACCTTAGTCAAACAACGCTTTTATTCTGGCACCAAGTCGTACGCACTTCGCAAACAGACCAGACTCATTGACAATGTCGGACCAAGCCGATGCTCCGGTCTTTGGCGCTTTCAGTTCGCTGCTGGGTTACGTTGGTGGACAAGCTGCTACCAGCGCAATCTTCGAGAGGTTCCTTTGGCCTCAGCGGCATTTCTCGTCGTTCTCCATTTACGACATGCCACGACTTGCATGTTTGTACTCTATGGCAGGCCCTACTGGATCAATTGCCCTTGATGTTATCGACACCGCGTATAAGAATGGGCTCTTTAACGGAGCTGTACAGGGCCACATGCTTGGAACACATTTTTACCGCGACCTCGAATGGACGTATATCCTACACGCCCGCGGAGGCGAATCTGAAAGGGATCGCAAATTCGAAACTGCCTTTGGGTCCAGGCGTTACTCAATATGCCCCTCCCAACCATTAAAGAGCCTCCAATTCGACAGCCCAATGACACCGAGAGTGGCAAAGTCCCCCTGGAGGAAAAGACGAAACCAGTGCGCGCAAGAGTCGCTGTGAGCCACATAGTGCTTTCCAAAGCCACAGAAGAAGACCTGCGCAGCCCCAAAGTCCCTTTCGTTTCGGAAGAGATCAAGCATGTTGACTTGCTGTGCTTGGTGGAGATTATCCTCACTGAATGTGTCGGCATCGGCATCATGATTTGCGTAGCCGCAATCACTGGCTCGCTATGGAGTATCATCTTCATTATACCGCTTGTCCTTCGATTTATCAGCACCTTGTTCGCCCTTGAACGCGAGGGTTTGACCCCATTCCCAGACACAGTCGACGAGGAACAGACGCGGGACTGGGAGGTCAATTGCCCATCAATCGAAGGAAAATTCATGTTAATCACCGGTCCGCCCTCCATCGTCAACCAGTTCTTCCAACATTACGGACATCCAGTGCAAAATCGATTCCGTGAGGTCATTCAGCTGGCAGTCGTTATTGCTTTTGGGACTTACTTCCCAGTGGGTCTTCTTTGTCAAGTTACTTGGATGCCCGTTTTTGTACAGTATATCTGGACAGTCTGGCAAGTCTGGCAAGTCTTGGCCATGCATTTCGATCGATATACTCAACGAGGGACCAGTCGTACGACCACAGATGCCGCCATTGCAGCAAAACTTTTCAAGAACTTTCAAACTAGTGACTCTGACCGAGTTTTCGGAAGTACTATCTTGTTTGGGCAGGGAAGAAATGGGCCTGCCGTTGTGAAGGCTATTCTATCCCTGACCGTGGCAGATAGCTATGCAGACGGAAAGAAAGTATTGAAGAGCGCGGTTCGGAAATAGTAGAAGGAAAGGGCAATTCTTGCTGTGTCCAGTCACCAACTCAAAGATGTCGTATGCGAGCTTTAAATATTTTCTTGACAGGTAATCAAGTAGACGGGGTCGGCCGTTGAAAAGAAGATAGTTGCGCTTTTGCATCAAGGGAAGCTAGTCTACAGGCTAGCAATCAGAATCTTCACAATTTTCTCGTGGTGTCGTATAATTGTCATATACCTATTCCTCCATAATTGTTTGTAGGCATAGAAATGGCATGTTATACACACTGCTATGACGCCTCTTATGGTGTAAATGTTAAGAGCCCAGCCCTCGTGTGGCCACGTAGAGGTGATTTCTGTATAGAATCTAAGCTGAAGAGAAGAGATTTACAAGCGGAGCTTCCGCGGAGGTGGAGCGTAGGCGTAATAGAGCCCGCGCGGTCAATCGTGGCAGAATATCCGGGCGCTGGCCCGGATCCACTAATCGGGTCCAGCCCGTAACAGTAAGCATCAAGTGACGTCTGTAGTTGTCTGCTGTAATGCCCTGTAGGAAATATGAGTGCTCAGAAAATAGAAATATCGTCTGTCACATACTATTTGTACTTGATAGCTGAAGCATACCGCTATATGTGTCATGGCCCTAATTACTGCCTCTCTTATGTTAGTCTGTTGCAGACAGGGTGTTTGCGGATCATGGAACAAAACTTCCGAGGGAGCAGGACTCCAATAGAGCAATGACACTGAGGTTAAAAGAAGGAACCGATTGTTTGTTTGTTTGTTTTATGTTTAACGCCATGGCGGCAAAGGCGCAGTCGCTCTTGCGGCAGACCTCCCGAAGGGTATGTGGCGTGGAGGGTCGTAAGCTCTAGCTATATATTACACAGTACACACCGTATTCTGGCGTCCTCCAAGTCTTGCTCGTGAGCTACTATGTGTTCTATCTATCCCTAGTTCCTACTAGTGCCCTAGGTCCGTTATGATTCGGAGTCGGTTCGTTCAGCGTATGTACACCCGGAAACCATCCTCTGATGGGAGATTGAAGATTCAGCACCGGTCGCACTTCTGCAAGGACTAAGTTCCTGGATGTGTTTGCCTCCCTGGGTATCTTGGCTGCGCGAGGTTTGGATGGCTTGAAAGACATTTCTACCGAATCCGCCGAAGGGCGTCTCATGACCGAGATGAGCTCCGAGGGCGCCTGTTCGGATGAGATCAAATCCAAGTTGGCTCGTTGGGATTCGGAGTGACGTGGTCTCATGCATGATTCCACTGCATGGGAGTGATCTCGAATAAGATGGATGAACTGGTATGAAGCTTTTCGCAAATGGCCAGTGGCCATGTTCAGCCAAAGCTGAGACAATGGAGCCTTTAGTCGTGGGGCTTGTGTCAAAGAGCACATCAGTTGTCTGGTGATATCTGATGCAAGGGGGTATCATCTTTAAGATAATCGAGCGCGATTTACTGGATATGTCCATCATGGTAGCCAAGCTTTTTTGAGTCGAATCTCGCATCCGCTCCTAGACTCCCTACCTTACTAGTACTTGACGCAAGATCGAGGGCTGCAGACAGAGGACCTCGTCGCTGAAGTAGACTTGTATACGCTCTGGGTATTTCGGCTTGCTGATGTGACGGAATAGGGGTGGGAAGGGAGGATCAATAAACCCGGGCAGAACGAGACAATACCGCTCCTTGGTATTAAGTTGGCTGGAAAGTAACCCTGGTGGCGGAAATGGGAGATGGTGATGAGAATATTACACGAGGAAAGATTGGCAATTGTCGCGCAATTTCGATTCTGCAACAAGCGATGTGGAGGAAGGAAAGCCGAATCGAAGCACGCGAACAGAGAACGTGTTGACACGCTCAAATGCTGTAGTAACATCACCGGCCAGGCTGTTCCTGATATCACGTGTGCTGGCCCAGACACAATACAATGGTGGGGAAGCTGGAGTGAATCGAACCCTTGAAAGGTGGAACAGAATAAAAGGTCAAGTCAAGTGAAAGATGAGGATGAAGTTGAGTTGAAGGTGAAGCTATCGCGGACCTCCTGTGCGACGGAGTTGCCCAAAGCGCACCTCGGGCGTTTTCGTGATATTTCCAAAAGAGGAAAAGCGGCTAGCCATTCCGACTTCACCTTGGATCAAGTCAAAAATTATGGGTTCACAGCAATACAACTGAAGGATACATGAGGCACTAGTTACTGATGAATTATCCAACGCGTCGGCATCTCCACAATTCACGTTGATATCAATGATGCTCTGGTCTGGTGGCCACCTTGCCATCGAGAGCCGTGCTCACGTAACAACGGACCAAAGGTGACCGCCGCACTCGGGGCTTCTCCTCCTCCTTACAAGTAGGCCCTTCGCTTTCGTACTTTTCAAGAAACCTCTCCCCTTACCTACCACTGCGTCGCCGCGACTTTCCCCGCGACTTTCATCCGCTTCCGCCGTGCTCAACACGATACACCCTTCTACGTACCTTACCACTAGTAACCAATTGACGCGGCCTCTTACCACATCTCAACTCTCCGAGATATTCGATAAAACCTCCTATCAAGTTGTTCTGTCCACATCTACTCCATTTCGTGAGTGCGCGAGAATCGTCTACCGTAATTTGCCTCGTTGCAGAAACGCGCGGTGATCCTTCCCTTCACGCAAACCTATCTCTCTCACAAGTAAGTTCATACCATTCGTTTTTCGATGCGCTCCTATTCTGACAGAGGCTGATCACTACAGAATCCAGGATGGGTTTCTTCCGCCGCATGTTTGCCTTCTTGGAAGAAGGCCCTCGCCATGCCTCGTCCAAGGGCAAGCCAAGCCGAAGTCTTGTGAAGGCCGCTGTCGCCCTCAACAAGATGAGTCGGAAGCCGTCTTCCGACAACTTTCGACACGAAACGGTGGTTTCGAACAGCATTGTACTTTCTCAAGGCAATGTGGTCGCTCGTGAAGATAACTCTGAATCCGTCTTGCATCATTGTGTGACTGCCACAGCCGAGGTTGACAGCCCACGTCGCGTCTTGGACAGTAGCATCGACTTTGAGCCCGAAAAGCAGGTGGCAATTCGCATTCTGAGATGCAGAGACCCAGTCACAATGGCGCCTCACTCTTCCATACAATCCATCACCCCGACCAAGACTCATGAGGCTGTCTAGTGGACACGCTTCGAGAGCCAGGAAGGTGTCCGATCTTCATCTCAGGGACCGAAGACAATCATGACTTCGCCCTTCAGCACCAAGAGCCTGAGCAACACAAACTTCCCGAATCTTCGAAGCATCTCTGACTTGGAGCCCTTCCCTCCGTTTGATCCGAGTTTCGGTCGCACAATCAAAAGCAAGAAGAAGTTGTCTGGCCTTGCCCATCTGTACCAGAGCCAGGCATTCCCCCCTATTAAGCCTCTTGCTACTAAACCAGAGAGACGACGAATCAGACAAGTCTCGGTCTCTCAAGTGTCCACTATCAGCTCTAGCTCCGTTGGTAGACTCTGTGACCTAGACGAGGACGTTTTTGTAAGGTTCCCATCTTTCGAGGAGGCTTCGGTAAAGCAGCTCGATGAACTCCTCGAGCATGAGAGCCGGTTCGCTCAGTACTACGATGAGGATGAAGAAGACGATGAGTGGGGCGTCGAGTATGACGACATCGATGAAGCCGCGGTCTCGTCGAAGAGGAACCCCAATATCGTCGATTACGAGAAGTACGCCGAAGATAGTGTTATCCAGCAGATCTATGAAGATCTTCCCGAGGTTGAGAACTCTGATTTCAAGACCGCCAAGAAGTCGGCCCGCAACTTGCGATTTGGCAACTACACCACCGGCAAGTATGTGAAGATCAAGTCGGAGGACGAAGATGGCGCGTCGAAGCCAAAGAAGAAGATGGGCAAGTGGGCTACGGGGTTTCTTCGCAAGGCCGTCGGCCTCTTCTTTCCGAAGAACACCTAAACTTTCTTGTCCCTTGTAGCTGAGTAGCGACTTGACTTCTGCATTTGGGTTGGAGACAAAAGGCGATGGACTAAAGCTACATGCTTCTCTTTGAGTAATACCAACTTGCGCTGCATTGAGATTTTGGGGGCATTTGAAGGTAACAGAACAGGAGGAATCTAGTCTGTGTTAACATGCTAACGAGAACAAGCTTTTCTGACGACAAATGTCTTTTTAGGTGCCTTTGCCTTTTTATTTTATTTTTAGTATTGGAAGCACAGCCGAAGACACGGTACGGTGCACACATGGGTCGGAACTTTCGATCATCTTTTGTCAGAAGGGGTGAAGTTTCCTGACGACGGAAGTCGTGAATTCATTTTGGTCTTTGTTACGGCATGGGGATTAGTTTGGGGGGTTTCCATGGTTCTTTGACATTCTGGAGTTTTGTTCGGCTGGAGTTTTCACATTTCGTTTTTCTCGTTTGTTTGTCGCTTTATCATTCTTGTCACGAGATTGGGGTTTGTGTTTTATGTTTTGGAAGCGGAAGTACGGACATCGAGATTGAGAAGAGCGTTTGCTCGAGGTTGTCCTAATGCGAGTCAATGTCAACGAGTCCGTGGACTTTTAGCTGCCCAGCCTCTTGGTATTCACGACAGGCTCGTGATTAGATCTTTCTTGAGTCGTAACCCGTTGGTGTCAGTTGCCAAGCAAATATCATTCGCATCTAACTAGGCCTTAACCAGAAGTCGGCGATGCTAGTGCTAGACCAATGTGAGCTTCGGCGTTTGTGCCTGGCGCTAATCTAGATCAACTATCGCCAATGGAGAAATAAGTTCGATGAGCTTTAGTCTTTGCAGAAGTTCAAGTCGTCGTCATCATCTTCAGGGGGTCGGCAACGACCCCCTCCAGGAAGTGAACGCCACAGAGAGGCCGCAGCCAAACTCAGTGATTCTTGCCATGCGTTCTTCCTCTCGCACGTATCCGTACCACGACTCGGTGTCATCCGAGCCTCTGGAACGGACTGTCGCAGAGGCTTGCAGATGCTTCGGCGCACAACTGCAGGCCCGCATCGTCTCTGTGACAACCATCTATCCGCATCGCAGTTCTTATTTGAGATCATTCGATGCAGTCCCGGGCTACCGGCACCTAAGGGATCCTGAAGGGTGCGTGAGCGATGCGCTTCGATATGACAGGATTTCCGAGGCGGTGCAGTTTAGCGCAGGGGGGATTATCCTCGTTAGCTCAGCCAGCGCAGAGACCCCGCGACCTAGAAGACGGGATGTGGATGGTCAATATTGCATGTCTTAGGTCATCTTCATGAATCACGTTGACCTCTGAATAGGCTCTCTACTACTCGTGGGGTTCTGACGTGTCAGCAGCTGAACAAACCTCTTGTTGGCAATAAAGAATGGAGTCGGAGGGAAGTTTGTAGTGCGAAAGCTTTCGGTAGTTCGCTTCCAAAGATTACAATTACGCAATCCGATGTTGAACGCGTTTTCCCCACCGTATTGGATTAGCTCGAGGTCAAAACTCGGACGCAAAAACACTTGAGCCGCTACATTGCCAAAGCTGCCCCTGAGCTTCGATGCCAGAAGAGGAATAAGCCCGGCCGGCACGAAAGAAAACACGATTTTGCTCTTAGTGTTCCCCACCAGTTAATGACAGTTTTCTGATGTTTTGAGATGGACTCTCTTCCCATATCCACAATGGACTAGCTCGGCCCTCCGGATCTCCTTTTAGAAGTTTCAGGGTGCTGTTCATCGTTCTCGTCCTCGGCTTGAACGACAGCCAGCGTTTCGTTTGTATGAGAAACTCAATGTGCTGCACCATTGATAGCTAGCTGCATGTGCAACGATTGGTGATCTCTCAGTCTACCAGTATTCGGCACCTTGCATCGAGGTCTTCAAGCCGTAGACCGAGAGCCTCGAGTTTGCCTTTGCTTTGAGTCAGACGAAGGATCTGTTGCCATATGAATGTGAATGGCCCGTGTGCGAACAACATACGTGCGGCGCCCGCGAGTACGTAGCTGACCACACAAACTCTATCCAAGCCAGCCGCACAACAACGCTCACGCCACACCCGCTCGACGACCAAATGGTGGCTCACCTGAAGCTCTCGAGTGGAACTCCTGATGGTATCTGACTTTGCCAGGTCAGCGAATATGGTCCGATGATATTGCTGCCTGACCCTCTCCCCCCGAGTCACGAGAGAAGCGAAAGATGGTCTGCAGACTACTTTTCAGCATCGCTGAGGGGCGTGAAGCTCGTAGGATCATCCGACGAACAAGTCGCCGGAACCTTCAGAACCTGCAGTCCATGATTGGAAACGAGGTCAAAAGTTCGTATCAATTAAGCTCATCGACATCGCAGAAGTTACCAGAGTCTCGGCCTCAACTCTGCCGGCACGGGGTCGCATGTTGACACTAGAACTACAGGGACCTGGCTAGTACCTTGCACCATTCTTAGACCATGCGTGAGATGCTAGCGCGGATACGTGCCGTCAAGGAGCAGCAGTGCTGATGCAGATCGGGTTAAGCCCATCAGCCCATAGCAACTCGGATAGGCTTCCCGAGTCCGACTCTGCCTACTGGGGGAGATCAACCACGATCGACGGGGTCTTTCTACGGTACTGGGACGTTTCTCCTGGCCGTTGAACACGGTCCGTCTTGTTTTTAGACATTAACTAACTAAACTTGAGCCTCCTTCAAGGAGTATATAGCTCAAACATGCTCACCCTCTTTCTTGGCTTTTGGGAATCATCAGCACTTACTCACTTAGACATCTGACAACAGTCTTTTCACACGTTCGTTTCTTACGTTACCGAAAAGGTTAGCTGCCAAGATGGTTGCCATCAAATGTGTGGGAGGCGTCCTTGGCTGGTTGTTCTCCATCCAAGCGTCTCTGAGCCAAGACAAGACCAACGGGTATGACACTTTCTAAGCATAACTTGGCTGCATTCTCGACGGGATGTTTCTTGGCTAACACTCGTGCAGAAAGTCTCCCCTTGGCACTTTGAATGCTGCCAAGCTGCCACCCTTCATGATAAACAACCCGCTCCCCAACGGCTTTCCCTGGGGCAAGCTCTCCGCCGACGGCACCAACTACTACAAAGAGTGGCCCAACACCGGTGTTACCCGCAACTACGACTTCACCATCAGCCGCGGTGTGATCGCTCCCGATGGCTACGAGCGCAAGGTCCTGCTCGTGAACGGCGCTTTCCCCGGCCCTACGATCGAGGCCAACTGGGGTGACTGGATCGAGGTCAAGGTCACCAACAACATCGTCGACGGCCCCGAGGGAACCTCGCTCCATTGGCACGGATTCAGACAGCTGAACACTCAGTGGGAAGATGGTGTGCCGGCTATCTCTCAGTGCCCGATTGCCCCCGCCAAGACCTACACTTACAGGTTCCAGGCGACTCTGTATGGAACCTCTTGGTATCACTCTCACTACTCTTCTCAGTATGCCGGTGGCCTGTTCGGACCCATTGTCGTCTATGGTCCCGCGAAGGCTCAGCCCGACATTGATCTCGGCCCTGTCATGATCTCTGGTAAGTGAATTTTTTCACACAAATATTCCTGGAAAAGCTACAGTTTCTTTCTCTATGGGCGGCTGCCAATGGCTAGGCCAGCGTCAGCCAGCCCGGGTCCGGCGACGGAGATGTGGATACCCGGGACCGGTTCCATAGCCCAATTGAACCCCTGGTTTCGGAGTGGGGCTACCCGGAGGGCCGAATGCAACGCCCGCAACGAATACTACTTTAGAAGAATCAAGGCGCTAACATCTCCCAGATTGGTACCACAAGCAATACTTCGATCTCATCGAAGAAATCTTGCAGGTCAACGGCAGTGGCTTGGTCTTCTCTGACAATAACCTGATCAACGGCAAGGGCAACTTCAACTGCTCCGCCGTTGCGACCGGAGACAACACCAAGTGCACCAACAATGCCGGTATCTCCAAGTTCAAGTTCCAGACCGGCAAGACCCACCGTCTTCGTCTCATCAACTCCGGTGCCGAGGGTACCCAGCGCTTCTCCATTGACGGACACACCCTGACCGTCATTGCCAACGACTTCGTCGAGGTCGAGCCCTATGACACAAAGGTCGTCACCCTCGGCATCGGCCAGAGAACCGACGTCCTCGTCAAGGCCAACGCCGACAACAGCAACCCCAAGGGCGCCTACTGGATGCGAAGCAACATCACCAGCTGCAGTCTCACCAACCAGCCCCTCGCCCTCGCCGCCGTCTACTACGACCAGGCTGACAAGACCCAGGCGCCCACCAGCAGCGCCTGGAACGTGCCTGACCCCGGTACCTGCGTCAACGATGACCTCGCTCTCACCAAGCCCATCATGAAGCTCAAGCCGGCCAACGTTCCTGTTACCAGGACCATGGAGATCAAGGTCTTCCGCAACGAATCTGGCATCGTTCAGTGGTCTCTTGGCGGTGTTGACTTCCGCGGCAACTTCAACGACCCCACGCTCCTTCAGGTTAACAAGGGTGACCTGACCTTCGACAACGACTGGAACGTCCAGAACTTTGCCAACAACGGCAGCGTCCGCATTGTCGTGAGCAACAACAGCCCTGCAGCGTAAGTTCATCTCCCAGTATCTTCCATCTGAATGCACGACTAACCTCCGCAGTCATCCCATGCATCTTCACGGTTTCAACATGTACATCCTCCACGAGGGTGAAGGCCTGACCTGGGACGGAAACATTACCAACCCCGAGAACCCTCAGCGCCGCGACGTCCAACAGGTTCGTGCCGGTGGCCACATGGTCATGCAGTTCGACTCCAACGAGAACCCCGGTGTCTGGCCTTTCCACTGCCACATTGCCTGGCACGCGTCTGCTGGTCTCTTCTCCCAGTTGCTGGTTCAGCCTGAGAAGGTCAAGCAGCTCCGCATTCCCTCCAAGGTCGGCGACGTCTGCAAGGACTGGTCTGCCTGGACCCAGAGAAACATCCCCGAGGTCATTGACAGCGGTCAGTAGATCTGAACCACTTTATTTCTTTGTGAATAGTATCCATGGTGTAGTTACTGGTAACTTTTACTTTTCTTGGCTGTGTATTATTCGATTATTGAGCGGTCTATAGATTTTACACTTGGGCGATTTAGTCTGTGTATTTGGCTAGAGAAATTCAAATGACTTACACATATTACGTGTTGACCCTTTTGATGAGTGTGGACTACCACTAGCACGGAAGCTGAGCGTGCCCTCAATTACTCAATACCTATAGTTCCAAATGGCCTATCAATCGTCTGGCGTTGTTCAGAAGGGCTAGACAGCTAGGCTCTCGATCAGAAGTCCCACAGAACGATTGATGACAAGGTGGGCAATCTGGTGCCGGGGGCGTATGATGCCATCGCCTTTGGCGCTGCTCCATGAGGTCAAAGAACCCCGTCAGACACTTATTATCGTCCTGGCCGTCGGCTCCAAAGATCTCTGTCTTCACGATATTTCGCATGATCTTCCCCCACTCCAACGGCGATACCTCTACCGAAAACATACTTGGCGTGCTTCGGGGCGATGGATCGCCGTAGCTCGACGAACCTGGTAACGCACCGTGGACCCCGAGGCGCTTCTTCTCTCCGGATTCCGTGGCTCTAGTCTCTTCTGCTACAATCGCCGCCAGAATTTTTTTGTACGACTCCGTTAGACATAGACAGAGGACCCCGAGCAAGGCGGCGTTCTGAATGATTGAGAAGTATCGGCGCGGGCACCTTTGGCAGTTCAGAACCTGTAGGGCGGGCTCAAACGTATTATGTAGTAGCGCAAAGTCATCTGGTGCGACAAGATGTTCTTTCACTCGAAGGTGCTCGAGCAGAAGGTACAGCACTGAAAGGCAGGCGCAATTATCTGTTGTTTGCTGGCTGTCTGAGGTAAGGGGAGGGAAGGCTGCGAGACCTTCGGATACGAGATCTTGGCTGGGACTGAGCTCGTGGGATACGCTGTCAGCGGTTTTGTTGCTTGGAATGCCTCCGGAATAGTAAAGAGCTACAACTATACCCTTGATGGTCCTCCAAGTCTATGAGATCTGGGTGGATTGCAAAAGTATCCGAATTGATGGAGGAGCTGATTCGCGGGCTGGTTGACCCGAGAAGTACGTCAATCTCTCGTGTATTACTGTTTCCAGAGTCTGATGCAGCGTCCGCATGAACGGGAGATAGCAATCTGGTCGAGGCATTCCGCCGGGGTAGTATCCGTTCCCGACGGATTGATTGGGACGATTGGGGACGAGCACGACGCGATGTCGGCCTACCCATTGGCTTGTGAGGAGTAGTAGCATTCCCGATCAGCGGACTTGCATTTGAAGCAGATCGGACGTTCTCCAGTACATCTGATATTCTTCACTCCTGGAGAGACAAATGTTAGCCCAATTACTCCTGTGTCATTGCCGAAAGAGTAGAGTCCACAACGCACGGCAAGCCTCGCATGATGCTCGGAGACCTGATCCTCCGGTGGGTACATTTGGAGCCATTGTGTACCGCTGGAGCCGCCCTAGGAACTTGGATAATTACGTTTCCGGGCAAGGTGATTGTGGACAGTGACCTGGAGAAAAGCGAGCAATGTTGAGTGATAAGAAAGAAAGATGAAGTCAATGTCATTAAACAAAGCCACGGAGGGTTCCCAAATCTACGCGAACGGAGACTTTCATCATCACTGATTGGCTCAAAGTACCCGATCGACCCACCATCACGGAGGCCGTCCCGTTCCCCGCTCCCGAAGTAGCATCCCCGGCTCGATGCCGATCATATATAATTGGGCAAGCCGACGGGAAGGTAGCATCATATGCTTTGATACCTTGAACAAACTCCAACTTGTCGCTCTCTTCGCAGTGTCTCTCGCGAACAAGTTACTATGCATTTACTTAGACGTTGCCGTAACTTGGAGGTTTCTAACGATTGATTGCTGTGATGAGATGGTTGATTGATATTTTTACAGTCCTATGGGCCCTATCATGAAGTACCGATGCTATTACATATTATTTCAGCCGACCGATATGGCTGAAGTTCCTCGAAGCTTATAATAATGCCACCCTTTGATTCTCGTCCTGGCACTAGTAATGCACTCGGTCCAAGTTTCTGCAAGATTTCGGACACGCCCTCACGGAACAGCAGCATAGCATAGATGCTGTGGAACCTGAGTAAGATACCGGACAGAGGCTGGTTCCGAGTAGGATTGCAAGCTGTTGACTCATACATGACTCTAACTCTTGTCGGGTTCTCGGGGTTCCGGATGATGCTGAACCGATGGGCGCCTGCGAACTGACTGTTGTCTTTCCCGAAGACAAAGTCGACACTGCTCTCTGTTTCCGGCCCCGCCTGTGACTCTTTGGGATTGATGACATTGGCATGGCTGACTTGGAACGTCCCCAACACTACTGAGTGTACTGGGGGTAGTTTCTCGCATGACAGGTCCTCCGATTTCCATATTTGGTTTGATGCTGAGATCGAGTCCAGGCCTTGCCCCTAGTCAGAAAGACCTCACAAGCAGGTATGAGAAACAGTGACTTACCAGTGTATGACACTAAGCTCAGTCGTGCTATCTGCAATAGACGCCTCTCAATCGCTATAACTTTCCCTGCAAAGAACCCGCGGACGAAAGTCGCCAATAGGAACTCGTCGCTGAGATCTTTTGCGTGTTCAGGCAGGTCCAAATCCATGGCCAATGCGTCCGCCGATGACATGTGTCCTTTGGGGTTTACAAGAGTCTTGAGAGTGTGCGATTGTTTGAAGTTCTCTGAAAGACTGCTAACAGAGACCACACGGCGCGTATCGACCGCCCTTATGCTCGCGTAGACATCCCAGCCGTGCTTCACAAGTAAGGCGCAAGGGATCGCTGCTGCTAGCGCGAGGGCATGATGCCCGCCGATGTATCGTAGACCAAGGGCCATATTCTTGAAGGCGATGTTGTGTTAACCAAGGTGAGTAGGACTCTGATATGTGAATGACTGTCTATGCCAGTTGGTAAATCACACTCTATCGATGTTACCCTGAGCATTTTGGGCGATTAAGTATGACGGAGGCTCAGAAGCTGACATGTCACACGAAAACAGCCCGCGATGCGTTCGCGCCGGCTTTACCCGCGCCTAGTTCTCAGCTGTTGATGCTAACGCTCATCCGGCCTAACTTCATTTTCGGCGCGTAAGAGTCCTAGTTTGTTGATTATTCTGAGCAGACCATTGTCGTAAGCAACAGATCACCTGTCTATGTACCCATTTTTCGGATGACTCAATCTACAAGTCCAGCCTTTCTAGGCTTGGAGAGTCAGAAACTAATGTCTTCTAAGACATTGAGTGAGTTGATGTTATTAGTGCTGCCCCGCCCCCACAAGCCCCTAGTGCTCAAGACAGAAACACCCAGCGTAAGACGGAGTATTGTCCCGTCCATAACCTTCCGAGACTGCCGTGATCGTCATCGCTGGCGGGAAAGGGCTCAATATTCAAAGCCAACGTCTTGCGTTGAAAAGATTGCTTTGCTCACTGCAAAGACCCGGCCCTTGAGACCATCTGAAATATCTGAAATGGTCGAAGTAGCCCGCCCAGCCACCGTACCTTACTTCCTTAGGTACCCCGCATTATCCAATACAGGGAACATTGGGGCAGTTCCAGCAGGCGACTTAGCTGTGAACACCGCGGCTAAGGTCTCACCCGCCAGCGGGAGCTCAGACATGCAAGCTGTTGAAACTTCTCGCTCAGCGCGGGGTCGTGTCAAAGGACTGTTGTGCCATCTGCAAAGTTAAGAGGGCACTTACAGAGGCTACAGAGGCGCCTTATTTATAAAACTATAGAGTAGTTAGTTATTCAGTCTAGTTATTCATAGTCTTCGAAAGACAACTTCACCGCATCAAGCCCAGAACACCGCCTTCACCTCAGTCAAAATGTCATCGTCAGACGAGAAAACCCTCCACCTAGTAGGCATCTGCGTAGGCCACCCAATCGCACCCCCAATGCACAACGCCATCGCCAAATCCTTGGATATTCCACGCCACTGAATGCAACACAATCGAAGACCTCCTCTTCCTGGCGCGCAAGGACTCAACAGCAGGCCTCGTCGTCACAATGCCCTACAAGAACACAGTTATGCAGCGCCTCGACGCCCTAGATCCTCTCGCCACCACCATCGGCGCCTGTAATAACGTCTACCGCGACCCGTCGGACCCGGCACAGCTGAAGGGTACGAATACGGATTGGCTAGGTGTGAAGGGATGTCTTCTTGAAAAAGGAGAAAGGCGAGGTCCGGTGGAGGGGAGACCTGCTTTGATTGTGGGTGCTGGGGGTGCCAGTCGCGCTGCGGTGTATGCCCTGCATACCTATTTCAAAGCTTCTGTGATCTACGTCCTGAACAGAGATGATGGGGAAGTAGCTGATCTCCAGCGAGATGCCCAACGGCTATCTCCCGCGCCTAAGATAGTTCACGTCAAGGAAGGGGAGTCGAAGACGCTGGAAACGCCGTACTCGTGGTCCAAACGGTACCCGATTTCGAGCCTACATCGGCGTCCGAGTTAGCGGTAAGAGCATCGCTAGAAGACTTTCTTTCACGGCCGGAGAAGGGCGTTTTGTTGGATATGTGCTTCAAGCCGCGCCGGACGAGGATGATTAAGTTAGCGGAGAGCCTTGGGTGGCCTTCGGTAGAGGGGACGCATGTCATTGGGTACCAGATTGAGGAGCAGTGGAAGCTTTGGGCTGGGGAGGAGAGGTTGAAGAAGTTGGATAAGGATGCGGCGTGGAGGGTGTTGTTGGAGGCGGCTGACAATAGTCCAGGTATCAACATTTAAGCAATTTAATCCCTTGAGGAATTGAGAACTAGACCAGGACAAGAGTGAAAGCCGATTAATAGTGACATGCTCGGGCAATACTCTACTTGCTCATCACGAGTAGATCAATCCAGATGCAAACGCTGTACGAGCTTCTTCCAAGCTTCCCTACCTCTCCGCGCATGCTCTTCAGGCACCTCCTTGTGTTCCTCCGCCATGGTTCGCGAGAAGAGTTCCATCGACACCCAGCCCTTATAACCAAGCCCCTCAATCAACGTCCGAGCAACCTCTTCAACCGGCAAGTAAGCCCCGCGATCCGTCTCATACATGTACGTTCTCGCATTCCTGGACCACATCATCCGCGGCGGATTCCCGTCCACGTGGAAAGGGTGGCCTTCTACAAGAGGCTGTTCCATCCGCTCGGCGTCAACAACCTGTATGTAAAATACCTTCTCCAAGTCGACACTTTGCATCAATCTCTCCATCGATGCCTTCAGGTCTGCGTCTGCGTTGGGGGTCTTCCCGGACGGAGATGCCGGATCACCCCACACCCGGCCGGCGATGTTGAATGTATCGAGGCAAAGGCCGAAATTTGGGCGGTCAACACGCGTGGCAATCTCCCAGGACTTCTCCCACGTGTCGATGTGGGTGCTCCAGCATAAGCTCTCATACGCAAACCGGATTGGCGGGTCTTCTTTGAGCCCTAGATCTGCGAGTTCGACTAGATCGGCAACCATGACGTCCATGTCGCCAGTAAGCTGGTCGGCGGGGAGGAAATTGGCGGGTATCTGGATGGTGTTTGTTCCCAAGGTCTTTGCCAGCTTGAACCAGAGCTTGATCTTCTCGATGAGCCGGGCATGTTGACCTCTGTCCAAAAGACCTTCGTAGAATAGGAACGGCTGAAGGCCGATGATTGTTATTTTCAGATCTTCCAGTACATCGTGAATGTGGGATGCGGCGGCAAGGAGGTGCTCCGGTGCAGGCTGATCGACATCATGCAGCTTCTTGGCAACGTATTCAAGGTCCTCGTAGAATATCTCGATGCCTTCAAAGCCGCACTTTGCTGCCTCGGCGGCTTTCTTATCAAAGTCGTGAACCCAGGCGCGACCAAGAGACGCAGAGAGTACGGCGGGTCGGAAAACGGTCATGGTTGGACGTGGCGAGCGTGGCTGATGTGGTATGAGGCGAGGGATTGGGTATCGTCGTGGTAAACAAGACCTCCAGTTAGACCTTGGTCATTTGAGACTGTTGGCTTAATGTTCAATCATCCGTCATTGGCATTGACCCCGCACTTCAAGCAAAGTTAGTGACTTGACGTCAGCTGTGCCGGACCCGGGTGATGTCAAAGATGGCAGTTCGAGGGGGCGGCTAAGCGTAGTTCCGGGCTGTTCCAATGGTATCTACTGCGCATTCCCGCAATTCCGAAGGATTCAATCGTTTTCGTTCGAGCAAGAACATACTTCACCCGGGCTCTTGGTCAAAGAAAGACTGGATATCCGTCGCCATGTTGCCTACAACTCCGAGATGCCGCATGAATTCTGGCGGATTTGCCGACCTGTTGCCATGTGTTAGACACTGAGTTGCAGATGGTACTTGGGACATTACCAATCGGCTGAGTCGAGATCAGCAAGGCTCAGAAAGAGTTCGTCGCCGATACTCTCAGTCGCGGTATCCATCAGCTGCCTGAAGCTTACTTGCGCTTCGGGTTGAAACGGCTGGAGGTCCGATTGATGCACTGGTATAGAATCCGGGATGACTTCCATCGTGACTGGCTCGCTTTGGTCGATTTCACTGCCAGATGTCGGGCAAGGATTTGGTCTAGGGGACTCCCTGTTTTTGGCATTAGTCAAGGCAGCCTTTAGAAATTGTGAATCCCTAGGAGGTCTTGCGAGTCCCTCGCTACTCAAATGGAAGTCGCACGCGATTTCGAGGCTAGTAAGAAAAACGATCTTTGTCGGAGGCATGCGGAATGTCTTTGTGCTTTCGAGAAGTTGAAGAAGAGGTTGCCCCTGAACAAGCGTTTCCCATAGTGCCTTGGTAGACATCCCACGTTGTGTACCTTCCAAGCGCTGTACCTGTGCTCTTAGGGTCTCGGAGACACTGGCGCAAGCGAGACGGAGATTTAGATCCTGGGGCGAAGTCTCGACATCATTCCGATTTCCAAAGTTTGGCAAATGATGCTCTCCCCATTCTTGAAAGTCCTTGATAATCTGATGACAACGACCAAAGCTGGCGCTTTCCATCTTGAGTCTCAAAATATCATTCAAAATACAAACAAGGAGAAACAAGGAATTGAACGTGCTCAATACCAGTCCTGGTACGTGGTTCGGCGTCAGAGACTGGTCTTTCAAATCTTTCGACTGCCAGGGCTCCCACTCTTCCATGGACTCTGTGGCAAGTAGTCCCAAGCTCTGTGCGTCTGAGCGGTCAAGATATGGTCGTGACTTTATCCAGCTTGCGATGAGCGCGTCAAGAACAAAGACACACATCAGTGTTCGCCGTGTGCCCTCGTCTTTGTGCGAGGGTCCGTTCGTGACTGCAGGAAGAAACAGCATAGCGGCTGAATATGTAGACTGGCCAACTGCGAGCCACGCGGCTCCACTGTCCTCCTGCTCCATTCGGATGAGTGTGACGATGAGTAGGGCTCGTATGTGACCGATCTGATATTTTTCGTTGTCTTGGGCCAGACCATCTATCGCTGACTTTAGGAAGGGCTCTGAAAAGTCCAACGATCCCGACTGACGCAAAGAATAGGCCATGACCGTCCAGAGAAAGCAAAGATCCCCACTACCGATCACATTCGATGTATTGGCATCTTTGTCATTGTGGGCGTTGAGATATACTAATCGCAGAAGATCGTGCTTCTGTACCATGGGCAGCCACGAATGGGTGTTGGCAAAGTAGACATCCAGGAGCTGCGCCCAATTTGGAGGCATTTCCGGAGTGCAGACATGGCGTTGTGGTGTTGGGACCTGTGGTGTGGTCAAGGCATTCTCTGGGAAAGTTGGTTGAAACGAATAGAGTGACAGAGTCGAATCAACATCTTGTTTCGCTAAAGTGATTGTTCCAGCCGGCGAATAGTCGGTTTGGCTGACGTTGGTGTACGTGGGAGTTATCATGTCCAATTCATTGTCAACAGTCGAGACTTCGTCTGCCGAGACTTTTGCTGCCAGCTTGATGGCCTCTCTGATGCCTGATGTTGGTATCCCTATCACAGGGAAGTTGGTTCGAACCAATGGGCTCTGTGGGCGACGAAGTATCAATTGCTGTATATTGATCGATTCTGCGTAAGGAGTAAAAGGGAGATTCCAACCGGAGGTTGGGTGGGTAGTCGAGGTCTAATTGTACTCCCTCGAGATGGCCCATGCTCTGCCCTTACTCGCTGTCGAATTGGACTTCCAATCCGACACTGACTCAAACTTCTTGAAGGCTTCGCCGTCTTCGAGGCTGTCTGCAGGTTCGTCGACAGATAGAAGTCTCTCAATTTTCTTCGAAGTTTCGCTCGTCCTCCAGGAATCCGCAAGTGTATCAGTGACATCCGTGTTGGAGCTAACAAGTAGACTCAAATCCCGTAACCCAAATTTGGGCCGCCGGTCTTCCCTCTCGAGTACCGCAGTCAGCCATTCATTAGCGTCGTCAATGGTGTTGACTATCATTCCAAGGAGAATTTCGAGGGCCCATACGTATCCGGTGCGCAAGCCGCGTTTCTTCGCAGGTCCGTAGCTACAGCTACGTCCGATGCTTAGGCACGAATTTCAAGAGGGTCGGATCCCATCGCAGCGGTCTTTGCGTCTTCGACACTCGTTGCAGGCTCTGGTAACTCGTATCCTGACTTTTCCCTGGGCCGTAGTACCTTCATCGGACTCCTTCATCGGACTCTTCTCCGGCGTCAGTCTTGGTCTTTTTCGTTCGTCGCGGGGTCGACGGTGATGGGCCGTCGTCGTCCTTGCCCCTAGATTGTCGTTTGGGTGGACGGGTGGCCATCTTGCCAGCCTACTCGGTGTGACTGGGAATAGGAGCGTGGCAACATTGAATTGCAAGTCCAATGTAGACTGTCATAGAAACTATTTCCGAGCCTTCAGGTAGATTCTCCACGGTGTTGTGCAGTATCAGCCCAGATGAGAAGGCACATGGGCAGAATACGTGGTCACAGCCCCACTAGCTGCATGTACTTACTAGGAAAGTGCGTCAATGGAGGTATGCAACACGGTGGTAAGCTTCCGTGCCGCCTTGCAACTGGACCCCCCCCCTGATTTCGTACATACAACAAAGGGGAAACCACTTACCTTCATCTTATTCTCTACCAATGGGTGCGTCAACAGTGACTAAGAATCCTATGAGCTTTGGTGTAGTATTCTATGCGCAGCGATACCCGCAAGTTGGTGGTGTTTTGCTACACTCTGGAAGCAGTATTCATCTAGAGTGTATACCTGTGTACCCGAACTCAGGCGGCTAAGATCTTTGCCGCCAAGATTTCCCACTTCAACGACCAAATCCATCTCACTGATCACTGCCACTTTTTTGGAGCCTGAGTGGTCGCTTTGCTTTTGAAACGATGTGAGACTCAGTATATAAATGGGCACCTAAGTATATATTCGTCTCTTCCAATCCGAGCAGAGCAGTGAGAGATATATGTCACTTGCAGGTCCCATCGTGGGCTGTTGAGGCAGGACACATTCTCGCAAATCTATCCTGCATATCATTTCGAAGAATTTCGAAGAATTTCGAGGACATGTTTTCTTATCTACAGATGCTGTAAATAGGTCATTATTCCCTGGCTTCCTCAAGCTGTCGAGCGAGAACGCCATTGGCGACGAAATGATGGTAGAGAATCTCGATTATGGACACCATCTCTGTTGGATCTCTGAGCAGTCGGCAGAAAAGGTGGATCTGGAAGGCGGTATGGGCACTTACAAACGACCCCTTACATACCACTTCTGAGAGGCCGTGGGCTCTGCCCACAACCTCCTCCTTCGACCTGAAGACGCAGCAATAATAGACCATTATTGACACTTCGTTCCAACCGTACGGTTGCCCTGCTGACGTGTATACCAACAATCCCCATGCAACTGCTTCCGGATTCCTCAAACACATCAATGACATACGTCAGAGGCGGGTCGGTGTCGGGCATGTATTCTCTACCATACACCACATGCCACGACTCATGACGTGGCTGCCAGTAGATGGAAAGATAGCTACCGGCGCGGCTCTCGCTGGGATTCCTGACGGCTTCGTGGAGCGAGTCCCTATTGCTGAGTGACTCCTCCCAAGAGACCACCACGGCCTCGTCGTTCGTATCATCCTCGAATCGATTGATGGCTAGGATCCTCCGCGCGTACCTTTTGTCCATGAACTGCTCAGGCAGAAACCATGAAGCTGCCTCGACCTTGTCGGGGATGAGCAGGCGGTTCCGGTATTCGTCCTCATGGTGGTGGATGCAGGCCTCTGCGCGTTGATCGTCCGAGAAGGATTGCGGTAGCGGGAGCGTCACCACCTCAATCCGGTCTGGTTTGTTTCGTGAGCTCATTCGCATCTTCAGGGTGCGGTCAAACAAGGCGCGGACGAGTCGGGCGCTGCGGGCGAGATGGGTATTGTGTGTTGTGTCGCAGATGACGGTACCAAAAGATGGACGCAGAGGCTGAAGAGCAGCCTCAGAATCGGGCGTATCATAGTGGATCTTATATGAGGCAAAAGTTGGAGCGCCGTCGTGGCTAGGCGCTGGCTGCACAAATGAGCCTAGTGTAGCAGCGGATTTCATGTACCGTCTAATCGCCTCTCTTCTCTTCGTTCCAAGAGTCATTCCTCCACGCAGCTGAATGCGCCCGCTCGCTCGCAGTAGAGTCCTTGATGCTGTCTAGATAGGACCGGAAAGACTTATTCATTTCCATCACCATCACGTCCTTGGAGTGCTCAGCTTCCACAATTATCTCCTGCGTATAGTCGTCGATCGATCCAGACTGTACGACGCTCCAAGGGCTTCTTCAACTACCGAAGTGGCGTTATTGAAAGCTTTACCACAGAGTCAAAATACTGACGCAAGATGTGGAAACAAAGTCGACGTCACATCTCAAGATTCTGACCAGCGATGCCATTCCAGTGGTGGCATGGGCAAAGTTACGCCAGAGCTAGTTGAGTACGAACAAGGCGGAGAGAGCGAGCTCTGGACATTCGAAACAATCCAAGAGTCGCTGAAGCACTTGGAGACATTCCATCAGGTTGCTCGAATTGCATATCTGACATTCCCGCTGAAACAAGTGTCCGTGAGTGCAAAGATGCGGTCTGACCTGGTGAAGATGGTCTCTTCGAGGCAATCGGCCGCTCTCTGGATCGAAGGGCCTGGTAAGTGATGTCCCTTTGTTGCAACTTGAGAGGGGCTCTGTAGCTAATTATCATCAACGTTTAGCCGACGACGAAGAATCGCCTTCACACGCGACATTGCTAGCAGCCAATATGGTTCGCGATCTCAGTCAGCTGAGTATTGCTACGCTCTCTCACTACATCCACCGACCAAGAAACGCATCTTTGGGCCGCGAGCGCGCGTTTTTGGAAATGGTGTACTCTCTGGTCTGCCAGATATCTCGAACAATCCCTGAGCATGCGTCCTTCGAGGCAGGTCTTGTCGAAAAAGCCAAATCTCTGCCTGCGCTCCCACAGGCTCATTCCGAAGTGACCCTCAGCTTAGCTCCAGCGGTCAACGTTTTCGAGTCTCTTTTGAAAAGCCTCCCTCCACTTTTGTTCTGCGTGGTGGACGGATATCAGCTTCTTGTGAAAGGCTCAAACTCTCCGGAGTTGAAAGCAGCCTCCAAGCAGTTCGTCGCTTGCATCTGCGATGCAGCAACGCGCCAGCTCTCAGACCAGCCGCCAATATTCAAGTCGCTTTGGACCACGGATGGGTTCTGTGGGGATTTGCGGCTAGCTGAGAACAGCCGAGGTCTGACACGAGTTGAGTTCGAAGATGATGAGGACTTTGAGTCAATGGCTTTTCGTGGTAGGGAAATGTCGCCACTACTGGAAGGGTAACCTTTCATTCTTGCCGATTGCAGATTTAGTAGCTGGGAGGTAGCTTAAGAAGATGATTTGATCGAAATTTCTTTATGCCTTGGGCTTAATATTCTTCACGGCATGATCAATGGCATATCCATACCCATGGATTCCCAACCCCATAATAACCGCCACCGCCTTATCGCTCAAATAGCTGTGATGCCTGAAGCTCTCTCTCGCGTGTGTGTTGCTAATGTGCAGCTCGATGAAGGGGATATCGACGCCCAATAGCGCGTCGCGGATGGCGACGCTTGTGTGCGTGTAGGCGGCCGGGTTGATGATGATGACGTCGACGTTGCCCCGTGCCGCGTGTATGCGCTCGACGATGGCGCCCTCGGTGTTGGATTGGAAGGATTGAAGGTCTGCGCCGAGGGACTTTGCGTGTTCTTTTGATTGCGTCTCGAGCTGGGACAGTGTGGTTGAACCGTAGATGTGCGGCTCGCGGGTGCCAAGGAGGTTTAGGTTGGGGCCGTTGATGAGGAGGATTGACTTTGCCATTGTGACTGTTGTTTCGGACTATCCGTAGTGTTGGAAGATGAATATCTGTGAATTGTAGGACAATTGCAGGACGCTTCGTAGGACGAATTGGGAGGACAATTGATAGTGTGCAGAAGAGATCTCGACCTTGTAAACGCAGCTAGATGCAATATCCAAAGATTTCAAGTAGTGACCCCCAAAAGAAGACTGGTTAAACAATTTCCCCAGGTTCCCCTCAAATCATCTCCGCGTGAACCGAGTCAAGCCCAAAATTGCTCCGTGAATCGGTGCGGGGAAAGAAGATGCGGGACCCCCGCGCCCCCGTGATCCCAATCGCGGCAAAGTTTTTATCCGTTCGGCTTTGCCAAACGCCCCGAAATGGAAGAGCCGCATAATGTGCCGAATAGCGAAGGATTCACTAATACGATGGCCTCGTCATTGGCTTAGTCACTTACATGATGTCTTTTCCGCCATATGAGGTCTGCATCGCGGGATGTACTCATTTATGAGTTCATAATTGTAGGGAAACATAGCAACTGGATTCATATGCCATTCTCAGAAATGCCCGACTTACACGACCTTCCCGCAGGGTCTCGTTCCACCAACGCCGTCCGTAATAATGGACCAGACCACTTAGTTCTGGAACGACTTAAATTGAGAGAATTTAGCAGAAGGATGGCCGTCTTATAGGTAAGGATATCACTCGAAATTGAGGTAGATAGGTTAACATCTCCTCATGTTGAAGCTGACCAGTCTCCAATTTCCAGAGACGCATGCGAATGGGAAAACTTCGAATCCATCTTCCACCCAGGAGCCTACGTCTACACCACATGGTCAGGCCGCGTCCCCTTCACAGACTTCATCGCAGCCTCCAAGGCGGGTATGGATAAAGGCGCCTTCATCATGCACCGCTGCCACGGCTGCAGTACAGATATCAACATCGAAGGCACCAGAGCCGTGACCAAGCTCAAGGCGACAATCACACAGCGTTTCGAGATTGACGGCGTCGAATTCGATGTGGAAGCCGACTGTCGCTTTTGTTTCTACTTTGAGACAGTGGAAGACCGTTGGGGAGCGCGATTGGTGCGGCATTGGTATGAGAAGGATAAGGTGATCCCGTGCAACCCGTCCAAGTTTCCCAAGACTGATGAGGAGAAGTTGGCTGCTTTCCCTCCTGGGTACAAGTATCTTGCGTACTTCCAGGAGCTCACGATGGGCGTCAAAGTTCTTTTGGATATGCCTGGGCATCGCCGTCATGTTGGGACGGTAAACCTGGAACAGCATGACTTGCTTTACTGGCAGGCCGGCGTGGTGTAGTGGCATACACCTGGCAAGGCCTCTGGAGCCCAGAGGTCGCTGGTTCGATTCCAGCCGCCGGCAACTGCTTTAACTACCTGTGGGAAGGGTAGGGCAGAGCCCAATGCGGGGCCTAGGACCCTTTCCGGGCCCTCGCCAGGGTTTTCTCATATCCACACCCTCCGACCAAGAAAAAGTGGATATGCGGCGAGTACACGTCGTCAACCAAGTACTGGGGCAGGAATGGTCTTGTACAAATCAGAACATGTACGAGGGGCCTGTTTCGGCAGGCCGCCCTCTCCAGACATATCCGGCCTTAAGCCGCAAAATTCAAGAATGGAACTGGGGCACCAGCGGGAACCAGGGACAGATAGAACGTATAGTAGCCATAAGGCACGATTTGGAGGACGATTTGAACTGTATCTAGCAATAGTTATAGGGCGACGGCTCTCCACGCCATATACCCTTCGGGAGGTCGGCCGCAAGGGCGGCTGCGCCCTTGCCGCCACGGCGTTAAATATAACACACACACTTTACTGGCAGGCCAAGGAATGGCTTGAAGGGAAGGCATTAGACGTTTAGAACTTTAGATGAATGGGGTATACGGCGTTACCACAACAGAAGAGTGTCATCAAACGTTACGGATCATTTCGCCACATTTAATCAAGAAAACCAAGCAATTTATTTCTGAAAAGGTGCTAGTGTGGAAGCTTTTGGACTGGTGACCATAGTTTCGAGGGGATAAGGTGATGCTATTTGACGGTCTTCCGTAGTTTTTTCGGCAACACATAATCAATGAAGTTGAAGGCGAACGAGACATTTCTCTTCGAGGCCTATCTTATGCTCTTTCTTTAATCTTGGCCTGCATCGCAGCTTTCATCACCCAACGGGTGCCTCTCTCCCAGTCCACAACTCGAACTGGGCATAGGCCTGTTCCTCCAGCACATCGACGCCCTTGAACACCGTCCAGCCCGGATGCTGCGATGCCGACGCCATCATACCAGTGACCTATGGCCTGTACGCCATCTCAACCAAAACCCCCGCCTCAGAAGCAGCAAATAGTCCACCCGGAATCTTCTCCACGCCAAGGTCATCCGCCGGAACACAAGCGACAATGACTCTCAAAGGAAGCTTACCCGAGCCATCTCGCACCCTCTTGACGGTTACGATATCTTCCAAAGTTTCAAAGACCTGACAATCAAGAGCAGGAAACTGTTCCGCCATCTCGGCCCCCTTCGACACCGTCCGGTTCACAACAAGCAGCCGCCGGATCCCCAACTCCTGGATCGCATAACAAGCAGCGCGCGCCGCTCATTCGGCACCTAGAACCAACGCTGTCGAAGAACGGAGATCCGTAAGGTCGCTGCGCTCGATACAACTCCTGATTCCATGCCAGTCCGTATTATCACCCACGAGTCTTCTGCTTTTCATCCCCGTGCCCTTCTTGACAAGGACAGTGTTTACAGCCCCAATTTTCTGTGCGCAGGGAGTAATAGCATCTAAGAGCCTGCCAATCTGCAATTTGTGTGGATATGTGACTGAAGCGCCTCCAAAGTCATCGGCTTTGATGATGGCTTCTACTGAAGCGTCGACGCTCTCTGTTTGGTGGATGCCGTAATGGTGAGGGAGGGCGAATTCTCGGAAGCCCGTGTTGTGGAGGGTTGGGGAGAGGGTGTGCGAGATGCTGTGACCGAAGATGAAGAAGTTCTTCTTTGAGGTCGAGGGTTTCGCTTCGATGGACCCCATGGTCTTTTGGAATCTGTTGTCTTTGGTTGCTGAGGTTCGCTGGCTTGGGCTGTGAGATCGATATGCGCAGAGAGTATATTGGAAGCCAGAACCTTCGTGTGAGGTCTCGGTTCGAGGTGACTGGAGTAAGCGCAGACTAGGTACCGATACTTCCCTCAGTAAACTGACATGTGATGCGACTTTGAGTTGGCTAATATAACAAGGCGACATGAATCCGATCAAGCTTCATTCCCGTCGGTTAGCAGCTTGGCATGTGTCCTACTAGCGACGGTAAAGGTATTTACCGCTACTCTCAAGCTAACCACCAGCTTTTATGGGCAACGATCCAAGGCGAAGCACCATGTCTACGTACTCATCATCTCTTCGTGCGTTTACTAATCAATGCACATGTTTATCATTGACCCATAACCAAAGGACCTCTTCTTCATGACGGGGAATGTTGTGAAGAAAATGTTAACATTGAAACGCTACGCTCACATGAATGCTATTTTTGCCAAAATCTACCCTCTCGTCGGCATCTTCCCGCCTTCTGCGAGTCTTTCCTTATATGCACGCGAAATCAACTCACGCATCATCTCAATCGGGGGCTTGCGTGCCGTGAAGAGCTCAAATTGCCTCTTTCCCTGTTCCGGCAGAACACTTAGGCCGTCGACGGCGATCCACCCTTGGTCGCTTATGCCGCGGATTTGCCTCAGGAGAGGTGTCTCGAGAGGTGTATACGATAGCTAGAAATCCAGGTCAGCTGTTGAACATCCCTTTCTTTCCGTGTAAGAATCATGGAGCTTACCTCAATGGCCACTCCGCCCGTGGGACTGCCTAGCCACCCCGAGGGCAGACTCGTATCAGCCGACGACTCCCCATTGACCTCGCGCGTAGATATACACGATACCACAATAGTAGGAAAATCAGCATCGTCTGGCCACTTGTCATATTTAGACTCAATCACACGAATCGTCGGACAGCTCACAAGAGCGTCCACTTTCTCCGAAGCGTTGACTTCCGTTGGCGTTGTGGCCCCGTCGCTCGTGAATCGGTAACCGTTGAAGTGCCGCACCACCTCCTCTGCCGTCTTCGCCGTTCGATTATGTATAAACACGGAGCGAACACCAAGTCTCAGGAGCCCGTAGATTGCCGCGCGCGCCATACCTCCCGCCCCCACAACTAGCGCCGTTGTCCGTCTCTTGACGCCGTTAATGGGGGACAGATTGTGCCGGATGCAGGTATGAATCCCGATCCAGTCCGTGTTATCGCCGTACAGAGCAACGACTGGACCAGCTCTGTTGCGATCAAGCAGAGACTCGATGTTCCGCGAGCGTAGTGGCACCAGCGTGTTGACGGCGCCGATGGCCCTGGCCTCGGGACTTGTGAAGTCAACAATGGCAAATACTTCCTTCTTGAAGGGGGCCGTGATACTCGCGCCACCAAAGTTCTCGTCGGAGATGAGCTTGCGCAAGTGGTTTAGGGTAGGCTGGTGGAAGATCTTGTACTCGTGCGGCATCCCGCAGAATTTGAAGGCGGGGTTATGCATACACGGCGACAGACTCGTCGAGGCATTGGTGCCGTAGATGCCAAAATACATGGGATCTAAAAGAAAGGAAGAGTAGAGCGCCTTTTGCGCCTCGTGGATCGTCAAGAGGCAGTGAGGCGAGCCACCGGGTGCCAGTCTCCGGAGCAGGTTCATGGTGACTGGCGTGAATGTTGGATTCATGAAGCAGGACATGCGGCCCAGACGGCCTGTGTTGTACGCGATGAGGGGGATTGTTACGTCTCTGGGTTTCCCAGCGCCGTGCTTGAAGTGCTGGATCTCGAAGTTGTCTTTGGTTGATTTGGCCTCGCGACATATGCGGACGACGTCGCAGCCCAGATCCTCAGCCAACCTCATCTTGTCTTCCAGGTCCGGATTGCGCCAGCCGCTTGAGGAGAGAGAGTTACAGGTGTAGTGGGCGATGATCTTTGTTGTCCCTTTGCTTACGACGAGATCTCGGATGACGTTCTCGTCGCAGCGGAGATCCACGCATAGGTATTCTGGGGCGAGACGGAGCCCGTGATTTAGGACGCTCAAGTAGTATGCTGAGGCGTGTTCTGGAGAAAAGCCGCCCATAATACCTGTGGGTGATGATCCAAGTTCGAGGTTGAGGATTATAGGGAGGCGGGTGAACCTCCTGACGGCGTATAGCAGACGGCAGACGCGATTGGCAGTTGCATCGTCGAACTCGGCCGACGTTGCCTGTAGTTCCCTCACGGGAATGACTAACTCTGCGACGTCGGCAGTCGTCGTGATATTTCGAAGTTCCGCCCCAGCAGTCTCCACCAGAGACATTGGCAAATTAAGTGAGTAAGTGTAGGGTCGGCGCTCCAACGGTAATGAAGCAGAGCCCTCGGTTGCCCGGTACCGTTCCGAGCCCTGTCTGTCGCTCTCCATGATGCTGTCAATAAGCCCGAGAAAGTCGTACTCCACTCGCTTTAACGCAAGAGACCTCGGTGACTGGTGACCGGGAATAGTTGCGACTTCTCCTGAGGCCTTCCCTAGGGTATCTGAAATGTTGTAGAATTCATAGTTTGATATCGATCGATGTGTCGGACCACTCAGTTGAAAGAGCCGCGTGATGGCCTCAGTATCCCACACCTTGAGATGCTTCTTCACATCTTCCGCATCTCTCAGGACATAGATAATGGGATGCGTCTGGCCATATTCCGCAAGCCAAGCTTGGCCCGTCCCCTCTACAGCTCCAGGCCCACACGCAATGATAGACTTTGTCGGATTCTCAAAGAGCATGGAGTGCAGCAGCTTCAGCTCTTCCCGACGATACTCGGCCGTGCCGTGCTGCGTCTTGTAGCTGGCGCGCGAGAGCCCCGTCATCTGGAAGAACTGCTGGTCGGCGTCGAGTAAGCGGAACCCCAACGCGCTAGCCGCGATCACGGCGAGAGTCGAGCGGCCTGTGCCTCGGATGCCGACGAGCACGATGGAGGCTTCGGGGGCGTAGCTGCGTCGTCCAGGGGTGAAGCCATGCCATGATGCGTGTGTGGGTGATTGTTGGCCAAAGGGCTTGGTAGAGGTGACGGCTGGCCCGACCAGTGGTAGAGTCGGCATCATCTTGGAGGCCACTTTCTACTTGGAAGGGGAGCTCTTTGGGTCTTGAATCTGGTCTTCAACTTGGGCGAGACTGAGAGCACCTCAAATTTGGAGAACCTGGGGCAGACGGCGCTGGCATGAACCACGGTTGGAATGGGGTCATGGATGTATCCACATCCTTCTGGCTCCGAGTACTTATTCCAACAGCTTAAATGAGCATGAACCGAGTAAAATGTGTGGGGTAATCGATGGTCCCTTAGGTACTCGCAGTTCTGACATATTTTACCTTAGATAGCGGCCAGTGTTGAAGGAGCCGAAGGGGTGGTTTACCCCGGAGTCGGGGCCCCGGAGATTTCTTCACGAGAGCGGGGACCCACAACTTGGCGGCCGGCAAAGGGCTTACCCGGTCGCCACGGATCCCTGCGCGTCAACTCTGTGCGCTCCTCGTCACTCTAAACCCTCACACGCCTGCGTCTGTGGCAATCATTCCCATCTTTCTCGCAGCGAGCTGAGAATTCTGAGTCTATATTGAAAGGCTGGTCTCTCGTGTTGCTTGAGCGCTTTGTCGCAAAATGTCAAGAACAGGAGAGTGAGGTTGAGAATGATCTAGTCTTCCCATTTCCATTGTCCAACTACCTTAAATATCCAAATTTCCTCAACTCAAAGGATTCCTCTGTCTGAATACCACGGTATTATCCAACGTCCATGCAAAAGACGCCATCTGGTGCTTGTGATACACATTAATTTACCGCCGCCTCAATTTCGACGCAGCCCGAAGTTCACTTCCGCTTGACACCCTGATCCTTGGGCACTCTCACAAGCCAGTACAGACCACACGCAGCAACAACATTAAACACAATGTACACCCACAAAAGCCCAAAGTTCCGCCATCTATCGTCGTACTTGATCTCAAACGTCGCGAGATAATCGTCCGTGGTATTCATCTGACAGTACCCACACGTCTCCGTCGCCGCGACATCCACCAAATACCCGCCAACGCGCTGGACAAAGGGACCGAGAAAGTCGCCGCAGGTCATGTTCGTCGGCACCGGAACAGACACAATCTCCTTCGCCGTGCAAATGACCTTGGAGCCATGAAGACAGGTCGACAGCGCACCGCTCGCGAGGTACGTCATGGGACTGACCCAATACATGAAGTCGCTCCATATGGCGGGGAGGTCGGCGCGGATGACACCGACGCCGCAGAAAGACATGCAGAGGATGGAAAAGAGACTGGCTGGGATGCTGGCAAGGTCGGCCGTCTCGATCGCGGCTATGGCGAGCTGGGAGAATGTACTGACCCAGAGGAAGAACATCCAGATGAAGAGGAAGACGGTGAAGCCGCGGATCGTAACGTCTTCGGGGGTGGTGTTGCGGTAGAACTTGGCTGGGTAGTACCAGCAGAAGAAGAAGACGACGGCGGCAATGGTATTCCAGATCATCTCGATGGCGATGTTAGACAGGAAGTATGCTGCAGGTGGATTAGCCTAGCTGATGTGGAATGTCCGCGATGCTTTTTGCTTACTCGTCCATCGATAGACGCGAGACGGCCTTTCTCGTACTTCATAAAGAGCTCTCTGTGGAACGAACATGGGCATGATCTGCTTGCTGAACTCGTTGACGGTCGTGAGGCACATAAAGAAGGCGTAAAGTTGGTTCTGCAAGCCTTGCAAGCTGTTATCCGACTTGAATGTGAACCCAATGTAGAGAGCCTATGTAAGCCTGGTCAGTACATATGCCACCGGATGAAGAAGACGACGATCTTACCAGAAGAATCGTCAGAGTAAGCTTCGACCAGATATATACAGGAGACCTCCAAAAGTGCTTGGCCGTACGAACAAAGACTTGTACGAACTGGGTCCAGAACGACGAGGCAAACTCCTGATTAGCGACATCGTGATCCGCGGCTTTCGTCATGGGCTGATCTTGCCCTTGTTGTCGCAGAAGCCCGAGCTCATACTTCACCTCGCGGTACTCTGGAGACGATCGCCAAATCTCGTACCAATTCGGTCCGTCCTCGGAAAGCGTAGTAGCCTCCAACATCCACTCCGCAGGATTGGCTTCAGGAGGGCATGGCGATGCGCCGTTACGTTCGAGATAATCGATCATCGTCTTGGCGTTCTTACCGATATCTGCGCACATGTGAGCGGGAAGCACGTGGAGAGAGTCATCCGGCTACGGGTTCTTCCTCCTCTCGAGAGCAAAAGAATGTTTGAGGAGAGCAAGAACAACAACAATAACAACGGTAACGCAAGCAACTTACCTCCAAAATAGACAGTCTTTCCCCCACGCTGCAGTAAAAGCAGCCTATCGAAACGGGCGAAAAGCATGGCAGACGGCTGATGAATAGTACATAAGATAGCCTGTCCACTCTGCGCAAGTTTTTCGATGAGGTCGCAAATCGCCCAAGACGTCTGGGAATCGAGGCCCGAGGTCGGTTCATCAAGAAACACCAGCAATTGCGGCCGAGCAGCGAGCTCGACCCCGATCGTCAATCGTTTCCGCTGTTCCACGTTGAGGCCCTGGCCAGGAACTCCAATAACCGCATCGACAAAGTCACTCATGTCGAGCAACTCAATCACTTCGTCGATGTACGCCAACTTGGCCTCACGAGGGGTCTCGGCACTTTGCCGCAATAACGCACTGAACTCGAGGGCCTCCCGCACGGTCATCGTGTCCAAGTGGACGTCTTGCTGCTGGACGTATCCCACGCGGTTGGGGAACGATCTGTCTGTTGCTTGGCCGTTGACCATGGTGTTGCCGGATATCACGCCCATGGTGATTCGAGCTGCTAGAGCGTCGAGTAGTGTGGTTTTACCAGCACCAGAGGCGCCCTGTTTTGAGGTCAGAGAGAACTTAAGTGACGAGCTCAGAGAAAGCTACTTACCATGAGAGCGGTAATGACACCTGGCTGCACCCAACCGTCCACAAAATCCAAGATGCGTCGGTCTTGATCTTTGATTTTGACGTCGTAGCAGATATCTTCCCAGTGAAAGATCGGCTTGCCACACTCACTCGGTCTCGGTCTCTTCTCCGACTTCTCTTCAGTCGGCATGGCGGCAGTGACTTTCTCGGTCAGTGTCATGTTACGGGATTGACTTTCTTCGTCTGCCAGGGCCTTTTGGTCCATTACGGAAGGTACTTTGCCGCGCCGGAAAACAAGAACTTCGCCTTCGCTCTTGGGCGGTTTGGCGTACTCGGCAGTGATAATGTACGTGATGAAAAATACGACGACGTATGCGCATAGAATGCCGACGTTCCTTGAAAAGGTCAGATGATTCGCCAAAGAAATTGATCGTGAATCACTCACCTCCACTTGTTATCGTTCAAGTACCCAAAGGATTGCTTGATATACCGGTCCCCATCTATCATATCTGAGCCCGGCATGGCACCTATAACAGCACAGGTACGACCAGAAACCGCGAGACCATCATAGCCCGGACCAGACGGCACGAGCCCGGCACATACAAACTGGCGACCATGGAACTCATTGGCCATGAGCGCCTCGAAAGCATAAGAGAGCGGGTTGACGTATCCCATCCAGCGCGACCATCCCTGCATGTAGGCTGTTGGCACCGTGAAGCCGGCATACATCATTACGCCGATAGTAACGAGAGTGACGGGGACCATAGCTTGGTGCGAGGTACGTGCGAGGGATGCCATGGTGCGATATATGCCCGACATAGCCAGGAGGACGAGAAATGAGACGAGGCAGAAGAAGAAGAAGGGCCCGGGCTCGCGATTCAAGTTGGCCATGAAGTAGAGAATCGAATTAAAGGTGAAGACGTTTGTGATTTTGTATGGCAGTTCGGTGATGTAGCTCGAGATGGCTTCGGCGGACTGGTGGTAGAGGGCGTATCGGTTGTGCTTCTCGATGACCGGTCTTTGAGTGTACAAAGTGAGGACCTAGATCAATGTGAGTCTTGAAATCGAACGAGGCTATGGGGTGTATACTGACCTCCATTTCACTAGCAAACGCATTGAACAACAGAGCAAAGAAGATGAGTCCACCACGGTAGTAGAAAGTCCCCGAGTCCTGCCTCAAGTTGAAGAACATACTTCCAAGTACAAGTCCCACGATAATGTTGAACATCAGTGAAGACAGCGTAAACTCGGGATCGGCAACCAGACGCTTCCACCCACGCCAAAGACATAGCTTGACTTGGCTCGGATATGTGATCATGTAAGGCGACTTGAGCCGTTGCCATGAGCTTCTCTCTGCTTTGATACTATCTTGAAACGCCTCGAGCCGGTCCTTTGAGGAATGATTGTTGTCGTAGGCCGCGATGTCCGCCATGAGGTTTGCGTGCTCTTTGGATGCCTTCCATCTAGCGGCGAACTCGTCAGGGGTTCGAGGGGCGAGGTTGTCGTAGCCTGGTCGGATCTTTCTCTCGTTCGGAGATGTCATCGACGTAAGGAAGTCTGGAACAGTTTGCCGGTCGGGACCTGTTTTGATGCCACGTCAGAACAAACATCAGGAAACAAGAGGAACGGGAAGACACTTACACTGAAAGCCAAGCTCCTCAAAGTACCGCTTCGCTTCCCCAATCTTACCAAAGAAGATTTGCCTCCCCTCATACACAACCGTCACCTTGTCAAAAAGCTGCCAAGAACGTCAACCAAGCACTCCCACATCTCTCCCATGACCATCTCAACACTCAGACTTACATCATAAGCAGACTGCGGCGCCTGATAAATCGCCACAACAGACGCAACCCCCACCAAATCACTCTGCGTCCTCAAATTCCCACAAAACGCAATCGCGTTCCCGCTATCGAGCCCCCGCGTGCTATTATCCCAACACTGGAACTTTGCGCCCGTCAGCGCGGCCTCGACGATACTAACGCGTTTGCGTTCGCCGCCCGATACGCCGCGCACGTAGTCGTCGCCGACTTTGGTGTTGACGGTATGGGCGATGCCAAAGGCGGCCATCATCACGTCGCGCATGATGCGCGCGAACTGGTGGCCTGTGAGGTTTCCCGGGATGTGGGAGGGGACTCTGGCGCGGGCGGCGAACTCGAGGGTGTCGCCGACGGAGAGAGGGGCGAGGTGGACGTCGACTTCGGCGTTGTAGAGGACGTCGCTGCGGAACCAGTCGTGCATGCGTTTTGGTTCGATTCCTGGTGATGGGTTTAGTTGTGATGTTGCGGGAATTTGAACGAAGAATCTGGCTTACCCCTGAAGTTCATGTACGAGGTCTGGGAAACATTCAAGCCTTCAGTTTGACCAGCCAACGTCTTGAGAAGAGTAGAACAGCCTGATCCAGGCGGACCAAGCACGAGCAGCATCTCCCCGGGCTCAACAAGGCCTTCAAAGTCCCGCAAGATATCGATCCGTCTCCTTGACCTTCCTGTAGCAATTCCAACGAGATCAGATACCATACTCAGCGCGATATTGCCCGTACTCTTCTGGTATTGTGTCCCGGAGCTGTACCCAAAGACATTAAGGTCTCGAAATGCGACTCCCGCTCGCCGGTTGGGTGCCGAGTTGGGATCTGATTCAAAGAGGTGAATGAAAGCCTGCGTCCATGCTACACTGTCAAAGTTTGAAGAGTTTGGGTCCAGGGGGCTGTTCTTTGGCGGGTTCAAGACATCGTGGTGCGTGTTGGCATCGTGGGTGTGTGATGCGTTTGTGACTTGGCGTGCTACTTGTTCAATCTCCCTGTGCGTGTCATCGGCTGCTGTTGATGATGAAGATCCCGAGAAATGATCAGTCGACACCATCTCAATGGCAGCCTCGTCACCCGTTGCCATGGTCTCTAGGAAGTTTTCCACAGGCATACTCTGGAACAGAGTCTGGAGCAAAGTTCGGATTCAAGGTGGCTTGGGATAATTAGGTTGCAATGAACAGAATTCAGATGAACTGTCGACAGACCTTTCCATGATTTCGTTTCCCTATCTTTTGAGCGAAGTTTCGATACATAAAAGGCATCGTACCAACATCTTGGGACCGGGTCTGCGTGAACGCGGACGCCCGCGGTCCTCCGCATTGCGCCTCATGTGGGGAAGTGGTCCGGAACAGTCAGTACGACCGGTCGGCCGCCTCGTAATGTTCGCATTATCCATCTTCCACACGAATGTGCCAAAGACTTTGGTCCTCCTGGGTCAAGTTACTGAAGCTCGCTCCTAGAATTGTGCTTGTATTGCGGAGCCCGTACCGTTCGGACGGCCGCGGGTGGCCGAAAGGACGCGGCACAATTAAATACGGGGCATCGAACCCCATGCAAAAGAGGACCACGCGGTTGTCTAATCTCGCCTCCCCGACGGGAGATTTTCCATACACTCTTGCAGGGTTATTTCTTCGGCACGCCTGACAATATGGATAATACTGAGATCTCGGGGCTGGATTCTTCGGATCCGCAGGCGTCCGACTCTACTATGGACCTGGGGCAGTGCGAACTGCTAGAATAAAGCTGGTACTAGCGGTACTAGTAGTTAGTTGGTATGATCAAACTTTAAGTAGAACGTCTCGGGAGCGGTATTCACCATTTCTCTCGAATCATGAAGGACAATAACGAGGCTTCATGCTCCGGTCGGGATCGGGCTGGCAGGGTGATGCCCATGCGGATCTCCCGGTGCAGAGTCCGCCGATGGGCCCACATTTCCGGCATCGATGCCGTTCAGTCCCGGATCTTTCCATGGAAAGCCACTATTTGCTACCTACCTTACCTCACGCAAACTGGAAGATCGTGACCAGATCCATAATCCCATAACACGGTTCGTATTGCCCATTGACTAATATCTATCTAATGGCTATGGACTTGTAACAAAGCATATCCCACTCCAAGACCCACGGCCTTTCCCACCGATTAACCGAACTCAACTTGTCAACGGCTAAAACAGCAACATAGCATAAAAGCATATCCCGCAGTCATAACAGTATCTCTTCACAATCATAATCCATCGCAGTCATTTCAAGCATCACACACACACGCACACATACATTACCACCAACACCTCATCATCCTACACCAACCTCACTCCTGCCCAGCCCACCGTTCCGCAACCCTAGACGTAAAAAACACCCCCGCCGCAAGAATCGTAAACCCCGGCGCAAACAACAACAAAATTCCCACAACAACCATATTCGCAAAGAACTCTGACGTCCCAAACGCCGGCGCGCGGCCGATGAAGCCCGGGCCCATGGTGTGGACGTTCACCGTCGGACCAGCCTGCTTCTCCCCCGCGTGGTGTTGGTCCTGGTAGTTGTAGTGGCCCGTAGTTTGACTCTGTATTTGTCCAAGCGCGTGGAAAATGTCTGATGCGAGCGGTTTATGTTCCTCGTCGATCGTGACGCCCGAGAGCCAGGCGTGGATGTTTTCGTGGGGGTCTGTTGATCTCGTTGGCGGGGGTGGAGGAGGAGGAGGACGATGAGGATTGGGTTTGGATTTCGGGATGGCGGGGCGGTTGGCTTGGGGTATGGGGTGACTGTCTTCTTCGTAGATGAAGGAGCGTCCGTCTATCACTTGTCAGCAAAGTTCGGTCAAAAGATGACCTCGAGAAGGTTGCGAAGCTTACCGTACTGATCTGCCCAATTCATGGCGTCCAAAGAAGCTTCTTGAAGATCGACTAGATGTTGGCTAGTGGAAGCGGGGATATCACGAAGCCGGAGAGCAGACGAGGGGCACAGAGCTTTCGTTTTTGCGGTGGTAGGTGGATCACAACGAGCGCTTACACTTGGGAAGAAAAGGGCACCGTTATCGTCAAGAAGGGCTCCTGGATGTATCCATAGAGATAAATTGACCAAACTGTCATTGACTGTTTGTCTGACACGTGCGTTGTCGGGGAGAATGAAAGCGAGGCTGAGTGGTGATGGGCACTGGAATGCTTCATTTCATGAATGTTGTTGGTGTACATTCCATGGCCTCTCTTATCTGGGACCGCTCATCAGTGTTGCTATGATAGGACACAAGACAGGTGTCTTTGGCGCAAATGCAGCTCATGTATCCCATCATGACTGCTTGCCCGAGTATGATTCCAGGGAGGTTGACATTGGGTTTGGATGGAATTGGTAGGGGTAGGCACTCTATGGCTGGAGGGAAGTCGCCAATGCCTGTCCGACAATCGCCTCAAACGCCTTTGAGATCGTCGTCCGCTGGGACTGGAAAGAGACTAAATCTTCACGACTCCAATTCACGAGACCATCACTGTGCGAGAAGTGAGAGCAGGCGATCAAAAGATTCCTTGTATTCCCGTCCTGCCTCGAGTACTGTATGCAAACATTAATCTCGCCAATTCACCCCTGCCATACTGCCAATAATCTACAGCCCTCCGCCTCATGTTCATGTAGACTGCGCACCGAGCCAAGAGGCCTAGAAGCCGCATGACATAACGGGTACATGCAAGGCACGCGGTGAATGCGCTTGCATACCGATCGGTGGCTCTGCAGGTAGCCCCATCGGGATGTTGCAGCGGTCGCATTATCTTTCTGCAGCAAAAAAGTTGTCATCTCGAATTTGACCTATTCTTTTGTGCCCAGTGTAGTTGAAGAAAAAAAAAGGAAGTTCGTCGTCGTCCATCATCCCGTTTCCCATTCCTGGTTTGCCCAAGTCACAAAAAGAACACCGTGCTTGCAGCGCGATCGAAACGTCCTCGATCGAGGACCCCAGCCCGCAGAAAAGAAGAAAATCTTGAACGCCATCTCCCAACCAATTGTTTCCCTCCCAGCCGTCCCTATTGCCCGTGAGAATAGAAACAAAGGGAAAGAAAACGTCGTCGTCTTCGCAGTTCATACAGTAAAGGAAAAAGGTAGTAGGTACATAGGGAAAGAAAAAGCGACTTGGTAGAGGTCGGTGGAAAACGAATGACCGCTTTCAATGCAAGAAACGCCATAAATATGTGCAACGCCAACGTTGAAGTGCTTGTCTAGAGAACGGAACAAAGATGAGCCCAGTTGCAAACGACGCCCTCAATGACGGGGAGTCGGCTCGGGTTGCCAGCCGTTGATGTAGGCCATGAGACCCATGCCTAGGATTACCACACCAAGCATGGAAGCATAGGGAACCCCGGCCATCATGGCCTGATCCTTTGCCAGCTTGCCCGGGGGTATGCTAAGTGGCGTAATGGTGTTGGCTCGCGACAAGGTGGGCTTATCGCCAAAGTCATCCACAGAGGACTCTGCCTCCGTGGGTGCAGGCGCTGAGTCACTGGATCCGTTGATTTGGACAATCGAAGTTGTCTTGTCGGTAGGTCCTTCGCTTCGGCCGCGTCGTCCACGGGAAAGAGAACGGCTCTTCTCCGCCACAGCTGCCTTTTGCCGAGCTTCCTCATCTCTGCGGATCTGGGCGACCATCTCGGCCAAAGTCTGGCGATCGGCGTCGCGCTCCGTTTCGGCCTTTTCGCATCTGTGCTTCCATGCCTCCATCTGTTGCTTGAGGTCGGTCACTTCAGACATCATGGTGTCCAGCTTGGCTTGGAAACGTGCAGCAATATCCTCAGCGCTCTCTGGCGCAGGCTCCTTGGAGAGCGGTTCGGCATCCGTCATCTCGATGTCCTGTGCGTCGGCAGTATCCCGGGGTGGCTCGAAAGCCTCCTCAAGGAGAGCCTCGGTATCGTGCTCCCTGGGCGCGCCATTGGTTTCCTTCAAGGCACTGTCCTCGAGAATCTTTGCCATATCCTCGGCCAGCTCGCGTGCCTCCCGCTCTTTGCGGAGCATATCTTCCAAATCCCTAATACGGGCTGTTTGAGTATCCATCTCCATCTTTGCGTTATTCAAAGCTTCGGTCAATTGAATGATCTGATGCAAGTTGTCTCGTCCAACAGGCGAGGTGGTGCTATTAGTTTTTGGTCGCTCGGTGGTGCCCCGTTTCAAGGATGGCACATCGGGCTTCTCGGGCAGCGGCTGCTGGGGAGGCGGGGCAGGAGGATCGGAAAATCTCGTCTTCGCATCGTTGCGGAAGGGCAGAGCGTTGGCATTGGGGAGCTGCTTCGGAGGTTCGGGGGCTTCCGGCTTCTCGAGATCCTTGACGTCGTCTTTACTCAGGAGAGCATGGACGAACTGGCCCGTCCGAGAGAGGTCCTGAGACTGGAGTCGAGCGTTGCGCATCTCGTTCTGCAACCGAGTTAGCTTTGTTAAACATGTCCAAAGAATTAGTCACTCACGTGAAGTCTCTTGACGATATGCTCCGTGGTAATAGGCGTTAACAAGAACCCACGGGCAGCTCCGCCATTAGGGGCCATGCCGGCCATATTCTGGGGTGCCATCATGCGGCCGTTGCTGGCCATTGATGCGTTGCTTCCAGTCCTGCCACGGTAAGGCATGGGACTCGGCGCTGGCATCATCATGGCACCATTTGCGGGGTCCAAATCGCCAAAGTTCATGTCCATAACGTTACTCGAGGGGCTCATGAAGCCTGCGTGTTCGACCTTTGCAGCAACCTTATGGTGGACGACGGTCTTCTGATCCTCGCTCACGATGTCGATTCCCAACTCCAAATGATCTCCCGTCTGTAACTCATGTGGTTCGGATTCGCGATTCTCTTGGGAAAGACGTGTTCCGTTGACAAAGGTTCCGTTGGACGATTTGACGTCGCGAATGTAGATTTTGCCCGTGCGATCTGCCCATATCTCAGCGTGCTGCCTTGATAGCACTTTACTATCAAAGTAGCCGTTGATGGCAGTTGGGATCGTCTTCTGATTGGTTTGACGACCGATACGGAGCGTCTCTGGGAAGAATGGTACCGAAATGGTTTTGCGTTCAAAGGTACCATTGAGCGATAGGAGATAGAGCACGGGCTGCGCGTTAGGCATCGGGTCGCCCATGGGTCTTGCCCCAAGTCCCTGCTGCGACATCATTTGTGGTTGGCCCGGAGCCGTCTGCAGCGAGGAACCGCCATTGATGCCGTTCATGGCATTTCGCATAATAGGCCTGCCGAACTCGGCTTGACCTTCTGGCTTGCCAGGCGGCCATGGTCCTTTGGGTTGTGGTCGCTTTCTCGAGGCGGTGCTAGACCAGCTCATATCGGAGTTTGTAGACGCCGGGGTGCCATTTGGTTGGGAGCCATTGGTGGCAACGGTAGTGGTAGACGAGTTGGAGGAGGTAGACGAGACCGAGGAGGAAGAGTTGCTTCGCTGCAGCGTCTTCCGAGGTGCGGCGAACATGCCTCTGACGTCTTCTGGATTCATCGAATTCAGACTTTGGCCGCCATTAACATTCCATCCCGGTCGATTGAGTTGCTGGAAGCTGGGCGGGCTCGCGACGGCAGTCATGAGGAAGTCGTCGTTGTATTCGGGTAATGATCGCGGGACAGTGCAAGTCGTGGCAAGAACGAGCAGGTGATGACAGCTCGCAGGGTATCGATATTGATGGATGGTCTAGGTGACGTCGGGGGCTCCTTCTTTCACCATTCGCACAGTAGCCCGTAGGGTATCGTAAAGATCAGTCGCCGAAAGATAACGCGGATGTGTCAGATGAGGTCGATGGGGTGTTCGCTGCAGAGAGTAGGAAGCAATGAGGCTGAGCTGGCAGGTTAAAAAAAATAAGTCAGCGATGATGTCGCGGCAAGGATAGGGGTGGGCAGCCAATTGGCGCGACCCAGAAGCGGCCTGCGACGGTGCGACGGGACGGGGGGTCGCAGAAAACCGGGCCAAGGAGGCCCAGATGGGCAGGAGAGACATACCAGCAATATCAAGGAAGTGGGCAAAGAGATTGTTTTCTTTGAGCACTACGGTGGACGATGGGCTCAAGCGGAAGCGTCGTCGGGGGAGGGGGGGGGGGGGGGGGGGGGGTCGAGTGGTCTCCGTGGGTAGGTAGGTGAGGTTGAATCAAGGACTTGGGCAAAGAGAACAGAACGTGGTCGCCCCGTCTCGCTAAGCGCTTAGCGTAAGTGCGTGAGGAGCGCTGGGGGGACACCTGTGGGCGGGCCAAACAGCGTTCGGAAACACGCGCCGGAGCCGACTTGGGAGTCTGGGACATGGGCGGGCGGAAACAGCAGGGCCACAAGGCTCAGGGCAGGAGGGTGGCCGAGGGAGCGGGAAATTCTCAGTGCAGTTGGTTCGGTTACTGTTCTCAGTGTGAGGGTTCAGTTCAGTTCAGTTCAGTTCAGCTGAGCACAGGCCCCCAAGGCTTGGGTGTTTGACTGGATTTTCCACCAGGGGCCAGCTGGGGATGATCTTCATATGAACAAGGTCGTAAGGTAGCAAAGAAAGAGGAAGAGGTGTGGTAATGACAGGAAAAGAGGAGAGAAAGGAAAGGAGAGGAAGAAAAAAAAGACTGGTGCATCATCCGGGTGAAGGCGGTCTGGTCTGGTCACTGTGCTGTCATCGCCTCCAGTCCACCTGAGCTGGCTGCTGCTCTTGCCTTAGCCGTGGGGATCCACCCTCACCTGCCACCATCACATTCCATTTGCGGCGGTCGCCTGCGCTGTTCAAAGACTCGAGGCACGTGACACCCTTCAAGGCAAAGATGTGTGAGTGCCTCACAAAGAAGGTCAGTCAGGCAGCCAACCAGAGGACCAGGCTGACAGAAACGGGTCCCCCAAGGTGAGGTGGCCTGTGCTCCAGGTGACCTTGACATCACTGCTCTTTCCTCGAACCACAGTCTAAAGTATCTTAAGTGGGGCTAGCCGCTTCAGTCTTTTTGCCGAATAACTGCCGTACCCCGGATTCGATTCGTCCAAAGCTCCAGTGGCACCCGGCTCGGAAAGGCTGACCTTCGGCCACTTGGATTGGGTGCCGCAAATTGAGAGAGCTCCTCCCAGCCCACCATCGCAAACATCACCGATCCGCATCGTACGATTGTACGGTATTGAGCAACACCAGGAGCTCCATTGAATAACCAACGCTCAACACACAGTTATACCTATTGCTCAGACTCTCTTTTCACAATGCCTCCTGTTCCTGCGCAACATGGCGGTGCCATGGGCCCTGGAATCGCCGATAAGAGTACGATGATCTCTTACAACCTTTACGTGAGCTTTCAGCTAACTCTGCGCAGTGAAGATGGGTGCCCTCATGGGTGGAAGTATGTCTAGGCTGACTCGACAGTCCTCTTGACCCTGTCACTAACCATTCTATAGCTGTTGGCTCCGTCATGGGCTTCGTCTTTGGTGCGTGACTCCTCTCCTTTTCCTCCCCTCTGTCGCTTCACACCAGCTAATCAGCTACTCCCACAGGCTCGGTCAATATCATGCGCTACGGTGCCGGCCCAAACGGCATCATGAGAACTCTGGGACAATACATGCTTGGTTCAGGAGCAACCTTTGGGTACGTCAAGCCTGGTCCGGCTTCTGCAGACGCAGACTAACAACCACCCACCCAGCTTCTTCATGTCCATCGGTAGTGTCATCCGATCCGATGCCTCTCCCATTGCCGAGGAGGCTTTCCGAAGGGCCAACCGAAGACCGATCATCATGTACGGCCCCGGCTCCGAGTACGCAAAGCGCCAGCAATAAGCTAGAGGAGATAAAAATTCGAAATACCCTGTACATCATCATGTAGGAGAATAGTAGGCCGTTGCAGAAGGACGGCACGATGCTATAACACCGGCATCAAATGGATATATGTATAATACTTAGGTGTGTTGGGCATATCACGACTGCATGAGAAAAGTTATTGCATCTTCCAGGCGAGGCCTCGCATTCGCGAAAGTCGACGCCCAATGCTCAGTGCTACCGCAGCGCCTCTTTCCTGTCACCTTGGTCCACATCAATAACATTCATTGTTGGAAGAACGGAAATCAAACAGAGCGATGTCCAGATGCTTAAGACTTTGGAAATCTCAACGACGTATGGCCGCTCCAGCGGGACTGGCCGGCGCCACAGGGGCCGCATTGCGCTAACACACACGGTTTCGTTTCCCTCGACTTATTCCTTTTCCGATGGAGCTGGCCAATATCAGAGTTCATGTGGATTTGACAGTATGCAGGCTTCCAAGATCTTTGCATATGTAAACAGCCGTCGCCTTACAAACACTCGGATTCCGACCCGTCTCCCATTTCTCGACATGTCTGCGGAGTTCCGCAAGACGTTGCTTACTCATCGTGCATACAATTATGATGACCAGCGTTGCATCTTACTGGCTTCATTGCATGACCTAGCCTGTTCGACGCAGTAATACGCATCAAATCAGCTATGTCTTGGTCTAGCGTCCTTACGAAGTGGCGCTGGTCTCGGGTCCGTTTGGATCTGTGCCCAACAAGAACCACGGAAAGCTGTTGATTATTGATCACAAACGGCTGTCTGATAGATTCAGGCTCTACTGGGTAAGTGTTTGTGGTTCCTCGCTCACAGTCTAATGGGTATAAGTCCATCACGCTCCCTACTTGTTGATATCTTCTCATCAAGCCCACTTCCTCCTCCAATCCTCCTCTAGCTCTACCATGCGCTTGAGACTTTGTCCTTGTTGGGCAGGCATATGGACAAGCCTTGCTGTAATTGCCATGGCTGAGACTTACGATTACATGTGAGTGACAGTCGTGAGAGCCGTCAAGCTCGGATACTTAATTCTAACTTGGCCTTAGCATCGTTGGAGGAGGCACCGCCGGGCTGACGATTGCGGCTCGCCTCAGCGAGAACCCTCAAGTGACGGTCCTCGTATTAGAAGCTGGTGCGGATCGCTCTGCCGACCTGAATGTCCTGGCACCTGGGCTGTTCCCTGCTATGTACGGTAACGCCGACTACGATTGGGACTATAAGACTGTTCCCCAGGTAACTACTTTCCTTGCTTTGGTCTTCGTCTTCACTACCATGTAACGGAATAAACTGACATGTTCAGACCTCGGCCAACGACAAAGTCGTCGCTCATATCCGTGGGAAGCAGCTGGGCGGCTCCAGCGCCATGAACTTCATGTTCTGGACACACCCTTCGCGGGGAGACATTGACAACTGGGGCACCCTGGGAAATAAGGGTTGGTCGTGGGAGGCGCTAGCCGCCTACTTCAAGAAGTCAGAATCGTTTGTGGCACCCTCCAGCCAGCAGACGAGCGATCTTCTCCTCGACTATGTTGACCCTAGCGTCCATGGCACCACCGGACCGATCACCAATGAGTTTCCCTTACTCTACAGCCCCTTTCTCAAAGCCTGGCCACGAACTCTTGAGGAACTTGGGCTCGGTGTCGATGGTGATCCTCATGACGGGGTGGCTCTAGGAGGCTACGTCAATCTGCTCAACATCGACAAGGGCACGAGAAGCTACGCTGCAAACGCCTACCTTGGTCCGGCACGTCAACGGTCCAACTTGAAGGTAGTCACGGACGCTTTGGTGACCAAGGTTGTGCTGGCAAAGACTCGTGGTGGAGTCTTGGCGAAAGGGGTCAAGTGGTCGCAGGCTGGATTAGAGAGCGAAGCAGCCGCAAAGAGGGAAGTGATACTCGCCGCTGGTTCCATTGCTTCACCACAGCTCCTCGAGGTCTCTGGTGTGGGCGACAAGAAGCTCTTGGGTAGCCACGGCGTCGAAGTTTTGGTCGACAACCCCAACGTCGGAGAAAATCTCCAGGACCACGTCTATGTTCCTCTTGGGTAAGTCACCTCTCTCACGTACCCGCATCTATCATGGTCAAGGGCAATGAATGATTATTGCCCAGTTTTGCGGTGAAGCCCGGCGTACCCACCAACGAGGACTACGCCAACGCAACTTACTTCCAAGAACAGCTCGATCTGTACCTTCAGAACAAGACCGGTCGTCTGTCCTCTGCCGGTGCCAGCTCGGCGCTCTTGTCATTGAAGCAGATCGCCTCCTCTCTGGACCTGTCTCTGTCCTCTCCTAAGACCGACCTCCCCGGCTTGGCCGAGCAACACGGCATCACCTTTCGAGACCTCAAATCCGAAGCCATCGCTCAAGAGCTTACAATTGAGGGCGGTATCTCGCCCCAGTACTCCGCTGATACGACGAAGCTATTCTCGGCGGGATCACCGGGCAGCTTCCTCTCCATCCTGGGCGTTCTAGAGCACCCCTTCTCACGAGGCGCAATCCACATCCAGTCCGCCGACGTCGCTGTCCATCCCCTCATCGATCCACGCTACCTGTCCCATCCACTCGACATACAGCTCTTGAAAGCCATTACGCTTCATCTGCAGACCGTCGCGCGGACGCAACCTTTAAGCGACCTGCTCCAGGGTGGAGGGACCGTGTTCCAGCCCGGGTACCACGAACTCACTGTCGAGAACGTGGAGGATTGGATCAAGAATAGTATGCAGAGCGAATACCACCCCTGTGGTACTTGTGCCATGCTGCCTAGGTCCAAAGGTGGTGTAGTCGACGAGAGGTTCATGGTATACGGGGTGAAGGGGTTGCGAGTGGTCGATGCCAGCATCTTCCCCTTGATTCCGAGAGCCAACATCCAGTCTCTAGTCTACGCGGTAGCGGAAAGGGCAGCTGATTTCATCAAAGAGGATGGCCTCTGAGGTACATTATCCAAAGTGTTCTATCTCACTACCATCGTATATACACATTACATCTGTCTACATTACTCAAAGACGGAAATCCATCTAGAAGCTCAAAGCAAACATCGTCAAAGCAACCGCTGCAAGAACGCCAGCCGGGCCAGTGACGCTTCCACTACTGACGGCAGTCGGCGTAGCAGTCGGGCTCGAAGTGCCATTCGTAGCAGTAGCGTTCGCCTTCAGACTAGCAACGCCGAACGTGAGCTGCTCGGGGTTCGTCCCGTTCCACACGGTGTAGTATCCCTTCAACAGCGGGCTACCCAGAACCCAAATGGACGCAAGCTCGCTAATGGGCTGCACGGGGTTCAGGAAGATGGTCTGGCAGACGCCGCTGTGGCCGGGATACTCGCCCAAGTTGAACGCGCCCTTGGGAACAGTCATGTTGACCAGGTTGTCGCCGACGCCGAGGGTGAAGGTCAGCTCCGGGTCCAGCTTCTCGACCACGTCGCATGGGGCGCCCCACACACCGAGCTCGTCGATTTGCGTGATTTCGGAGCTGATGGCGGCGTAAATGTCCTTGGCGGTCTGGTAATCCGGCGTCTGGAGGAACGCGGTGCCGGTATCGACGTTGGACACGCCGACGGTGAACGCGGCGCCCGAGGCGTTGGAGTTGGAGACGGTCTTGCCGTTGACGTAGAAGGCGGGCTGGTCGATGAACCAGCTTCCGCCGAGGTAGGAGACCGTCATGTTGAAGTCGACGTTTGCAATCTCGCCCTCGTAGCGGTCCTTATTCACGCCGCCGAGCGTGAGCTCGCCTGGCGCGCTGCCCTCGCCCGAGTTGAGGAAGAAAGAAAAGAGGGGCTCGGGGACGCCGCCGTTCTGCGCGAGGGTCCAGAACCAGGTTGAGAAGGAGGTGTTTGTCTCGGCGGAGAAGTGGGAGAATCCGGGGGGGCCGAGGCCGAAGATGCCGTCAATGTTGGGCATCTCGTTAAAGGCCTCGGCGTAGGTGTCGCAGAGGAGCCAGGTTTGGTTCGCGACGGTGAGGTTGGCGATGGTGACGGTGTCGGTTACGACGGTGCCGGAGGCGGCTTGCGGGACGGCGTAGGGGACGGATTTGCCGCCTGTGCCGAAGGCGGTTATGACGTTGTTGCCGGGGGCGGGGGAGAAGGTTGTGGAGGAGGAGGCATTGAATTCTTTGGCGACGAGGCAGTTTGTGCAGGATGTTGAGGGGAGGATTAGGTCTGTTGAGCCGGTGTCGAAGGTGACGATGCTAGCGAGTGCGTGTGTTAGTCCACTTGCTCATGATACTATCATAGGGACAGCTTTTGATGGGCCCAAATACTTACTGCTTCTGGGGCGGGGTGCCGACATCGACTTCACCGATCCATTGGAGGTCAAAGTTCTCGAACCAGTTGGTCAGGGAGACTGAGCCGGTGGACGCGCGCTTGCTGAGAGTCTTTGCCTTGGAGAGGTTTGCACGGCGGCTGTGGAGCTTGATGTTCACCGGGTCGGCGGCCGCGGAGTGGCTCATGGCGAGAAGGGCGACCGCCCCGGAGACTGTCTCGAATCTCATGATGATGTTTTGGTGATATGAGATCAACTGATGGTGTAATTACGATTAGAAAGGTGTGAAAAGGCAATGAGAGATGCGCTGCTGTGGGGACTGGACTGGCGATCATTCATCTTCACAAGGCGGATATCACGACTTGTATATCAGACATCGAAAGAGGTTGAACAGGCACGCGTCGGAAGCTGCGAATGGAGCTTACATTGTTTGTGGATGCTGATCCTCCAGGGAACTTTTTTTTTTTCTCTCTTCCTTGCAAGGGTCACGGCAACGCGGATACTACAGAGCGTGAAGACATCTCGAAACAAAATCCAAGAAAGCCTCAGCTATGTCAAGTCTTTGGGACTTTGGTGATCGAGAGACAACTAGCCCCAGGACCTCGTCATCTCACTAGCGAGAAAGAAGAATAGCTTACTGCAGAAGCTCCTGTTCATGTTCTAAAGCTGTTGGTTAGATTTTACCAAAGTCCCGTTCCCACAGCTGAGGCGGCCGCTCCATACCCACATGCCGCTTACGCCTGAGCTTTTGGTCCAAATTCTAGGTTGCAATCACGGGAAGTGTTTGTTCGGTAGCGTGGTGCCTGGAAAATGGCGGAGCTGGGCTGTGGAGGGAGGACGGTCGCTCTTTTTAGGTGAGGTGGCTGCAGCCTGCGTATCGGACAGGGCTGAGCCCATGTCGGCAGGGATATGAGGAGAGAAAGACCAAAGCAGTTAGTTCCCTACAAGCTTTAGACTCATGCATTGAGCTCTCTGGACCAATGGCCTGATGCTTGGGTCCTTGAGAAGATGGAGAAGAGGTGAGATGTTGAGAGATGGGGGTGGGACGTCGTCCTCTATTTCGAAGAATTTTTGGGAGACTGGATCCCACAGCGCGGGAAGGCTGCTCTTTGATTTGGGGGCGGCTTGTGTTAGCACCATGCGGTATTGCGGCTCGAGTGTTCCTTGTGCCTTGCGATCCGATAGTCTGGACTCTGCGTTGACTTTTTGACGATGGTAAGCTGACATCGTGACAAATTGAGCATGGGGTTGGCCCTGTTGATACCCAGGTTTCGAATAATTGAGCCTAGCATAGCGGCCGCCGTGGATCGGAAGCGTGACCGGTCGGCGGAACTTCTTCAACCCGAGGATTACACACTGCAGGCAAGGGAGGTCTTGGGCACAATGACTCTGTGAATCTTCGCCGGTGACAACACTCCGCAATCTAAACGTTGGTAGTTGGCTCAAAGGCTTGGCATTGCGATGCCACGCGGCGCAAGGGCTGAATCTTGCTTGCAATTAGCGCAGCATGCCCTATTACAGAGGTCTCGAGGCTTGGATATGAGCTTGGCTTCAACGATGTTCTTGGCGGCAAAGCTTAAACCTGTTTGAAACAGTATGGCGCGTAAACCTTCGTCGTTTGGCATTCAGGAACTTTCATCGGCTTTCTGGCATTGCTTCTTCCCAACTCAGTGCAGCGCGCGTTTGCTCTGTTGGTGAAGAGCATCAGGACGAAAGCCGTCTCGTAGCAATTAGCAGCTGAACACCTTTGAAACTTGAGCAACGGTGACAAGAAGCATGACGGCAGGTCCCTCATCTGCTTTGTGTGGCCTACAGGTACTCGGGTGGTGGTTCTGAGATGTGAAATTGCTTACTTGCAAGCAAATCGACTTCTAAGTCAAGGTATGTGTAAAGACCAACTAGAACTTCGTCCGATGTATTCTGAGAACCCAGTCCCGACAAACGGGCTCGAAACCCCACGTACACGTAGCTCATCAGCGGGCCGATTCCGTGTCGGGGAGGGGTTACCGAGTGCATGCATCGTCCCTGGATCGGGAGCCAATGATGGGGCGCACAGAATCCGGAATACGGGGCCGGGCGTTGTGGGACAGAGCCCGCGCCCGGCCGGGGAAACGTCCACCGGCGCCGATCGGTCTTCCGAGACGGGAATACTTATGTGCCGCAAATTCGAGAACTAAGGTTGGCACGAAAATTCTCCTTGCCATTCAACTCTCCCTGGCATTGATGTTTCAATGCGGCAACGTCCAACGGAGCTACCCGGCACCAGTACCTCACTGCCGGGAACAATATTCCGTGTCGGCAGGGTCCTACGGCATCGAATAACTAATGAAATTGACATTGACATTGTCGCCCTGGCAATAAGAAGAGTCTAGCCGGCAAGACTCCGCTGCTAAGAGACCTCACGCGGAGAAGATGGACGGCGTTGAGGGCGCTTTTGAGGCAGCGACGGCCGAATCACGACACTGGACCCCGCGATGGCGACACACCCCACGCCAAGGGGTAGCGAATCATCAGCGCTTCGCAGCACATCATCAAGCATCGGACCCCGTTGTAACCCACACGAGTCTCGGAGTGTTATCTGGGCAGTTCTCCAGTATCCGTGAGATTGTGGCCAACTTGAAACCTCCCTTAGCGTAGCGCGATGGCCAGTTTATCAGGAAGCGAGATATATAAATCAGGTACGGGATCCCCCAAAGTCGCAAAATATGTGGTTTGAAAAGCTGTGGCTGCTCAATTACCCCTTCCTTGAACTCTTCCCAGTCTTCAGGTTGTAAGTTGTTAACTACGGGTTCACTAGAGCTCTCACCTTTGCTCGGCATGGGGACAGAGCAGGAATACGCGTCCGCGTCTCCCAAGGGAGTAACGGTGGACGAATCCTCTTCAGACGGACGAAACTCTGCTGTACTCGAGAAGAAGAAAGCACCATGGTGGTCCTACTTCTGGGATTACGAGCCAGACCGGACGCATGAGGAGCGCGTGTTCATCCAGAAGCTCGACGTTTTCTTAATAACGATGCTGAGTTTCGGCTACTTTATCAAAAACCTCGACCAGACAAACATCAGCAACGCCTTTGTCAGCGGCATGAAGGAGGACCTCGCAATGAACGGAAACGAGATCAATCTCATCGACACAGCATGGACCGTCGGCTACGTCGTGGGCCAGATTCCCTCGCAGATCGTTCTCACCAAAGTCCGCCCGTCCATCTGGGTGCCCTCGTGCGAGCTCCTCTGGACCGTCTTGACTTTCTGTCTGGCGGCGGCAAAGACTTCAAACCACGTTATTGCCATTCGATTCTTCGTGGGTTTGGCAGAGTCCATCTTTTACCCGGCCGCTCACACGATCCTTGGCTCCTGGTATAAGCCCTCCGAGCTCGGAAAGCGAGCCTGCATCTTTCACGCCTCTTCGGCTGCGGCGAGCATGTTCTCGGGCTACTTGCAAGCTGGCGTCTACAAGGGCCTCAACGGCGTTCATGGTTTGGCAGGTTGGAAGTGGCTATTTGTAAGCACCCCCTCGATCCCATATGGCGTGCTTTGGTGGAGACGACTCCTGCGAGACTGCTTGCTGACTCGGCCACAACTTACAGATCATGGATGGAATCATCAGTTTGCCAATTTGCATTGCTGGTTTCTTCTTCCTGCCCGATCTTCCGGAGAACACACGAGCATTCTATTTGACTGGGGATGTGAGTGACTTCAACTCACTGCTTTAAAATTAGAGCAGTTGCTTACAATGATTTAGGACCGCGAACTGGCTCGCAAGAGGATGGAGAGCGTCGGACGTGCTCCACGAACCAAGCTGGGCCGTTCTGCCTTCAAGCGCATTTTTGGTCGCTGGCATGTCTACTTCCTGACCATTCTGTACATTATCTTCATCAACATTGGGCCTTCCAGCAGTGTAAACCCCTTCTCTCTCTGGCTCAAATCCAAGGGCGATTCCGTGGAGAAGATTGTAAGTTCACTTGCACTATGGAAAGAAAGCTTTGTGCTCTTCAAGATAGCTAACACAGTCTCTCAGAACATCATTCCAACGGCGGCTTCGGCTATTCAATTAGTCCTCACGGTATCATTCGCCATCCTCTCCGACGCGATCCGCCATCGCGCCAGCGTCATGTCAATATCCACCTTCCTCGGCGGCTTCGCCGCTTTGATTCTCGCCATTTGGAACGTCCCAGACGGACTCAAGTGGTTCGCGTTCCTCCTTCAGCGTGCCTCTGTACCGTACGGACCGCTCAGTATGAGTTGGACCAACGAGATCTGCGGCGCCGACGCCGAGGAACGTGCCATTGTCATAGGAATCATGAACTCGCTGGGCTACGCCTTCAATGCCTGGGTGCCTATCCTGACGTACCCTCAAGTTGATTCACCCAAGTTCAAAAAGGGCTTTATCTTCTCGACTGTCGCTTTCGGTGCCCAGGCGTTGATCACCGCGACGGTGGCCTTTTTGTACAAGCGAGACAAGAAGAAGGAGAGCATCACCAAGAGAGATGAAGAAGGTGTTACGGCACCGGCCTCCGTTACTAACGCCGAGTAGACTTTTGATTCTCTGAAAGCTGCCAATGGTTTCGGGACGCATCGGGAGGGTTTTTGGGTCAACTGACTTCCTGATGCAGGCTGTGAATGGCCGCTTATTCAGAGCAAGTATCTGCTTCCTTGATCCAACTTAGCAAGCATCTTTGGACATTTGAATTCGAGCGTTTTGGTCAACATAGAAAACACTTTTCCGTTTTGTTAGAATGTCTTAGAAGTTAGACCTTCCAAGTTTCATCTTCTTCTCAAGACCGCATGTCGATTACATAAAATTGACATATCTTCAAAATCGGCTTCCTGCATGTGGCCTCGTCGAAGAACCACAAGCGATGAAGTCTATACTTGATTATAAGGTGCTCTCGTACAATCTCCGATTAGAGGATAGACCCAAACATAATTCTGCACAAATCAGTGTATCCTCTTGAGTGCTCTTATACATGACTCGTTATACGCAAATTGCTTACGTCGGTTTCAAACTGTAGTATAGCCCCTTCATGTAGATAAGATCAGCCTTGGTGCAACTTAGTACTAGAATATCGAGCTCCTTGTCCTTTCTCTTCTCGGATCCCCAAGTATTCGTGTCAGGGTATAGGAGCAGCCGTATCTACAGCCCATCACTTTAATTAGCAAGTATGAAAATACTAAGGGCAATTTCGACTTTTGACAGTTTAAGTTGAACCAAAGCCTGGTTGAGGGCATTCGATCATCCTCTCCAAGATTCTACCAATCCTATATGTATTTCACGACCACTACATGAGAGTGGATTCCAAAGACAAAACTCTCTGCACCTGTCTGGTAAAGAAGTAAGTGTAAGTAAGACAGAAATAGCCCGAAATTTTGGACTCAATCTGGAGCCACTTGACAACTACCAAATATCAACTTGCATAAGCCTGCGCATATGTGACTTCTCACCATCTCATAATTCTTGTCGTTTAGAGTTTTAGCCCTCTCGCCCCGCTTAATTTAGAGAATAAAACAAATAGTTTCCAGTTCTCTTTGATTTAGGCCACACTACTTTGCGCGCCATATTTGTTTCATGAATCATTCCCGTGGGAGCCTGCTCCCTTACGTACCAAAAGACAACTGAAACAAATACCAATCGGTCTCCAGGAGGATTGACTCCCTTAGTACATGTAGCAATGAGAACTGATAGTGGATGAGTGCACTTCGTGTGAACATTAGACAATCAAATTCAAAGACCGTACTATTGTTTTCAGGCCGTCATTAGTAGAGACAAGTTGGCAACAGGAACCTGCCCAGCAGCCCAGCTGTCATAACAAAAGTCACGTGTCAAGTTTGAGATCTTTCGAGATTTTCTTTTCCTAGACTTTCAAGTATCTGTAAACCTATTGTATGTGAAAATCTCTCATTAAAGTGTTGTAGCATACAGGCCGAGTTTTACATTATGATTTCTGAGAACACGAGTCGTGTCCGGGAGCTACGGGCGAATACGTGTATTTGTGGTTTAAACTTTCGGGGGATGGCGTGGCCTACCGGCCGCCCGCCGCAATGGCCATACTTGAAATGAAGGCATAGAGAAACTCAATCAATTCCCATCCGGTATGTGGGGTAATTGTCAACTTCGGCATTGATACTGTTGCTCATAATGAATTTTGAAGCATTGAATCCAGCTGCCTCAGACTGAGTTCGATGATTTTGAAAGAAGGTCCATGTCTCGGCGAAGTTATCGACCGCGTGAATACTCATGCTCGCCGTCGAAGTATTCACAACTATGTTTCACTATCTTGGATGTGCAATACTACCATGCTCGGGAGGATACGATTGTCGGATTGGAAGTCCAATTCGGCCGCGAGTAGGGGCAGAGCATGGGCCACCTCGAGGGGGTACACTTAGACCTCGACTACCCACCCAACCTCCGGTTGGAATCTCCCTTCTACTCCTTACGCAGAATCAATCAATACAGAGATATTGATACTTCGTCACCCACAGGACCCTACGGTTCGAACCAACTTCCCTGTGAAAGGAATACCAACAACGATCAATGGAATATTAAGGAGGCCGTCGTTTTTTCCGAGTTCCAACGGCTAAGTACTCCGTAGACCGTAGTCGCAATGCCGACGTTGCACAGATCGGTAGTACCGCCACCATGGATAGACGCCAAGAAGTTTGTAAACTCTAATCTGTGGGATTTGCGATGCAGAATGGATACTATTCGAACGAAAGCTCAGGGGCCCCGGCTGAAGCTTTTCTCCCATGGTTGACTCCCGGTGAAGTGGGACCCAGCACTGTGGGTTCTGTCTCCGTACATATCATCCCTCTGATCGTCTGCTACAGGAAGCGCAACTCAGATCAACCACTCAACACTCTCTTGACCACAGCCGCACATTCGGCACAGATTCTGTCATTCGTTTTCAAAGTCGAATCTTACCAGCTTACCCAGAAGAAAGACGAGTCTGTACCACAATGTATCTCGATAATCTTCTGGTTTCCGCCGCCCTCATCTGCCTGGCATCTGCTGAGTACACGACCAAATACCTCACCGGGTCGTCGAACAACACGATCCAGGTCCTTGTCGAGGGAGACGACCCGTCACTGCTCGTCTGGCCGTCTTTCGCCCGGGACAGCCTCGATGATTTCCACGAGTTCTCGACCACCCCCGCCGACGCGGGCTACCGCGTGTTGCGTCCTTAGCCCCGAGGCATGGGCGAATCTACCGGCCCCATTGACACCACTTGGGCCGAGGTGGGCGCCGACCTCGTCTCAGTCATTGATACGTTTGGCAACGGAAAGGCTATAGTACTCGGTCACGCCGCCGGCCAACGTATGGCAAAGAACATGGCTGCCGCACTCGGAAAAGGTGCCTTCGATCGTTTTGGCATGCATCAACACCGGTACCAACACCAATGCCACAATCGCAGCTACGGCAAACATTGCGAGTCACTATACGTACTCAGCAGAGGAGCGGCTCGCTGCCTTGGAACTGGGCTATTTTGCGCCAGGACATAATGCCTCTCTATGGTTGACGGGTTGGTACCTTGAGGCAATGGGCTCCGTAACTGGGGCTCCCACGAGCACCACGATCGGCAGCAACAATACGCAGATCTTGGACGTCATCGCGACATTGGATCCGTGGAGGAGAGAGGACCAGTGGAACTAAACAACTGGGCTGGTTGGAAGCCGGTCCACGGTTTTCTTTGTTGAAGATGCTTCTCACGCGCTGTTCCCTGAGAACTTGCAGGGCGTCGTGGATGCCATGCTGCCATGGTTGGAGACCCACCCAGACTTCGTCTTGGAAATAATTGCTTTTAGCATCGAAATAGCCGGCGCAAGACAATTGTCGAGACACATATGAAATAAATGTCGTCGATGACAATGCTGTGACCAAAGCTTTCGAAGCATGCCATATTCCAAGTGCCAGAGTTCCGACTCTCGAGTTAGTTGTTGCCTTGTTGGGCGATAGAGACTTAGGAATTTGAACAGAGAGCAATGCGTAGAGCTGAAGTTGCCATTGACTAAGGCCCCTTGGTCCAGAGTGAAGTTTAAAAAAAACCCTTAGAGCTGACTTATCGATTTCCGAATATTGCGGGAAGCTGATTTAGTTTCCGGCCCGGCCTCGACACCGGCCCTACCGGCCCCGGCAAGGTATCCGGCACTTCCTCCGGAATGTGGCTGGTTTTAGTGAGAGGAAATCGGAGCCGAGCCAACCACAGAACAGTCCGCACAGTCCCAGAGTTCATCGAACCACCATCCTGCAAACCCGCTCGCTGGAAGTCGAACTAAGCAGGCCGCGCACATAGAGATACCTACACAATTGAGAGCAACGCCACAAATTTGCTCGCCTTCTTGTCCCTTCAACCACGAGCGAGCAAATCTTCTGCCCAGTAGACATCCGAAGAGATCGTGCTTCTGCTTAAGCAAGCGGGACCCCATACCTCCAGTCCTTTCAATGTCCAAGTTGCGCCACGTGCCATGGTGCAGAGAGAAGCGCGATTCCAACCCTCTATCCTGGATCCGAACAACCCCAACACACCAGGAGAACAGGATGTCCTCTTTCCCCGCCCGTTAGTCTCGCATACTTAGTTGGAGAAATAACACCAACGGCCGGGATCCGGCAGCCATGTGGGGTGGTGCAGAAGCAACGCACATCTGGGCCGCCCGTCTGCCAGGCGTTTGCACAATATGAAGTCCAGTCAGCACAGGTCAGTAGGTCAGGCCCTCACACCTGCTCGCGAATCGAGCCCGAGTATGCATCCATCACACGACGCCTCAAATGCGTGTCCAGCCTCGACTCAAGCTCTGTGAGGTTAGACCGGCGCGGCTGGTTGACTTGGGTACTTCTGTTCGCATGCCCTGGTGTCACCGACTACTTGTGCCGTCTAATGCTGAGCTGAGATATGACAAATACGGGCGGCCGGTGTGCGCGCGACTTCCCGAGGATCATTTGCTATTCACAGGACGCGGAGCAAACGAGCCCATCAGGTCGGATTGACAGTTGATCCAAAGCCTCATGACACGGTCCGCACATCTGAGCGTTGAATCAATCTTAAGGCACCGCGTAAGCGCTCAGCCCTACCTAGAGACTCTGCATCGATTGCAATTTAAACCCAGGAAGCGAGGAAGGATGAGTGAGAGATGTGACTTGACCGATTTCCCTCGTCTCTCTTCCCCCTCACCCTTAACTCCAAAAAAGCAGAGCCCTCGTAGTCACGCATCTCGGTTTCAAAAACGAAAACTCCCGGGCTAAATACCGCTTTCGGTATTAGCACCGCGTTCTGTGGTTACAGTGCGTGGCCGGCACGCATGGCTTTGTGTGATGGAGGGTGCGCCAAAATCAGACGAAAGGACTTGCAGGCCCAGATCGGTAACCGCTCACAGATGCAGATATCTTGCCCCATTCCACCGCAACGTCTCGGCGTTGGAAGAGTACAGCAGCTGCCCACCCGAGGTGGCACCTTACCGAGTCTTACAATTTTTAGGCTCAGGCATACCTCTATTCTGACCCGTTACTGCAACTGCTGGTAGTCTCTTTCATCAGATGCGAGCGTCTGTGCCGCCCCCGGTCCCCTGGATCTGCAGAGGGGCAATCAGGCTGAAAGGAACCCTGCACCGAGGTAGAGATATACCCTGCGGCTCCCTGTTCCCCAACGTTGGTTGGCGGACAATCATGACAGTGATGTTTGGCATTGGTCGAGCCACGTCGACTCACCTGAAGGAGTCGCCGGTCTTGTGGACGAGCGGATGCAATCATGAGCTGCATTAGCTTGCTCGAGGAGGTGGATGTTGGGCTCCGCCAGAGGAGCGCTAGTGCACAGCGCTGATGAACAGTCCGTGATGCGAAATCAACTCGTTTTCGTTCTGCGTGTGCAACCGAGTCCACGTCGAAGAAACGATTGTGGTATATTCAACTGCTACTGTATGCAACTCCTTTTTTTGGGCGCGTAGTATCCCTTTAACCCGGCGTCTTGCCAACGTATCATAACATGCGTTGCCTTCTTAAACGACCATCATGCCGTAAATATATCAAAACAAGGGTCCCGGAAAAGGTCAGGAGCAAGGGTTTCCCCAGGCTTGTCCGTCTCCGTCTCTGTCCCCAAATCCCCGGACCGGACTCTCGTACGAATGAAGTCACTTCCATTCAACCAAACACAAGTCCAAACTTCATGCTTGCCGCCACTTGCCTCCATAAGTCTGGACAGGCCTCAGAACCCACCTGCTCCTTGCCGTAGGCTCGCATGTCCAACCTTCTCCACACGTCCATGACAACAACCCACGGCTTTTCCGTGTCAACCACACCCTTCTTGCTGCCAAAGGCCGTGAACGCCTGACGCACCAGGCCTCGGTCCCTGCTGCATATGGCATGACAAGCAGAGAAGAAGAGAGGCCACAGCATGGAGAGTCCTGACCCGCCGTGAGATACCGACGCCGCACAGTGCCACAGAGCGGCCTGCGTGTGTTTCTGCACCAGGCGATGTGATGAAGGGTATTCCGAAACAGTGCTGTATAGGAAGACCAGGGCGCTCTGCCTGTATGCGAGTGCCGTACTTGTGATCCACCGGATGTTGGCAAGCTCCGCTTCTGATGCACTTTCGGGGCCGTCGACGATACGGTTCACAAGAGAGAAGCCTGGTGGCAGTGTCGGACTCCACGACTCCAAAGCTCCCTCGATTGCTTTATATGCCGTCTGATACTCGGTACGGAGGACGGCGAACTTGGAGGTTTGCCCTGTCGCTGTGGCGGCCTGAAGCTCGCGTTTCACCGCCATAAGCTCCGCAAGGCGATGCAGAGTGGGCCAAAGATCATCGGCCATGCCTAATACGGGGTCGATTACACCAGAGATGACGGGCGATGGCGGGCTACTCGGCGAGTAAGCTCGACATGAGGGAACTGCAAAGACGGGGGACGAGCCGTTCGTCAAGGCATTGAGCACATCGAAGTAGCGAAATACCTGCCTCGTGTTAAAGATATTCCCCATAAAACTTCCACAATCCCAGCTTACCTGTTCGAAGAACACCACACTTGCAGGCTTAGGGGATGGCATGGCACCAATGATGTGACGTGCGCCCTGGAGATGATTATACACCACTTTGTCCGAGCTCCGCTGTAACACCTACGCTGCCAGTAAGTTGATGCGTCAAGTACAAGTAGACAACAAGACTTCTCTTACCAGATCGTATTGTATAAGTAGAATTATTGTCGCCAAAGCTTCTTCAAATCCGTCGCCATCCTCAATGATTGCAGAAAGACCAGCAACCGCTCTATCGTGGAAACACGCAGATCCCTCCGTAGTCTCGAGACCAGCATATTCACGATGGGCGCTGGCCAACGCGTATATCGCACTTCGGACGGCGGAACTCCTGTGCGAAAGAGGAAGAATATGTTGCTCGAAGGGGTTTGCGACGTAATCTACAAATCCCATTGTCGGTAGCATAATTTTGGAGTAGTGATCTAGCAAGCCGGTATTCTCTGGACAATCGGGAGTGGCGTGGTAAGGCGGCGGTAGCAGGTCCAACAAGGGCGGTGATGCGGTTGCCCAAGGTTGCTCGTTCCAAGATATGTCGAAACTGGCGCTGAAGAAGGAATCATCTACCGGTTGTTGAAAACTCTGGTCCACAGTCGCAAGAGAGAGTGGGAGGTGAACGTCAGCTGACTTCTGACAGCCCAGATCCGCCATCAGCTTGAAACCGTCTTCATAGGGTTGCAAGGCCTCATAGCCAAAATCGTAGCTGCCTGTATCGTCGAGGTCTTCGGAAAGAGCAAAGGCAGAATCGATCGAAGCGGAATAACTGCTTTCTACAGCCGACGGTGGAGAGCGAGTCTCTTCTACACCTAGTTGAAAGACATCGGGCGGGGTGACGATGTTCGTATCTGGACTTGTCTGGAAGTCCGTGTTGCCCGTCGGGCTACTTGAGTCGTCTGATGCCATGGAGTCTTGAGCATCTACCAGCCGGGTCGAGGTTCTTCTCTTCCTCTTCTTTATAGGCTCATAGGTACAGACTATGCCAGCCTGCACACAACGAAGACATTGTGGGCGTTCTTCCGAGCACTTCTTTCTCTAGCGAGGTATTGGTCAAAGATTCATATCCGAGATGAGCCAAGATGACCAACCTTGTCACGACTGCGAGGTGTTTTTAGCAAAGTGATTACTCAACATGCGATGAGACAAAAGCTCGGACATAGACTCACCAGTATTTGCATCCTATGACAGTTACGAAACCCATGTCAGAAATCCCGAATCCAAGGCTTTCGTGGTAAAAGCATCGTACGAACCTGCTCTGGACCGAGTCTTGATCGGCCGTGGACGAATAGGCTGGGTGACGAGCATTATGCTAGTAGAACCGGAGCTCTGCAAAGTGATTCAAGAAACGACTTTGAGAATAGCAAGACGGAGGTTTAATAACCTTCCCGTCACATCAAAGTTGCATCAAATGCCGGTAATGGGTCGCAGCAGAAACTTGCAGCAGGAAAAGCAAGTGATTATAGACCATCACAGAGCAGCAGAGGCGGTGGTATTTCAGCGAGCCACACCATGAGCCGACATGGTTCCCCAATTTACCCCAGCTTCCATGAGGGGAAAAGATGCGAGGGAGCTAACAGGGGACTCTCGACAGATTTGGAGACGTGCCGCACGCCCAGAGCCCACGGCAAAATGCCGAACAACACCGGGCTCCCGCACCCACCATCAAAGACTACGACCGGGACCCTGGAGTGACCCCAGGAAACGTTGCAAACTAAAAGACTAGACTGTGCAGCCAGCAAATTAACCGGCCATTCTTCCAACATCCTGGTGATCGGTCCAACTTGAACGAGTGAAATTTATGGGGTTTGACGAGCGTTTGTGGGGGAAGATGGGAGCGGTTGGTTGTGAGGAGCCCCCCAGCCCGCTTCGCGACATCTGACATGCAAGGGTCGAAAACACACCATCCCGGCCCTCTCGCCAGTCACGATGCGGCAGGTGGCTTTTTCGTCACTCCCATCATCCGATCGACCGTTGATTTATATGTGTACCTCGAGATATTTTGATGATCTTAGCTTTGCCACCGGACCCAAGCGCGTCGTGGAGGGGTGGAGGGCCAATGTGGTAACGGGGCAAGCCATCACTATGCCACGCGGATGGCTCAGGAAAGATGGAAGTATGCTGTGGATGCCATCATCGCTTCGAAACGAGGCAATCATAAAGCTCCTGACTACTTAGTGATCCAAGGAGGATCAAATAGTTCTGAGCTCGTCGAACCTGAGAATCAGAGGTGTTGGACAGTAGGTATTGCCCGTAACGTGGTGTGATGTGATTCTTGTTGGTGATCTGAATCTCAACGTGGTTGATGACGGCGGAAAATGGCTTGACACGGTACCTAGCCAAAAGCGGCATATACCTTGCCTGATTGGCCCTTCTGGTGAGAATGGATCTAACCTGGGGGCAAGCTAAGTCTCGGCTAAACCTGCTGTCACATATGCTGAGCCATAGAGGCACACACATCGTGCCATCTCTGTCTGATCAGTCAGGAGGCCGGATATACTGGCGATATTGTCAAAGTTGCAATACTAGTGTTACGGCCAGCTAGTCGTAGTGAGGTATGTTTGCAGAAGTTGAGGCTGCGGAACTGTTAACAGTATTCGTAGTCGGGGATAGCTTCAGGGAAGCTATGTCTGTAAGTCGTAAGGTAAGGGAAGGCTTCGGTGATCAATCGTAGTCTTATCAAAGAGGTTCTCAGGGAAGATAGCTGAAAGCGATCATAAGATCTGATACGAAGTTAATTGCTGAAGAGCTATGGAAAGTCTGTCCTAGAGTCCGGCTCGAGTCCATCCTATATACAAGTCCTGGTCCTGAACATATCCCTTGTCAATGATCAGTCCCTCTGATCGGGTGAGCGCTCATTGTTCCTGTATGAGCGCTCATTACTTGGCATGAGCGCTCATGGCCCCACCATGGTCGCTCATGTCTTATCTTATCATCACGTGACTTGTACCATAGTTCTTCCGTTCCGTGAGAGGGTGCCTAGTGTCCCTTAGCAAGCTCAACATCACTAGAGAATAACTGTGACATCCTAACTAAGGAATGGAAAGAAACCTTAGGATGGGGCGCGACGAAGGAATCACTTTTGACCTCGATAAGTCCGAACTAATTCACTTCACTAAGAGACGAAAAGACGGAAACCCATCAATCACAGTAGGTTTGCCGGATGGGAGGCATCATACAGTTCAGGCCATCAAAGAAGGCTCTTCTCTACGCTAGCTCGGTGTTCACTTCGACCGTAAACTCACATTCAAGAGTCACGTAAGAAACCTCTCCGCAAAGGCATGCCAAGTAGTCAATGGACTACGGGGACTAGGGAACACTGTCTGGGGCGCGCCTACGTACTTACTTCGTCGAGCGATCACCTCTTATATACTACCCACTCAGTACTATGCATCTGAAGCATGGTGGCCCGGCAAGAGCCGGATAAAGAATGGACGTACTATCTCAAACGGGGTTGGTAGTCTGCTACACCAACTGGACGCGACGCAAACCAAAGCCATCAGAGCGATGGTCCCCGTATACAGAACGACGCCTATACCGATCCTACAGCGCGAGGCGGCTCTACCCCCAGCAGAGGTAATACTAGACGCGAAGCTCCACACAGCATCCACCAGGATCCATCGTCTGGACGAGCGACACCCTCTCCGAACGAGACTCAGGGACAAATCAGGACCAGACTCACGGCTACGACGAATAGCAAGCCTCGTAAGCAAAAATACCGAATACATCGATCCGTTAGAACTCCCCCCTTGGGAGCAACTAGCGGACTGGCAGACAGCCCTCGCCAGGGTCGGCTACGATCCTAATAAGACCAAAGAAGAACAGGCCCTCTCCTTTACAGGCAGGATAGCAACTTTCTCCAAGCGGGACATTATTATCTATACTGACGGGTCCCAGATGTCGGACGGCAGCAGCACCTCCGCCGGAGCAGGCTGGGTAGGGTACCAAGCTATACGGTAGATCTTCCGCGGATCCGAACCACTCGGCTCCCAAACTGAGGTATATGACGCGGAGGCATATACTACGTATTACGGCCTAATAGAAGCCACCCGGGCTCCTACGGCTCGTATGGTAGATAACGTCCACATCTGCCTCGACAACCTAGCAGTCGCGGCTAGACTATACTCCCAGAGCACAGGAAGCAGCCAGGCTAGATTTAGGGCCTTCAATAGGCTCTCTTCCTCCTGGACTCGGAGACAAAGAGAGAGCTGGACAACCCCCGGCAGGGTTTATGTTTGGTGGTGCCCTGGGCACACGGGAGTACCAGGAAATGAAGAAGCGGATGCTCTAGCCAAGGAAGCCTGCAAACTAATCCCAAAATCACAACCACAGCCCTCATTAGCGCACCTAGAAAGGCAAGCTAAAGCAGCTGCCTTCCAAGCCTTTGCCAGAAAATGGCTGTCCCAATGCCCTCGGCAATATGCCGACCTCGAGATAATTCTTCACCCCAAGCCGCCCGAACTCCGCCTCCCTCGGCACTTACTAGGAAGGCTATACGCAGCAAGATCCCATCATGGAGACTTTGCAGCATACCACGAGAGATTCGCTCATCAAGATGCGTTGCTCAACTGCAGCTGTGGGAAACCCAAGACACCAGTCCATTTCTACTTCTGCAAGCGTGGACGCAAGGCTACACCGCGCTACCTCCGCCAACGTATGGCTAAAGCAAGCATTGATTTCTTGTTAGGTTCTGCTAAGGGAGCCTCTCTTCTATGCGAATGGATAGAGGAGACCAATTTCTTTTCCGAAATTTGCCCGAGTCATTGAACAGGAACGTTAGGTGAAGACGGTAGCCTGTAATATAGTTTAGATTAGTATAGACCATGTCGGCATTGCGCCCGGCACGTCCTTTTGTTACCAGACGTTAAATACATCATCATCATCATCATCATCATCATCAGATACTCTCCTTAAGAACAACAACAAAAACACCAGATGAACCCAACGATATTGCTACCGATCGCGATACCAGGAATGCCTGTGTGACTAACCTGTGGTACACGCAAACCAACAATTACATAGTATTGAGTTAATATTTTGTCATCAAAGGTGGAATTATTCATACGAGGAGCATTGATATCAAGTTTACCATCAAGTGGGGGATGGCGTCAGCATACGCCTTTGTAGTGTTTCTCCAAATCTACTCCTACAATTCCTTTTCATTCATAGAAATAAAGGAAAAAGATCTGATATAACTTCTAATTTATCATTACTCCCCATGTGTGTATGTGCGAATGTACTTCTCCAATTCGCACTTGATGGGATATCTGTTGCGATATTTCCAACAGCCGCAATCAGACCATAATCAATTCAAGCTAGCTATCTACGTGATTTCAGATGTCCAATTTCTCGTCTTTCAAGTGAGAGAGATTTGTATTGAATTTGCAGTTCTGTCTTCACAAACCAGACAGGAAAGGAAGTGCCCCTTGAGGAATTGGATGTGGGATCTCGTAACCAGATGCGCGTAACAGACGTCTTAAGTTTGGGTAACCTTTAGCTTGATCTATGTCTTCAAGGCAGATACGTACAGTAACATTACATCTCGTAGGACAGAGTGGCTTATGCAAATGTGTCATAAGCCGCATCACAAGAGAATCTACAAGCAAAGGCCGAACTATTTTTCATTCGATGGTGATAAATGACTCTGATATTACATTTCAATGTTCATACATGCAGCATATCTCTATGGGTTCCCCATCTAAGACCGATCCCACAAGCCAGTAAAAGCCTTGCCAGCTCGATCAATTGCCCCCAACACCAAAGCGCCCGCTGTATCCCAGGTTTCGGTCACATACAATTCGTGTTGTTTTCTTTCTCTCATTTAAGCCAGTTCCTGCAGTTCTTGTTCCCGCCGCGCCTTGGCAATAGCGCACTTTCCCAACCGGGTGAGCTCCGCCACGAAATCATCCACAATCTTGACGTGGGCGACTTCGTTGGGCGTCAGATGACGGTTCCGCATGCCCTCGATGAGTTCCGGGACCGAGTTGAGGAGCTCGATATCTTCCTCGGATTGGGGGTTCAGGGGCTGCAGGAGGAGACTGCAAAAGATTGTGAGGATTGCTGACATGGGGTAGAATACCACCATCCTGGAAATCAGACGTTAGCACCTTAATTCATCTTGTCCAAATTTCAGGGTAAGCAACTCACCAGAAGGCCACCTGTTCCACGCCGTGGATCGCTGCGCGGAGGAAGTAGAGCGTAGATCGGCTGGCCTGCACAGAGAGGGCCTGGCTCGAACTGACGCCCTCCAGACCGCTTCCTTCACGGCTTGCCCAACAGCGGCATCGCCCGCTTGCTCGGTGTATCATTGCCATCAAGTAATGATACTCAAAGTGAAGGATAATCTCCTCCATACTCAGCCGTCCCTTTCTAACGACCGCCGTGCCCCGAGGGAACGTCAACGTCGGCCGGTAGGATGATGGAACCGACGAACGCCATCGTTCGAGCTCGTCATCGAGTTCGCGGATATCCCTGAGCAGTTCCGCATCGCCCTTCTTCAGGGCTGATTGAGAGTACAACTTCGTGGAAATTTGAGATTTGATGATGGTCAACTGCAGGGAGTCGGGTGCCAAGGCCGACGTGATAGTTGCCTCGTCGAGGAAAGACGGCGAGCCGCCCGTGAGGTCATCTATGCTCCGGATCCACCAATCCATCTTTGGCAAAGTCAAGTCGCAATGTTCATCATGGATACTGGGGGGCTGTCCCGTCCGAAGGGAGATGTCCTTGTCGAGCTTGTAGGATAACCAGAAGAGTCTGCGGAGTTGATTCCTCACGCGCGAGGTGTGGTCGTCTTCAGCTTGCTGGGGTGTCTGGCATGGAGTGGGACGGCTCGATCCGGGCTCGAGGTGTCCGCCAAGCATGAACAAGACTCGACATGTGGCGGACTGGAACATGGCACCTTGTTGCAGGTGGCCGCAGAAAAGGTGATACATACCCTATTGATAAGAAGCGTCAGTAAGGTTTAGAGTTGCAGACACTATGGAAAATAATGCTTACCAGCATGAAGACTGTCTCGAGGGCAGTGATGTTGGTACCCTGCAGGATGACTGCCACCAGTCTCTGGGCGGCACCTGCGCAGGCCTCGCCGTCAATCTCGGGTGTTGAGTTCCATTCTCCCTGGAAGAGGGAAACGACGGCGAAGAAAGCAAAGACACATGCCTTTGCCGTCACGGCCTCGAGAGATGCTTTACCATTGGATCGCTGATAAGCCAGCTCGATTGTCTCTTGGAAGAGGACAAAGTCGATTACTGGAAACGATAAGCCGAACTGGGATGCTCGGAAGAGGGCGAGATACTCTTCAACAACTGTCCTATCAGGAAGCTCTCCAGTAGCATTCACTTCTGGGAAGTCTATAAAGATTGGGACTGGATGTTGTGTCTGCCACAAAGGACCCATGCCAAACAAGGTGTGAAAGGAAGCATCTTCTCCAGCGCGAGAGCGGATCCATTCTTGGCCGTCGGCGGAGAAGAATGGAATACCATTGTAGGAGCTGACATCGCCCAGATAGTAACCGGCAAAATGCAGCTTACCCACGGTAGCTCCGGAAGCAGCCCGGGCTGATGAGTCATAAGATCGGGTTTGGGTTGTGTCCGGATTGCCGTCGGCGGCCGGCGGATCCGGACCAACAGTCGACATGGGCGCCGATGATGACGATGGGGACGCGGTGGAATCATCCCGGGTCCCTCCTTCCCCCCCTGCATCTTGGTTACGCCGAGCCGCCTCCAAGGCCTTCTCGATACGGTTGAGGCGTTCGACTAGGTCTTTTTCTGATCCCGCCCTGCACGGGTCGTAAATCTTTTTGTTAGTCTTGGCTACTTTCCATAGCACAAATTACTCAACTCTCCCGAACGGGTGGATACCTGAAAGGTATCCACTGGGACGGGACCGGAGGGGCGGAGGTCCTCTTACCTCGCTGTGGCCACACGCTTCTTCACCTTGGTGGCCCGGTTGAAAGTGCACGCCATGCCGTGGTGCTTGCACCAGTTGCATTGTGGGACTGCTCCATCACACTGAATCTATCAAAGTTGGAAGAGAGCAAAAAAGATCAGCATTGTGTTTGTGAGACTGGAAACTCCAACATAACTCAACCTGAAAACGAGCCGGGAAACATACCTTTCGCCTGTGACAGGAATCACACGCTCTCTTCCTCATATTGGCCTCTGATTCGACGAAAGGCCGCCGCTCAACGCGGCACGCAGCTTTTTCCAAGGAGGGAATAGAACAAATGAAAAAAAAAAAACCGAAATCAGCCGCGTCGGGAAGGTAGCCGATATGGCAACGTGTGTGTCTCTCACGCCAAAAGGTGATTGAGGAACCTGAAATTGGCTGACACCAGGACTGTCGTTCCCCCCTTTGGTTGATGTATCGAAACCCCCGCTGACTCAGCGGCAAACCGCCTTATGTGACTAAGCGGCAAAGATAAATGCGGATAAACCTTAAATGTTTCTCCGTTTTTGATTGGTTCCGAAACATAAAACCTTGACGCAAAACTTCAGGCGACTCCACCGTCATCTCCAGAACCAACGCCCGTGCCCGGCGCTTCGACACACGCCGCGTCGACCATCCACACCGGTCCAAGCTAACAACCCCATGGCGCCCGCCCCCCCACTCGAATGCTGGCAGCGCGGCCCCGACTTTCCTCAATGATCCCGATGGACATTTCACTTTTGACGAGCTTGCCGCTGAGTCAGCGGATATTATCTAATTAATGACACGTTTGGTCCGATCTTAGACACCAGATTATGAGGCTCTCGGGGACTATCCCAGGGATGGACCCAGTCTGCCGGCTCTGGCACGCCTGGCCCAACTTCTGGCTCCACGGCATCCCGCACACCTCGGACAGGGTCCAACGCCGAAGGAGCCACATGCCACGACCTGAGTTGACGTGAATTGCAGGGTTCACCCAACAAACAATTTTGTTTTTTTATCCTCTTATCAAGTAACAAGTGGGACGAAAACCACATTATTCAGCGGACTAAAGACCCCCAGAGACCATGTTACCACGCAGTGTGCGCGCACTTCGGACTAAAGCATGGGGTTCCAGAAGCTTTTTCGTCCGCACATCTCGTCATTATGGACGGGATGATGGGATACCTGGGACCGCCTAGGACGCCTGAGACGCCTTGTCACCAATTACCAATGGCCACTATGATCTGTCTGCCTACCACTATCTGTCCGCAGGGCCCGATTGGGACCCGTATTATACGATCAAGGGGGTTGCACAGAGATCTCAGGTAATAATGAATCGGCATCCCGTCAGTCCCCATGAGGCCGAAACCGACTTGGCTTTCAAGTCCGGCCGGAGCTAAGGGGCAGGGCAAATGGGGATAACAAAAATAGTTGAAAACAAATAAGTGGCCCGGCACCCTTGATATACATCCTATAAGCTTCTGTTACAACCTTCTTCTTATCACCGTCTTCTCCTTTCAATGTTGATCCTTCACACTTGACACCCAAAGAGATACTATCAAAGCTCTTCGTCAACACGTGGCAGGCATCATGGAGTCAGACGGCACGCTGGGAGGCGGCTCAAACTACGAGCAGTCTCTCGAACTCAGCAACCTACCCGACAATACCACCTGGTCCCTCAAACACAAGGTCGAAGCCGTTCGACAGAGAGATGAACGCTCAGGATTCCCCGCCCGCGAGCTGGGCGTGACATGGAAGAACCTCACGGTCCAGGCCGTCGGCGCCGATGCGTCACTTCACGAAAACGTCATCTCCCAATTCAACATCCCCAAGCTCGTCAAGGAGTCTCGTAGCAAGCCTCCTCTGAAGACCATCCTGGATAACACCCATGGCTGCGTCAAGCCCGGCGAGATGCTCCTGGTCCTCGGCCGTCCGGGGTCAGGATGCACAACGTTGCTCAACATGTTGGCGAACCACCGCCGAGGATACACCTCAGTCTCTGGCGATGTCCACTACGGCTCTATGCCCGCCGAGGAAGCGCAGCGATATAGGGGTCAAATCGTCATGAACACCGAGGAGGAACTCTTCTTCCCTACCCTGACCGTTGGCCAGACTATGGACTTTGCAACTCGCCTCAAGATCCCTTTCAAACTTCCCGAGGGTGTTGCCTCCAACGAGGAGCTGCGCGAGGAGAACCGAGATTTCTTGCTGGAGTCTATGGGAATCCAGCACACCTTCGACACCAAGGTCGGAAACGAATTCGTCCGTGGTGTGTCCGGAGGAGAGCGGAAGCGTGTGTCCATCATCGAGACTTTGGCAACGAGAGGATCAGTCTTTTGCTGGGATAACAGCACCCGCGGTTTGGACGCCAGCACGTAAGTCTTTGCTCGCTGTCTAGATGGCCATGTAAGCTGACCACCTTCTAGGGCCCTCGAATATACCAAGGCGGTCCGTGCCATGACCGACGTCCTCGGTCTCGCATCCATCGTCACCCTTTACCAAGCAGGCAACGGTATCTACAACCTCTTCGACAAGGTTCTTGTTCTCGACAACGGCAAGGAGATGTACTACGGACCAATGGAGGAGGCCAGACCCTTTATGGAACAGCTCGGATTCATCTGCTCCGACGGCGCCAACGTCGCTGACTTTCTCACCGGTGTCACCGTTCCCACAGAAAGAGCGATTCAATCAGGAAAGGAAAAGACGTTCCCTCGCACACCCGAAGCTCTGAGAACCGAGTATGAAAAGTCAGACATCTACCCCCGGATGATGGCAGAATACGACTTCCCGACCCTGGAGGAGACCAAGGAGAGGACGAGATTGTTCCAACAGGGCGTCGCCATGGAGAAGCACAAGCAGCTCCCCGCCAACAGCGCTCTCACGACGAGTTTCTATATCCAGGTCAGGGCCTGCGTCACCAGACAGTACCAGATTCTCTGGGGTGATAAGGCAACCTTCATCATCACGCAAGTGTCCACCTTGATTCAAGCTCTCATCGCCGGTTCCCTCTTCTACCAAGCTCCCAACACGTCTGGTGGTCTCTTCCTCAAGGGCGGTGCCCTCTTCTTCGCTCTCCTCTTCAACAGTCTGCTGTCCATGTCCGAGGTCACCAGCTCCTTCACCGGCCGTCCCGTGTTGATCAAGCACAAGTCATTTGCCTACTACCACCCTGCCGCTTTCTGCATTGCGCAGATCGCTTCTGATATCCCGGTTATCCTGTTCCAAATCTCGGTCTTCTCTATAGTACTGTACTTCATGGTCGGATTGAAGACGACGGCTGCGGCGTTCTTCACCTTCTGGATTGTCGTTGTGGCAACTACCATGGTAAGCAGCGTTGCTCTTCCCTTCTTATGACTCCTAACTAACTCGCCTGTAGTGTATGACTGCGATGTTCCGCTCCATCGGCGCCGGCTTCCAGACTTTCGACGGTGCGTCAAAGGCCTCTGGTTTCATGGTTACCGCTTTGATCATGTACTGTGGTTACATGATTCAGAAGTCTCAGATGCACCCGTGGTTTGTCTGGATCTTCTGGATCAACCCTCTGGCATACGCTTTCGATTCTCTCATGTCAACCGAGTTATACGGACAACTGATTCCCTGCGTTGGACCCAATCTGGTGCCGAGCGGCCCAGGATACACCGACTCTGCCCACCAGTCGTGTGCCGGTGTCGCCGGCGCCATCCAGGGATCAACCAGCGTCACCGGGGAACAGTACCTCTCCGCCCTGTCCTACAGCCACAGCCACGTGTGGAGAAACTTTGGCATCGTCTGGGCCTGGTGGGTTCTCTTCGTCGTCCTCACCATCATCTCCACCTCGAGATGGCGCTCGACCGCCGAGGGCGGAGCATCCCTGCTCATCCCCCGCGAGAACGCCCACGTCACCAAAGCCATCCGCGACGACGAGGAAGCCCAATCGTCCGAGGAGACCGCTGCCAGGAACGGCAAGAGCGACGAGAAGCAGGACAGCAGCAGTAACGATGACAACCTCGTTCGCAACACCTCCATCTTCACCTGGAAGAACCTCACCTACACCGTCAAGACCCCATCTGGAGACCGCGTCCTGCTTGATAACGTTCAGGGATGGGTCAAGCCCGGTATGCTCGGTGCCTTGATGGGCTCCTCTGGTGCCGGAAAAACGACGCTTCTTGATGTTCTGGCCCAGCGCAAGACCGACGGTACCATTCATGGATCCGTCATGGTCGACGGTCGGGAACTTCCCATGTCCTTCCAGCGATCCGCCGGATACTGCGAACAGCTCGACGTTCACGAGGCGTACGCCACTGTCCGTGAGGCCTTGGAATTCTCTGCCCTGCTCAGACAAAGCCGTGACATCCCGCGCGCTGAGAAGCTCGCCTACGTCGACACCATCATCAACCTCTTGGAACTCCACGACCTCGCTGACACCCTCATCGGAACCACCGGCAACGGACTCTCCGTCGAACAGCGAAAGCGCGTCACCATTGGCGTGGAACTCGTATCCAAGCCCAGCATCCTCATTTTCCTCGACGAGCCCACCTCAGGATTGGACGGCCAGTCCGCCTTTAATACTGTCCGCTTCCTCCGCAAGCTCGCCGACGTAGGCCAAGCCGTTCTCGTCACCATCCACCAGCCGTCCGCCCAGCTCTTCTCCCAGTTCGACACCCTCCTCCTGCTCGCAAAGGGCGGCAAGACGGTCTACTTCGGCGATATCGGCGACAACGCAAAGACCATCCGCGACTACTTTGGCCGCTACGGCGCCCACTGCCCCGAGGAAGCCAACCCGGCCGAGCATATGATTGACGTCGTCTCGGGTCACCTCTCCAAGGGCAAGGACTGGAACGAAGTCTGGCTGGCCTCGCCCGAGCACGAAAACGTCACAAAGGAACTCGACCACATGATCCAGGACGCCGCCGCCAACCCCCCCGGAACCGTTGACGACGGCCACGAGTTCGCCCTCTCCATCTGGGACCAGATCAAGATCGTCACCCACCGCATGAACGTCTCCCTCTACCGCAACGTCGACTACGTCAACAACAAGTTCGCGCTGCACATCTTCTCCGCCCTCTTCAACGGCTTCTCCTTCTGGATGATTGGCGATTCGGTCGGCGATATCCAGATGCGCCTCTTCACAATCTTCAACTTCATCTTCGTCGCCCCCGGCGTGCTCGCCCAGGTCCAGCCCCTCTTCATCGACCGCCGCGACATATTCGAGACCCGCGAGAAGAAGTCTAAAATGTACTCCTGGGTCGCCTTCGTCACCGGCTCCATCGTCTCCGAGGTGCCCTACCTCATCATCTGCGCCGTCCTCTACTTCGTCTGCTGGTATTACACCGTCGGCTTCCCCGGCGACTCCTCCCGCGCCGGATCAACCTTCTTCGTCATGCTCATGTACGAGTTCGTCTACACCGGCATCGGCCAGTTCATCGCCGCCTACGCCCCCAACGCCGTCTTCGCCTCCCTTGTCAACCCTCTCATCATCGGTATCCTCGTCTCCTTCTGCGGTGTCCTCGTCCCGTACTCCCAGCTCCAAAACTTCTGGAAGTACTGGATGTACTGGATCAACCCGTTCAACTACCTCATGGGCAGCATGCTCGTCTTCGACGTCTGGGGCACAAAGGTCGAGTGCAAGAGCAAAGAGTTTGCCCTCTTTGACCCGGTCAACGGCACGACGTGCGCGGAGTACCTGGCGGATTACATCCAAGGCAAGGGCTCCAGCAGCAACCTCATCAACCCTGAGGCCACGTCCGGCTGCAGGGTCTGCCAGTACACCGACGGCAGCGATTACCTAAGGACGATCAACCTGATGGATTACTACTACGGCTGGCGCGATGCGGCCATTGTGGTCATCTTCGCCCTCAGCTCGTATGCCCTGGTGTACCTTCTCATGAAGCTCCGAACCAAGACCTCTAAGAAGGCAGAGTAAACTCACTCGCTCAATCTTTGGGTTCCGAACTTTCATCTCTCTCACTATCTCACGCATGTACCTCTCTCTCTCTCTCTCTCTCTCTCTTATATCACGTAACACTAGATACCTCGTACGCAGCTGCAGCATCTTAGATTGCATCTCTCTCGCGGGTAGATCTCGGGATTAGCAATGGGTGGTCTTCGTGTGTTTTTTGTCAATTGTATGCATCCAAGCCAATGCATCAAAATTTCTCTTTCATCTTAGGGCCGGAGTAGATCTCATTCGGGATGGATTCATTATTGGGTAAATGTAATAGACATCAAGTTCAATAGAATGGGACATATCAATCTTAATCATGTCAAATCGTCAGTCATTTGATTTTCTCCCAACGTACAGTGACCCCTTCAGTCAAAGACCTCTCGATGAAAGTGACTGCTTGGCGATAAGAGGCTGTCGAGGGTCATCTCATCAAGTTTGCCTCATCGAATTTCAGTACGCGTAAGGGGCTTCGCTGGTCCCACCTTTCCGAAACGGGCGTGGGGGACCTTCACCTCACCGCCAACGACATCAAGACACCTCACACACAGACTCAAGACCAAAACTCTTAACAGTTCTCAACCTTGCTTCATCGTCCCAAATCAGCCGAAAATGCCTCTCAAGGGAATCTCCCCCGTCATCTCCCCCGACCTGCTCAAGGTCCTGGCCGAAATGGGCCACGGCGATGAGATTGTCCTCGCCGACGCCCACTTCCCCTCTCATTCAATCTGCCCGCCTCACATCCCCGTCCTAAGGGCCGACGGTAAGTTTCTTACCACTTCAACTTTTGCACCCCTTTTTTGCGAGGCAACACGAGAGATTCTGACAAGGAATAAGGCATCACCGTCTCCCGCCTACTGGCCGGCATCTCCCCTCTTCTCGAACTGGACAACTACGGCGTCGTGCCCGTCATCATGATGGAGGTTGTCAAGGGCGACACCTTTGACGCGAGCGTCGAGTCCGACTTTAGATCATCGCTCAAGTACGACGGCGAGATTGAGAAGCTGGAGAGGTTTGCGTTTTACGAGCGGTCCAAGAAGGCCTTTGCGATTGTGGCGACGGGGGAGACGAGGAAGTATGGCAACATTATCCTCAAGAAGGGCGTTACACCCATTACTGAATAGAGTATTCAATTCAAAAGGGAAAATTACGGCCATTGATTGCTCCTCGCTTCGAGATCCGTAGCCTTCTGGCTTTTGGTTACCTTGTCCGAAATCTTCACTACCTCTGACCTTGCTCCATCTCCAAATTTTCGGGCCGCCGTCGCTGTTCCACCTGATGATCTGCAGCACATTGACGTCAGACTCAGACTTCTTGGGATTAACTAGGATGCTAGTGACAAAGATGCTATTCATCCCGATTCCGGCTAGGATGGATGGCTTGGCTGGCATCGACAAAGACCCAAGCCAGATCTGGGATGAAGCCCAGGAGAGATGATGCACCAGTCGGCACAGGATTAATTTCAAAGCCACGAACAATGACTTGGAGCTTTGCAAAAGTGCGAGTCGTGACCGCCAAAAAAATTGAGTGATGGATCAAGTATACTCAATCGCTAATAGAAAAGAATGAGGAATAGGAGTTCAAGGGCCGTGATAAAGATGAAAATAAGAATAAAGGCCCCCAGGGTTAGGGTTGGCGCCTTATAACTATGACCAGAACTCGATCTCGACTCATCCTCCCTGTAGAGCCATGATTTGGCAAAGACACCCCATTTTGGTGGTTCCCCAGATGAGTGTTTTCGTCTAGAATTCTATACGGGCTGCCATTAGGCTTCCTCATTCATGTTAGTAGTAATTAACCACATCAGCATTTAATTCCATAATTCTATCCTGCCGCCAGGCTTCCTCGCTTCCTTGTTACTCAAGCTGAGGCTTTACAGCACCTTCGTCTCAATGTTGATGATAACGCCCAATGTCGCAAAAGCCCTTGGCACAGCCACAGGACTTGTAGGGCATTTACTACCCTATTGAGATTCATTCTTCTATAGCAGGGGCGTTGTCCAACATTCGTTCCGGCGTTTAGATACGCCTAGATTTCATCACATATTCTCTTGGCATCCGCGTCTTGCTCAAAATACCTTGCCATAAAAGATCAAGCCCGCCTTCCCGATACAGCCTCCTTTCCAGGGACATCTTCTTTAGTACGGTCGTACTCAGATTGAACGAGCCGCAAACCACATGTAGGCCGCATCCGAACTACCCGTTCAACATCCCAATTAAGCTCAGGGGGTCACCAGCCGTTGCCGCCAAGCCACACATGCGGAAGGTCCAACGGCTGGGCGCCTCAATGGTTCAAAAGGCTGCCCTCGGTTCAATACACGCTTGTGGTGCAGTCTGTCCAATGACAGTCGGTTTGAACAAAATCAAATCTAGAGGACTCAGGGTTTTTTGGTCGCGGATGGAATCGAATTGAAAGACACAAGACGCATGTGGCGTGCTTGGCCCTCGGAGGAAGTGGATCAAACTCAAGACACGGGTTCGGCGACACTCGACTCGTGCCGTATTTATAGCCTGGCCTAGAGGTCGGCCGAGGCATGTTGGTTGATTCAAGACGGAAGTCGGCGGGACGTTTGCTTACAGCGCCGCCTTTACTACCTACCTACCTACATTTGCGACTGAGGCGCAAAGCCAAAGGTCTGGTATGTTTCCGTAAGCTCAGTGAGACAACGTCGCAGTAAGCTCAAAAGGTTCCACCGAACAGGCGCAGTCGCAGAGCTCCAATTCCCCATCGCCAAGCTGGTTCCTTGCCACAGTGGACACTGGAACACGTTTTTGCTGCGCAGACCACCCAGCGACCCGCTGCCGTCTGAACAGAGTCGTGTTTTGTGGATGGCGAGGGGAAAATCTGGGGAGTTGTTGTCAAGTACGTAAAAGAAACGGAGGTTAATTGGCATGCGGGCCAGCGATTCAGTTCTCATATCGTGTGCGATTCCACTTCCCCGGAGCGAAAGGGACGTTGTCAATCGTGGTGTGCTTTTTCTCTCCTTGCGCGGTGGTGTGTTCCTTGACACGCTATTAGTCACGATAACTCCCCCGCATCCCAGTCTCTGGGCGAACTCGAACTCGAGCAATACCTAATGGCAGGCTACAGAAGATCCTTTGGCGCCTTGGGTATCCGTAATCAGTTGCGACTTGTGAGCCAAGAGGATGGATGCTGTTGGAAGCTCGCTTGGGTCGCCAATCGCAAGCCGACTGGGCGACTGGGCAAGTACCCGTCAATATGGTATGACCAAGGTGCCGTGATTCCATGGCTTTGCTCGGCGCATCCAATCGAGCCTGCACACCAAGACGATCGGAAGTCTTTGCTCTGGGTCAAGCTTTGGGCCCTGAGATGCCAAACTCTTGGATTTTGGGGAATCTCCAACGACATGTCTTGGGAGCTTGCTATATCGAACAGGACTCGCAGCATCTCAGGGTGTTCATCACGGATGCGCCCCGAAAACGACTAATTTCGCAGATTCTTTAGAACTTTTGGCGAACTATCCTTTTTCTTGGGTGATGGCTGTGTGATTTTGAGTTGGAAGCAAGCGAGTGTGCCTTCCCGAAGCGTCGCTAGCCTAAGTTGATTGACACTCTTGGCGTCAGCGGTCGTGGTGGTAAGAGAGAACTCAAAAGTTCGTATGCGCAACGGACGAGACTTCAACCAGCTCAGGTATCTGGCATCTGGCGCATATTAGTAGGTCTTGGCTCGCGTCAATCGAAAACGCCTCATTCACTGAATATGGCCGACGGATAGCCCGTTCCTAACCGTGACACCGTGGATGCCACTGATTGTCCAAACAAACCGCCGCAGTCTCGTCGCCACGGGGGAGGAATGGTGCTGATAAGCGTCGCCACCCCTCCCAGGATGCGCCCCGAGCGCCTCACGGATCACATATGCCAGATAAGGCCACAAGAGGGCACAAGTGCCAGCCAAGACAATTGTCATTTGGGTCAACCTTCAGTGACATATTGAGACAGATATCCGAAGCCACGGAACGCCAAATGACATTAGGTGCAGTCGCGGGTGGGTTGGCGCGCTCGGATGACACGACGGGAGAAAAAAGATGGGCCGTTTCGACCAAATTGAGACAATTCTAGTTGAGATGTCCTGAATCGTGGCGAGAAAGTGGGCGCGTTGCGAACTTTCGACCAACGAGGTTATCAAGACAGCACCGAGCGACAGAGCGAATGACGGCAGGGCCGACTCTGGTATCAATGGCAGATATCGTGACAAGGGATGGTTGATGGTGGGCGAGGAGGAGCGCCAGGTTCGCCAGCGGTGCTGTCACTGTCTCTGTCTCTGTCTCTGTTTTGTTAGCAGATGCGTATGACACACGCACATCATGTACCATGTAGGATCGCCCATGAAGGACTGTTATCTTTTGCCGAGACTTTATTCCCCATATTTCCCGCCAGAGGGGGAAATGTTGTGTGTTTTGTAGACCAATTGCAGCACATGGTGATGCAACCCCCAGGGATGCGGACGGGCAAGGACGAGGAAGCATTGCGTGGGTATTCGTAGGCTCTTCCGTCAAATGGCAACCACCAAACAACGTAGCTCGATTAGTTTGGCTGGCGGTGGGTTGGGGTACACAGCGCGGCACATTCGAGTCGTGTCGCGCCAGATAGGGCCAGGGATCGAATAGCCAGAGTTTTGCGCAATCAATCAAAACTTTGAACAATATCAAAAGCGCCCCCAACTGGCAGTTGGAGCAGGGTGATGGGGCTGCGGCCGGAGATTGGGCGTCTTGTGTGTGACGCGATGGGAGGTGGGTGGTCCTGTTCGTTCCCTGAGTGGCTCCCCCTCAAAATATTACGGTTGGCTGTACGGATACCTCGCTGTGGGAATACCTAGGTAGTCGCATCGCATCACAAGACGGTTCTCGAGGAGTCGAGGGTGAAAAGGTTGATGGTGTGGTTTGGCGGCCTGGCGGCATTCTAGAAGGATTCCTTCGCATAGTTAGCGGCGGCCTCCCTGTCCTGCGGCGCCCGCCCCTGCGAGGCCAAAGGACGCGCCGAAAGTCAATCAGCGATGAGTGTGACGATCCCCGTCAGCTCCCAGCAGACGATCGAGAGTCTGATACTGATAGGTAGGTATCCGTCTTCGTCCACCGCAAGGGAGCTACACTTTGCAGAGACGCGCCGACATGATGGAAGACATTGGCAGCGGATGCTGGGCGGACCTAGTCACGAGGCGCTGGGCCAAGAAGCGCAAAGAGGCAGGAGAGAAGCTGGAGACCGGCGACCGGGAACCGAGGAAGCCTAGCCGCGAGGGCTGGGCTGGTAGCTAAGGCGTTGCATCTGAGGATTTCGGTCGAGATTGGTTCCAGTAGGATTGGATGGGGGTTTCGCCTTCGTCGCCTCGCCTGTCACGAGCTGTTAGAACTTGAAGAGTCGGGGAAGGGAAGCCCAGACAGAGAATAGTAGTGAGTGGTATCTGTAAGACTGTAAGAGAGGGTCGGACTGCTGCGAGATCCATCAATCAAGCAATAATGCCCCAGTTCTTGGTCCTTCCCAAAGAGGAAGCTCGTCAGGATGGACTTGGATCGTGAGGTACGGCCAAGAGACACCAAGCCGCACAGCCCTGTTCCAGAAGACCTTGGCTGCAGGTCGGTAGCTCCAGGAGGGAGTGAGCCACGGCCTTGGCTTGAGTAGACGAGTTCGCGTAAAGTTGAAGAGTTGTGCGTGTAAGAGAGTGCGAATCTCTCATGCCGAACTGGGAGTAAAACGAGTGCAGATAGAAAGAAGCTAGATTCTGTGTTCTGTCCGTACCAAAGGTAAAGGTATTCGGAGGTAGGTACGAAGATACGTGCATGTACAAGTGTACCTTTACTACCTACCTAAGGTATCGTGAGTGGTCGGCAGGAAGAATTGAGGCAGGCGGGCACTTGTTTAAGGTGAGGAAGGCATGCGGCATGCAGGCGGTAGGTCGCGCATTCCAGTCTTGGGAAGGGTGTGGTGGAGCACCATTCATCCCTTCAGTGCCGTCGCTGCTTCTCTAAGCTGTCCAGGACTCCGGTGTCGTCGAAACGGCGATACACCGGGTCAGTTCATCTCACATTATCACCCCTCATCCTGAAATCTCAAGAGTCTCATCTCAATGTTTGTTTCCCTCATCCCACCTCGATGGATCTTGCTGGCTCACAGACAAACGATTTAATACGGCTGTCGCATGGGCCATTCCTTGCCCCGTCCGAGTTCTCATCGTGCCCCATCTCGCTCCCAGTCTCATGGGTCACT